TTGGCCTTAATTAATAATTGCATTTCGAATAATAACCTTGATTTTAATCTCGATTTAGATATCTACACACTTAAACTTGATTTTATCACAATTAATATGTCAGATTATTTTACTAAACCAGCCTGTTAATACACATGATTATTATTATTTAATAGTGTCAATCTCTATTCTCACTTATGAACATAATAATTATAATCTTTCTATAATTTTGTTTTTAATACGAGGCTTAATGAATGATTTAAAATAATAAATAAGATGATTAAATGAAGGAACAGTTTTATTTGAAAATATTCTTTTAAATGACAATTTTGGTTTCGTGTTTAAATGTTTCTGTTCGATCAATTCAACAATCATTTTGTTCATCTTTATTTTGTAAAAAATTGGGGAGATAAATTAAAGCTACGAGAATGCAATGTCGATCAAGAATTTTAAACGTTGATATTTTGAAACTTTGAACTTCATCAAAAATTAATATTTTCATAATGTCTATTTGTTGTCTTTTTCCAATGAAACAAACTGCATTGAATCACGATATTCATGAACATTTTTTTTAAAATAATTTTGTATGCTATGTCAAGTAACATTCTTGTGTAAAATTATATGGTAATTAATGTGTGCACATTTTTTTGTAAAATATCTGCTTTTTACATTCCATCATTTTTCACGCACCGTATTCTCTTTGATGTTGTTGTTTGTTTAAAATACAATTTACAATTATTCATGGTGAATACAAAACAGAACAAAAAATAAGCGTCTGTCTTGATGGTTTTGTATTGCAAGGGCAAGCGGACAATGATATTCACTGATGCCATCAGTTTGATGGTAGCATAGGATTAATGTAAAACATCTTAAAGAATAATTATTAAACTTTGAATATTCGCATTAATTTAAACATTGTAAACGTATTACAATGAATTGAGAAACGATGAACAGCATGAAGTTCTTTGAAAACAAAGTCTAAATTAAATAAATATACAAAAAAAAGACAAGTTCAATATTGACATTCTTAAGCATCCATAAAATGGCATTAATGCTTCAAAACTTATAAAACTTGTAATAAATTTTTCAAAATAAATAATATAAATAAGGATTAAAATTTGAAAGTATTAACTTGCGTTCATCGCCGTCGTCTCGAATAAATGGTCGTCTCCTTTACTCTGCGGTCTCTTTTGATTATTTTTCTCTAAAGGGACATTATCGAAAAAAAAATTTATTTCACTGGAAAAATTAATAATATTTGTTTGCTCATTTTATATTCATGAAGGTCATAAATTTTAATTTGGTTGAAGTTTAATATGAAGAAAATATCAAAAGATTCTTCATGGAATTATTATTTATTTGAGTTTTCAATATGTTATTAAAATCTGACCAGAAGACTGCTTTAAATAAATTATGAACGGACATATCGAAGTATATTTATTATAAACAAACTTGAATAATATTCATGAACATAAGATTTACACTTTTCTTTGTTTTATTAACTAACAAACCTAGATAAGATAGATTGAGTTTTAGATTTCTTTTCATTTAAATTGTAAATCTTAAATTTAAAGCGATAAAGTAAACTATCATGACAACTTTTATATTCAAAATTCATGCAAAAACAAATAAACATTTGTTTAATTCATTATAATGCAAAACTATTGAATTGTACGATAAGCACTTTCGTTTATTTAGTTTATTGAACCTTTATTTGTTTTTCTATTGTTTGAATTTAAAGTTCTCACGACAAAGTCGTTTTTTGTTTACCAATACAAATATTCTTGAATTAAGTTAATAAATTTTATGCAAACTACTCATATACAAAGTAGAAGATATTATTTAATGAATTTCTATAGAAATGTCGATGAGTGGAGAATAATTGTAGACTTCTTCACAAGAAATGCAAAAAATGGCAACAATGTTGGTTATAATATTATAATTGTCAATTTACTGTACAAACAATTCTTAAATTACTTCATTTCCAAACCACTATTTATGAGAACTACAGCATTAAGAATACGTTGATAATATCGCTTTAGCAAATAACATAAATACATATAACGAAACGTACATGCAATTGCTCATTTGTCTGAGTCATTTAAATAAGCATTATTCATTTTCTTCTGAAGACTTCATTGATGTCCATACTTAGGTTTGTATTTACTTCTTTCCTTTCATTTCAATTCGAATCGTCTTTCTTTTAATACTCCTTCAATACAAAACAATAATCATTTATCAAAAAGAAAACAAGAAACAAACCATCAAAGTCAATTTCTAATTTTTGAAATTGTGTAAGAAGAAGTGAAAATTAAAGGCACGACATTGAAGTCTGCAATAATCAAATATTTGCAAAGAAAATTATAAAAATAAATTGATATTTGATCGATCAATGCTTTATCCAAAACAAAATCTATTTTGCTATTGGAAAAATAATATAAGATAAGTATGCATGCACCAAATTAAATTCAATAATTTCACCTAAAAAGACAGTGAAAAAAAAAAACTTCCGTATAAGATGTAGGAAAATTGAATATTTTCAAAATTGCTTTCGATAAAAATCTACACTGGCTTGCAACACTCAGTTGTTGAAATTGCTGATAATAATTATTTGATTTTTACTTTGTTAGTAAACATAATAGAAATCTAGAGGTTATTATTGTTTTTTATCTTTTACAATAGATAGTTTGGAAATGTTCGAAATGCAAGTAGCATCCAATTTTGAAACACGTTTTTCGTTTTTCTCTGATCAGCAGGCATTCAATCGAAATTAATATCTTGTACTTGCCCGATGATGTATTATATTGAAAAAAGATTCCATTACACTACCTTATGATCTGGCATTCCAAAAACAATTTTTCATCTTGTTTAATTCTCTGCTCAACTTTCGGCAACACATCTCTCTGTTGTTGCGCATTCCTTTTTCACTTATGCAATTTTCTCAGCCTCTTTCAACCTCACCATGTAACATAAATACGGCTGATTTCTTAAAGTGTTGAAGAAGGTGTCCGAGCAGCACTTAATAATACACAATAATAAATAATAAATGAATGAGTTATGCTTATAAACGCATGTTTTTTCTTACTTCTCATTTTGCCTTCGCCGCATTGAAAATAAGAATCAACAACAAAGGAGAGAATATTGAGAAAGCTTCATAAGAGAACAACAAGACCAATGGAAAAGTTAATAATTTTAATGAATGTTAAATATGCGTAAAAAAATAAACTTCAAGCCTGATGTTGGATCAAAAAATAAAAAAGGAAAAACATACACACATGCTGTACTTATGTACATACGTTGTTGATTATGATTACGAGCTGGCAGTTTGTTGTTTGTAAACTTGCCGATGTTAACGTGCACATTTTTCATCAACACGATGTCGGTTTGAATGAAACAAAAACTCGTTATCAGTCGATGGTGCATCCAATAATTAGAGTTATCATTTTACTCATATTGCCTTGCAGTTATTTCTCAACTGGTTTAATTTTCAGCTGCAAATTTTTTAAAGCTTTTTTTGAAATGAATTAGGTTGCTAGTTGGAATCAAATTGTTCTTGATTTAATTGTATACATGCTGATCAAATTATTATTGGAAAGGATGCTATTAAATATAACTTCACTTCTTAATTGCTAAAGAATACATGAAAATGTAGAAGAAAGAAAAACCAGAAGTTAAACGATACTTAACAAACATAACCGAAGGAGAAAAATCATTTAATTTGTTATGTGTGTATGAGATGAAAGATGCAAATTATCAGCGGTTAAAGAAACGTATCAACGGCGATTTTTACTGTCGCTTAACTCGAGCGTCAAGTGTTTACATGCAATGTAGGAACTGCGTGTAACGTTAAATACTTAATGCAAATATTGCATTTAGCAAGTTTAATAATATTTATTTACGGCGACGTCTTACAAGACGACGAGCAATTACGTGTTTACTGTAATTAATAGTACCAAGTTATTTTTACGCTTTTTATCAGAAGCATTTCTTTGATACTTAGTCTTAAGGCGATAGGTGTAATAGTTTATTTATTATAATAACATTCAACGAAGAGTGCGGGCTCAAAAGATGTAATTGCTGATTTTATTATATTATAATTTTATTTGCATGAATAATCAATATATTATTAAATATGGTACATGAACAGCAACACTGTGTTTAAAATTGCAAAACGGGTTGATATCTAACATGTTACTTTCCTATGTAAATATTAAACGACAATAAAATTGTGTTAAGTTTTCTTGTTTCATAAGAAAAGATTTAAAATCAATCAATTTTTATAGCGTCGCTTGTTCTCGTAAATCTCTTTCAATATTCACCTGACAATGAGACAGACACATGTGTAATGTTCTAAGAGTTCTAAGGTCTCATTAATAACTTCACTCTTAGTATTCCTGTGTATTTAATGATGTGAAGCCGTAACGAAAAAAGGTCAAGATAGTTTGTAATAATCAAACGTCAAATAATCGTTGAATAGATTTTTTTCCTTCTTTATCTCATTCTTAAAACCGTTCTAATACTTCTGAGGTGAAGAGTTTATCTTCAATATGGTGCGGAAAATATTGATAAATAGTAAATGAGTTTCAAAAGAAGAATTAAATTGTTAATTTAACTTTTATTTCACTTGATGTTGGACGCTTCTTCTTCAACTTATTCGGCTTCTAAAGAAACTTGAGACGTTCTATCCAAACTATTAATGAGCCCTATTTATCATCTGAAACTTCTGTTCCATCTTCAAAATGCAAACAATTATGTCTAAATTAGATTTTGAGACTCAGCCATAAACGCTTTTTTTGGCGAAGAATGAAAATCACCAATTAATGCCATTAGAGCTAAGTAATGTTTGTTTAATTCATTAACATCGACCAACGTACAAAAGACGGAGAAAAGTGCAAATCACTGATTTATAATTCATCATCAATAGTTGTAAAAAGTGTGAGCTCTGTGCTGAAAATAGATTCAGGCAGCTGAAATTAACAGTTTCTTATTTGTGTATAAAATTCTATAAAAAAACTCTTGAATTTGCTTAATTAACGTTTTTATAATTCATTTTTTATTTGTTTTAAAATGGTTACAAACTTCATTAACATTCATTGAGAACGAATTTGTCTTTTCATCGAGTGTGAAAATGTGCGAAATTTAACAAATTGTGATGAGCAACAGATGAGATAACTTAGCAGCCCACGTTAATTTTTGATATTGAATGAATAAAGAAGCAAAAAAATAAAACACAAAAAATTCTTGCTACACAATGAAGTTGAGAAAACATTTAACACAATTCACAAACAATTTTACGGATAAAACTTTTACGTGAACTTAATTTAATTCGTGTTAATCACGTCACGATTATTACAGTAAATAAAAAGTTTTTTTAATGACCCGTGTTTAGGTTGATGATTTTTTAACCATCAATTGCACTTCTTTAAGCATTTCTGATATTAATTATATTTTGCTTTAAGATCACTCAATGAACGTTTTATGATTCTTTCATTTTAAACAATAAAATCCTTAATTATTCTCAAATTTCTCAATTTTATAAAGCTGAACAGTTTCACTACTTGCCACTCATTTGTTGTCCCTTGCTATTACTGTTAGTCATCGTTGGTGGCCTGGAATCACTCAATGACTGTTTATACAATTGCCATGTGCGATGGATTGAGACCAATTCGATTAGTTAGTGTATCGAATCGTAAATTTTGGTAGTGATGAAGATAGGGATGAGGTGGTGCAATTGAATTTGTAGCTAATTTCATTGCCAACGGCGACATCATTATAAGGGGATGAAGTGGTGGAATTTCATAGTTAGAAAATTGTCTAAGAAGTTGCAGTTGATGTTGATGTTGAACTTGTTGTTGATGGTGATGCAGTTCATGAATATCAATGGGAATGGTTCCGTTATGTAAACCAGACGCAACTATCTGTTGCTTTAGTAATGAAAAACTACTCTCCAATCTGTCGACTTTAATTTTCTTGTTAGCGTTTTCATCAGGTTCGATTTCAATTAAACTCTCAATATTAAACTTTCGTTTTGGCTTTTTAACGAGCTCAATATCAGTAGTAACAACATTAAGCGGAGGTGAAGCAGGTTTTGGTGATAACTTGATTAACTCTTCGTCTTGCATTATCGATGGTGATACGCGGAGATAATTTTGATCAACAAGCGGGGGTGATGAGGTATTATATGGAATATCAACAACTGGCGGATGTGGTAATGGCGCCTGGTGATAAAATTCGTTGGGTGAGGTGAAGAAACGGTTCATGTTGGCTAAGGCTGCAAACTCTTCATTGAGATATTCTTTATCTGTTTTATGAAGCTTGAAACGTTTTCTTCGTCTCAATAAACTGCCGTTGGCAAACATGTCGAAAGCTTTTGGATGAAGAGTCCAATATGATCCTTTTCCTGGACGATCTGGACGGCGTGGAACTTTCATAAAGCAATCATTGAAGCTTAAATTGTGTCGTAAGGAATTCTGCCATCGTTGGGTGTTCGTTCGATAATAAGGAAATCTGTCAGTGATATATCTGTGAAGAAATTTAATGATTAGTCATCATTGTTTAATAACTCAAATGTATTTCTTTCTTTTCAATGGATATTTGTTTCTTTTCATCACTATTAATAATATTATAGTATCACGATTATAATAAAATGAAACTGAAGCAGGTAAAACATAAAAAAAAATCTTTCTTTTCAATAGATATTTGTTTCTTTTCATCACTATTAGTAATATTACAGTACACGATTACAATTAAAGGAAACTGAAGCAAGTAAAACATAAAAAAATTTCCGCCGGTATTTTTTAACATTTTGCACTCTAATTAGCAAATAATTGTTTTAGGCTAAATAATGCTTTGAAATTAAAAGTAATTACTCAGAAAGTCAATGAGTTCATCCGTTTTCGTTTAATCGACATTAATCATTAATTCAGAAATTAATTTTTATGCAATAAAGTTCTTTCCGATAGTGTCAGAGTCGAATGGTTCAAACTTTAGTGATTTAAAGGCGATTCGAACAGAGGTTTTTTTGATGCAACAAAATGTAAAAAGGATAATGTGAAATTAATTTATTATCCTTTTCTTTTTTTAGAAAAATTTATAACTTCATTTCGTATCATAAATTCAATGTTAAATCATAACAATTAAAAGGTCTAAGGAGACAGATTTTCTACCTGATTATTTTAATTCAACTTTTCATTTGGAAATAAATTTTGATTGGAATGTTTAATTTTTAAGTTTGTATCAACATATTGTTAAGAAGTTAGATAGTGTTAGAAGAGATTAAAAGAGTTTAACTCTTATCATTGATGTAACCTTGACAATTCGCATATTCATAAACCTCGACAAACTGAAATAAAACTTCTTTCCAACTAAAATTTTAAACATGAACTAGCTAAATAATGAATAAAAGTATAAGATCTTCAACTTTCAGAGATATGAAACATATCTAAGACACGAAATTCCATCAAAAATTCTAAGTCAAGATTTTTCCAATTTTTTTATAATTTATTTATTAATTATTTATTTGTACTTACTTATAAATTTCATTAAGAGAACACATTTTATCAGGACTACTCCAGATAGCCATTGCTGTTAAGCTAATATATGAATATGGTGGCTTTTGGTCACACTGTTCCCGTGAAGGTCGCGGCATGATTTTTCTTTTACACTAAATAGTTTTCTTTAATTCACACAATAATTTCAGTTCCTTAATTAATTGTTTGTTATTTCCAACTAAATATTTTGTTTTTCACTTAATTCAAACAGGTTTTATTTGCACTTTCTTTGAATTTCCATACACTTGTTAATCGTACGTATGAGAATAAATTTATTCCGTCCGAACAGTTCAACGTGAAAATAAAAAATGGTTTGCTGAGTATGAAAAATATTTTCTACATCAACGTACAACTCAACACATTCACACAATAAACTCGTTTTGTTCTATATACTTCAGTGTTCAGTAGTGTTTGTGATTCAGAGCCATGCCAACTTCCACATCAGCCAATGGCATGCTTACCTGCTTCAACTTAAGAAAGTTAGCATAAAATCTGGATAGTGGCAAAGACGACAAAAGCTTTCAAACACACATACTTTGTAAACAAATTGTTAATGAAATTAAACAATAATAAGAAAGAAAAATGGAAAGAAAAGAAAAAAGTACTCCACTATAAACAAGACTATAATTTATTGGAACATGAAGTCTGTTAATAAAATATTAAAACCATAATTTGCTGTACGGAAAACTGGCGTTTTATTTCTTTTCATAAATGAAAATAGAAGCGATGGGATATCGAATTGCTGCAAGTGCGATAAGCACACGAAATAAAACTGTGTTGAATTATTTATCGTACATTAGAGACCCCACGAAGCATAATTCTTCATTACTGCTGAATAAATATCATTTAATAAAACAAAATATTCCTGCTTAAGTAAAACAATTTTATCGAGAACTGTTCTTTTGATTAATTATTAATCAGCAGTTTTCTATTTTTCTAGTTTTTTAATTAAGCAAATGAATATTTTTCCACCGTTTCGAAACTGGTAACAAAGCAAGAAGGAATCGCCTCAAAATAATTTTACAAATTTGTTAAAGCTCATCACAGCAATTTTCATAATGCATGGAAGCTTATATCTCATGTTCCTAACAAGGTTCAAAATATATACACAGCTCATGCACATTACATTACCAGGCCCAATAACCATATCAGCGATCATGTACCAGAACTAATCCGGTAAAAATGGTTTTCAGAATCATTCGCTTCTTTTCTTGTGCGAAATCAGGAAAAGAGAATGATGAAACCAAATATTTAAAACCCTTTATCTGGGTATCCATAATAAATATGTTTAATGGCCAATAAAATCAGATTTCCAATGTACAAAACACGAAGGCTTCACAATGGATGTGAAGAAAGTGTAAGCCAGCCTGCTTGAGATTCTGATTAAGACTAATAGGGAAAACGCGATGAGAAAAATAAGTTCTAAACCTGCCGATTCGAAACGTTGAACATTTTTATAAATTCTATTAAGAAAGTGAAGATTTTTTTTTGCGCCTGTAATTCATCAAATATTAATGTGCGGCATTTATTGTTTAATAATGTTTTCTTCTCCTTCTCCATTCTTTTAATGTTTCTTTTTCAATACTGAATTATTCGTGTAGAACAAATCGATAACTATATTGAATTTGTTTTCTCTCGCTTGTTCTTCCTTTTGTTCCTGGAGGTTTCACTACAAATTGGAAGGCAATGAAGTGCTGATAGGTGAGTGTAGTTAACAAAATATTTTTTCATGACTCTTGAGAAATCTTAGTTGCTTAATTTGCTCAAGTTTCGGCCGACAAATTATTGTTCTGCCTTGATAAATTGTTCAACACAAGTCTCATTTGGAAATCCAACAGTTTCTTTCTTTGTTTAATTTAATTCAATTCTAATTTGTGAATGCTTTTCAAGGCGAAAGCTAATATTACTTGAATCATTTGTAATTCTTATGAAAGCGAGACACGACAAAGCTAAGAAGTAGCAAAAAAAGTTTAATTTTGATTGTGATATATTGGAGGTAAAAGAATGGTTACATGCTTGATCTGACGCATTATTCCATTAAAATATTTCTTTTCCTCTTTTACCATGTGTCTTAAGTGCTTTTCAATTCGTTAATTCGTTTTAAACCGCTAACCAGAGGAGAGTTAAAAAAATTCATCGATAAAGAAAATCAGTTCTCACTGAATTCCACATCGATAATGAGATTTATTCAATATGATCTAATTAAAGCGTTTAATTTTAGTAGTTTCATGCATGATTGATCGATTTGAGTGTAAGTTTATTGTCGGCGGTTGAAGTAAATATATTTTGAGGGCTTTTATATCTAAAGTTTCTGCTTGATGTTTTCTGAGAAAAAAAAAAGAAACGAGAATGGAAAACTTCACGTTTTCTGCCGCATCGAACTGAAACTTTGACACAGAAAATTATCATCGCTCATGATCGATGAATTTTAATGAATTTAAATTACCAACAAAATGATTTCCACAACACAATATTTTCGTTACAATCATCATGGTAGATATCTATGTTGCAGTTGAAAGCTTAAGTAATAAAACAAAAACACGTATCATAACGCTTTAATACTCAATACATGTGGATAAATGAAATGAGTAATAATTCATAAAATAAATTATATGATAAACCGCAACATAATTCATGATTCTTATTAATACACAAATGAATCGAAATTGTTGTTAGATTGATGAGTACATGATGGTTAAAGAGTAAAAAAAGAAGAATGAAAAAGAAAAGTAACCGAAGCGGTAAATAGAGCCTCGTTTATTTTACATTTCATTATAATGTGCTTACACATGGTACTTGATACAGCATAATTTAATAGTAGATATCTATCTTTGTTCTTAAAAAATATTTCTTTCATGGTTCCAGCACCACAAGAATAGTTTTCATTGAGAAATTTTCTTTGCTTCGAACTAAACCTTGAATGCTTTTGTTAAATATTTTCGCTTGTGAGGAAAACACTTGAAAGTTTCTGCAGGAAAAGGAAAACTCCTTTCTTTTCCGCCTTCATCGTCATTTTCCATTTTATTACATTTAAAAGAAGTGTTCGCTTGAACGAAAACAAATAGAAATCGTAAGAAAGCGAAACATTGAAAACATGTGTTTGCCTTTGAAAATGGAAAATTTGTTTCCCTTTTAGAATTAATCGAGCCCTGTCACGATTTGTTCACCTTTCTTTTCATGAAAATGAGAAACATGAATAGTAAAATATTAAAGAAGAAAAAGGTGGAGGCGAAGCGTAACAATAAGTAAAGCAAGTAGAAAACTTGAACCCTTTTTTCTACATGAATTAAGCGCTTCTCTCACGGACTTTACGAATTTCTACATAAGACAAATAGTTGTTTAAATTAATAATTCTTCATCATTTTTTATGTGAAAACGAACGAAAGAGATGCTCATTAAATTTGATGTTATTTCGACGAAATGTAATTCGTTTATGATGCTTTGGCCCATGGGTTTGTAATTCCAGGTAGTCCTAATGATTCTTGGCACTTCCTAATGAAGTGCATCCTAGTAATAATCGATTATTTTATTTCATCTCGCCTCTTTTGTTTCCATTCTTTTGATCCTCGCTACAGAGGAGTGCTAATTTACAAAAGTACCTGCTTCTGGTGTAACACCACAACAAAAGTCCATAGCGGATATTTTGATCGGCAAAGCATCTTCAAAGCACAGGCGATAACTTTTCATATGTCCAATTTCGGGTCGTTTGCTTCTCACAATGCATTCAGCAAAAACAAATCAGCAGAAAGAAAATCTAATTATTAATATCATTTATTATAAATCAATCTTTTATTAGTTTTCTTGTTTTTTTATTCTTCTTCATCTTACACGTAATTTTTCATCTTTTTTATTTAAAAAGCCCTCAACATAATGAAATAATAATGAATGAATCTCCGCCAAAAACACAAAATGTTTCGTGAAGAGGAATGAAAGAAAACATACACATAACATCTCTCGATTGTGATAAAGAGTCGAAAATAAAAGGCTGCCAACGGTTCCCGAAGCCCGACGCATTGCTTATTTATATGAAATTTATGAAAAATCAAAGATACCGCTCCCCACATACAAGCCCCATGCTGTGAAAATTTGTTCAAGCAGGCATGATTTTGTTTTTTTCGTGTGTATGAAAGTATAAAAGTCATCATCACACCTTTGTACTGTGCGCGGCTAAAATCATTTTATGTGGTAAAATGCCCGGCTCGCTTATTTTTTCTTAATACACAAATTTTTTTTTCAAATTTTCATAAATTCACCCGCGTTATAAATTCGAATCTGTTGTTGTATTATTTATTCATTTGTTTCATGTCAAATACGAATCTGTTGCCATCTCAGTGTGATCATCGTTAGTTTGTGACTATGATAATATGATTATTAAAATCTTGCGCAAAATTATGTAAATTAACAGGCATGATAAAGTCCCATTAACACACAACACGACGTAAATATTTGGGGTTGACGAAGAAAGGCTAAGCCGCTGCTGTATTAAATATCAGTTCATCAGATAAAAGCTATTATTGGATCATTAAAAAGACTCTCAATGTGTCTGAGCATATTGGCAACATTTCATATCTCGATCGTTACACTGTCTAATCCTGAACAAGAAGTTTTTTTTTCATATTAATACGGAGTCCCTTTAATATGAATTCTACGGAATATAGAAAGCAATAAAACAATTGCCAGCCAGGAAAAAGGCGTTCACTCAGTTCCAGAAATACAAAAAAAGTGATAAAAATAAAAGTCAAAGAATAACAAAGAAAAGGAATATTTTTAATAAGAAATAAATTGTTTTTATGGATCAAAACTCCCGCCCTTTCCTCTGAGAGTGCCTCAAATTTAATTTGAGTGTTTTATTGAAAAAGATTTTCATTCATAAATCTAGTCTGCTTCCTCGATTGTCGTCTGATGATTGTTTGTTTAGGATTTGTTTGTCAATTGTCTACCGTCACTGGGTCAAACACTTTTCATTCATTCATAAAATTATTCATCGCATTCATGGTGAAGCTGGGTGTTGAAAGATGTTTTTCATGGAAACTGCTAATTGCACGTCTTCGAATGCTCTTCACCAGGTAATTTGTAATTCAAAAGAGAAAAGTCCGACTTTGAGCAACAACGCTTTAAACATTTTAACTGAAAGCGAAATGATTTGAGTGTTTTTTTAAATATCCACTTAAATGTTCTTGGCTTTGTATGTTATCAAGATGATGAATCCGTAATATGTATTGAAGAACGAAAATGCCAGACAGTGAGGTACCAAGCGAATGAGTCGGTTGTTTTTCTTTCGTATGTTCTTTAAACGGACAACATCAGTTTAATCATTAAATTGCCTCCTCTCGCGTTCTTCTCGTTGTGCTTTTGAAATATTCGTTTTTGCTGCTATAAACTCGATGCCAATTGTTCCAGTAAAGTGCGTGATTAAATATTGCTTCTCGCTGATTTCTGTAAGTTTAATTTAGCAGCGTGTAAGACTGTCGGTAGGATCATATTTAAAGGGCTTTTGCTTCGTAATGCATCATCGTTTGCTTAATACATACGGTCATAACATGAAAAGTAAAGAGTGATTTAATACTTTCAGGAACGGAATTGAATTTTGCGCTAAAAAGGGCAACAAAAAAGTTTATTCATGTGGTCCGCTTGATGAACAAAATTTGGCTTGAGGATATTTGCAAGCAAGAATTATTAAGTTTCATCGCACGAATTTCTAGAAATTTTTCAGTCATAAAATGCAGCTTCTCGGAATGTGCGGACTTTTATTTGAATCATTTTTTGATGATTGTTTCCACCTTATCAGTAATTACCGAAGAGATATTAAAGGAATGCCTTGCGCTAAAAATGAACACTCTTCATCATCTTGTTATCCATTCAACTCAATTGCACTTTGACGTCGAAATTATTTATTATAAATGGAATTCAAAGTACTTTTATTGCACTTTACAAAGTCATGGTTTTAATGGAGAGATTTAAAAAAGAAATTATGAGTGCTGTAATGTTTTATGCCTAAATACTTTTCATGGAAGGCAAATAATAAACAAACTTCCATTTTTTTAAGTCTCGTAAGTTTTGAATTTATGGTTTCAACTCTCAATGGCTTCGCCACAATGTTTATTATATTAAACTTAATTGCTGGGATAAAAACAATAAAGCAAAAAGTGCTTTGGCGTTTTCAGTTCAACTAACTATAGTGTAGTAAAATATAATAATTTATATCACGACTAAAACATATTTATATGCGGGAAAAAGCTATGGAGAAGCTCTAAAACTGTAAGTTGAATTCTGGTGTGAATTATAATAGTTGTTGGTTGTATAAATTTGTGTTCGTTCTAGTATGATAAAATAACTCCGCGTATTTTATTCGATTATAATTAATTTTTTATTGTTATTGCTCATTATTCCGGCCCAAAGTGTTGAGGATTGTTTTGAAGCACAGAAGAGTTTTAGTTTCTCTGCTTTCGTCTTTGATGTTAGTTAATTATACACGAGAACTGAGTTGGTTTTATGATTAGCTTCTCTTCGCCATGGCCTCAAAAACTTGAAGGCATTTTCTCGTTTATTATTTGCTGTTTGTATTCATTATTCAATTTATATTAATCATAATTCTATTTCTCGTTCTTTCGATGTCCAAAAAAAAAGCTTTTTTCATGGCCGCAAAACATGCTTCATTTTTCAAAAAAAAAAAGTAGAAGAAATGTGCTATTTATTTACTTCATAAAAAATGAAAATTAAAGACAGAAATGGAACATAAAAAGTTAAATCCAAAACTATAATTATCAACACTTCTGGGTTTGATTAAGAGCCTGTTTAGTTAGGGAAAACAAAGTATCCATTTAAATGAAAATTAATGATAAAGGAAATCAAAACTCTTCAATATATATTTCTCAAGTAGTTCTTCGTGTCACTTCATAAAGTTTCGTAAATGTAATTTTCTTTCAAGTCGAAAGTTAATAATAAATACTTTCTCATCAATTTATCTATCCTAAGGATTTTCTTCAACCCACATGACCTAACATCCAAACAAGCCATCATCACAAAAGATGTTTATTTTGCCCCAGGAGATTCATTTTAAAACGATTTTTTACAAGTTGAGATTTAGAGTTTTCGGAATAAATTATCCAACATACAACAAATGTGCCGACTTTAAGCCCTTTTCTTTCTTCGCTCTCCGCTTGAGACTGGCGTGAACTTCAAGACACTGTTGAGGCCAATTTAAATAATCGATTTGATGATTTTGAGGAACACGTGAGTTTTCAACGCAATAAAAATTATCTACTGATTTTGATTTATTTGCGATCATAGATAGCTCGGGTGTAATGTAAAGCAACAATTTTTCAGATTTCATAAAAAGGATAGTGTCGAAAACTTTCGCAAACTGTCGATCACAACTCACCAAAAATAAATCTTTTTATGGCAAAACCGAAAGAAATCTTTAACAAAAGAAATTCACTTCAATAAAAATATTTGTCCACAAACTTGACGTGTTTAATGACAAATTTCAATATTGTGGAATGACAAGAAGAAAAAAAAAAACAATCTCAATTGTTACGACCAAACATAATGGAAGTTTCTTATTGAATTAGAGCATGAATGCATAATTTGTGTAAGCGAGAAAAATCCAACTTTTTTTTGCCATGATTTGACGATTTTTTTCGTTGTTCCTGTTATTGAAATCAGTTTTTGCTGCCAAAGTCTTTGAAGAAAAAAATAAGAAAAGATTTAGAAAAGTTGTTTATTAGCGAAATTCAAATTATGCGGTATAATCGGAGTTAAGGCATAATAGTAGAAAAAAGCAGCATAACAACAATGAAACGTGTCTCTCTTCGCTTTCTTTCAAACTCAGGGAACCATAACATTGATTTTCTTTTCTGTTTTTCCTAAAACCATTTTTCATTGCTATGATTGCAGTGCTTTAGAAATGTTGAAGAATTGAAGAAAACATTCGTCTCTTTTTTTCAATATGATTTTCATTTATTTTGCACCCCTCAAACAAGGAATAAATTTTAAAAAATTGTCATAAAATCAAATTTTGGCACCATGAAAAATTTAACAATCAAAATATTTTAGAACACATCGTTTGCATGGATGTAAAAATTAGCTTGGGTTGATTTCTTCAGTGAGTAAAATTCTGTTTATGTTTAATGATGTATAAATAAATAAAATTAAAAAGGTACAAGAAAAGTTGTGTATTTAGATTGACATCGTATGCTGCAGAAAATTGACTTCGACACGGTTAACAATAGAATGTGTACACACATATTTGTATCGCAAAAATATTTCACTCCTAGTCAAACAAACTGCTTGGAAGTAAATCGAGAATTATGTTTATTTCATTTATTGTTCGAAAAACATAGAAAATATTTTAAAAGAAACAGCAATCTAGCAATAAAAGTTGAGAAATAAACATTAATGCAATTGATATTAAGAAACGAGAACTGCATGCTTCATGACAAGTCAGTCACACTTAATAACAAAAATAGGCAAGTAAATAGGGAAACTCCATTTCATATTTTAGTCTCGTGCATTAACACAGTAAATAAATCTTCCAACGCCTAACTGATTCTTTTTATTTCAAAGGCTGAAGTTATGTTTTGAAATAGGAACAATCTACAATTAATATTTGTCCAAACCATTTTAGATACTAAACATTTTGTTCATTCTTTTTTTATTCAGATGACAAATTGACATTGACTTCACGGAGAGAAATATAAATTTATTTTTAATAAGCATTTAATTTGCCATAGCAAAGTTAGTTGTAATGCGATGTTTGTGGGGTTGTTATGTGATAGTGATCACAATAAAAACACCACGCCATTGATATCACTTTTTTCATTCCACATTCGGTAAATTAGGGTAAACCTGAATAACAAATGATGATGATACATTTCCATGATAGAATATTTTACGCTTTAAAAGTCTCACTTCTCAGCTTTGTTTACGGGGGATTGTTATTAAACATTTAATTTTGTGTGTAAGCTGTAAATCCATGACTAAATATGCTTTTTTATCCTTTTAGCTTCTCTTCATGAACTAACTGAATGAGGTTCCAAATTTTTCATAATTAGTGGAAAAACTTTATTTCTGTTTACAGAGTTACTTTCAAGATGATAACAAAACTGAACAATAAATTGCCATCAATTGTGCGAAACTATTTTTAACTTACGCAATAGGAAACTTGTAAACAATTTCGCTACTGTCACTTATTCTTTAGACACATGTCATTTTCACACAATTAGTTTAATATCATGTTTTGCGATGAAAGCGATAACTGAAATTTGAACAGATTGATTGTGATTGTGAGCTTCCTCATAGTTAAAGAAACTGTAAAAAATGCTCAATGACGACAAAAAAAAAGAGTTTTTCACATAGAAAGAAACGTTAAAAGCGAATCAAATTAGAAATGTTTCAAGCGTAATTCAATATGGAAGTCGTGAAGTAAAATAAAAATGTAAAATTTATTTTATTTACGATCATTAAATGGAAACACAATGTGAAAAGTTTTTACCGGAGAGAATTGAAAAATATCAAGGGATGAGTTTGCAAAGTTTCATAGATAAATATTTATAGGATTGAACTATACATAAGTAATTGGCTTTCAGTAGTTCAAAACAATCTGTTTTAATGTTTTGCAACATCGGAAATTTTGATGAATGATCAGTTATTCATCAGGGAAATATTCTCATTAAACAATGATGTGGTCATTAACAAAGTTCAACCAACACCATTTAGCTTCAGTATACATCATCCCGGAAATTTCTTAAATAAGCGTGTGATATTGAATTACATAGTTGGTTAAGAATAATCTCATGGAGATTTCTCAGATTATTTAAGAAGCTCGAAAAGGAAACAAAAAAGAGTTGAGCGTGATAATAATCAGTTAAATATTGTAACGATAAGCTTAGCTTGAATGAGAAACTTTCGATCTAATCTAATAAATGAGATGAATACCAACTACTTACTTTTTCAACCTTAGGATAGATTTTTGAATCACTTAATAGCGATAATGGAGAATTATTGTGGCATAAAACCTGCCCGATCATGAATGGGTCTCTTTTTCTGTCGATTAGAGGCGGATAGTTTTCTTCTAAACTTTTTGATTGCTTTGCTTGATTTGATCGACATGGGATCAGAAATTAAATTATTGTTTCCTATTATAATTAACTAAATGGATCAAGTTTACACATTTTTTCCACGAACTTCACTCAAATCGATGCTTGAAAAGGTGTTACTTACGTGGTGATCTCAAAGCTGCTAAGCCTATTTGTAGACACTTCAATCCAATCATTCGATTGATTCCCACAATGAGAAAATCCAAATTGATGATGAAATTATCAACTCCTTTTATTTGATTTTTCGTTCTATCTTGCCTTGTTCTCTTCGTTTGTGTGTAGAGACGGACAAAGCCTTAAATTACAATTAACAAATTATGTTATAATGATTTCAATAGTGATAAATCGTTTTAACCTCTAAGACGTAATATTCGAGATGTGGACGTTAGTAATGAAAGCTTATCCAAGTCTTACAAGCAGATTATTCTTTTGTTCGAAGAGTAAAGAAATTTTTAATTTCAAATGCATTTTTCATTATTCCTTCTCATAAATATCGGTTCAATATCATTTGTCTTATTAATTTGTTAAGCTTATAAAGAAAACAATCAGTTTGTAATCTCCGAATCCTTTTTTTCCACTTTTAATAATTAATAAGATCACAATTAAAGAATATTTTTTATAAATCCCAAACTGATTTTTCTGAAAGATTAAATCGATTAAATAATTTAATGTTTGATTCAAAATTTAAAAATTCATTTTTTTAATGTGTTACGCTTTAATTTTTTCGGAAATTCAACATTTCTTAAACAAAGCATAAATAAAAGATTGTTGTGGTTTAAAGTAATTTTTCTTAAAGTAATGTTGTTAGGATTTCTCAATGGCCAAGTTATTAATCTTTAAGTAAATTTCCTATTATAAATCTACAATGTCCTACCAAAATATTGCTAACATGATTTCATGAACAATCAATCTTCCAAATTGAACATACAAAAACCAATTTCGGTAGGCATGCTGAAGTTGAAATTAAAAAGTCATAAAATAACTTCAACCGCATCTTGTTCGGAATAATAGTAAAGGTAAAGGTGAGATGAAAATTAGTCGCTATACTCACAATGAAATATCTACAAATAGCTTTCAGATTTCTTTTATTCTCTCAATCGTGTCTTTCTCGTTTGTTATAACAAAATGATGATATAATGGATACACGAAAACATTATTGGTAGTACTGTGACTCTTTAAGTTAGAGTTGCCCAATTTACAACTCTTCATAGCACCATGTCCTTGTTGGACAAAAGAATTCATTTCTCAAACACTCTCATATCTCTTTTATGACGCACAGTTCTTGGGCATTCAACAAGACCTCGAATAACAACCAAAAATAGCAGGAAAAAAACAACCGTCAGTCGGTGCCTTTTGATAAACATACGAAGGTGTTATTCAGGTAATTAATATTACTAGTTTTTATTTCTTCTCTTCTTGTTAATGGTGCTTTTTCTTCTATCGTTTCTTTCGTTTCGTTTCATGACTCCAAACCAGCTCAGCATCCAACCAAATTCATACAGCGAAGGCTAATAATCAAAAATCATAATAATCATTTGTTATACATTTATTTTTATACACACAACCGAAAATTAAAACGCGCGAGAAACTAGAGCCTTAAAAATATAATCAACATCAAAGCCATGAAAAGGCATGTTTGAATAATGGTTTTTCATGAAAGAAAGAAAAGCTGAAAGCAAGCTCAATGCTTACATTTGCCTTATAGAGTGGAATGGTCCACTGGAAAAAAAAAAACATCTCAACGATGGTTTCAGGCAACAATAAAATTCAAATTTCATTAGGCTTTAGATACGATGGGTTCATGCATTTAATCGACGATCCCGGGACATAAACTACTCAACACTATGCGGCATATTGAGCACCTTAAATTATATCTCGAATCAGGTTTCAGATTATTAAACTAAATGTTGATTTTTATGATTTTGTAATTTTTTGTTTGTTTGTGGATAGCGAGAGGCCGCAACTAAAGAGTTAAAAAAGAAATTAATAAGAAAAAATATCTTGATGATGAAATTTATAGTGCGATGAGATCTAACATGAAATCAAATTGACTAAGAGGTGGGAATTGGATGGCGGCAGAATGAACAAAGATGAGAGCATTTTTATGAACACTAAAATGCTTTATTAGCTTTTGCTATTCAAAGACCTGCAGGATTTTCATCCCTTTGTGTCAAATGTTTCTTTGTAGCGGATAATTAATGGATGAAAATTTCTTTTTGATCCGTGAGAACCCTTAAAATGTTTTCAAAAGAAAGTGAAAAATCCCGTTACTTACTTTGTGTGGGTGATTTTATTTTTTATTCAAAGCTTATTGAAATTGAACAAAACAAAATCAATTTTTATAAACAATTCAAAAATAATTAAAAAGGGTCTTGAAATTGAATTTCACTTCATTGAATTTGTTTTAATTTCATTTGTTTGTACTCAAAGATTCTTTACATTTCTCAATGAGATATGAAAGGAACTCAACATTCAACGTCATCTTTGAATTCTTAAAATGAGCAGATATTTACCTGAAACAACAGATTCCAAATAACACAACACTTAATAAATTCTAGATGTGTTTTTAATTTGGTTTCGGTAGATATCTGAAGCATGAGGTGTTTCTTTCGTTGATCCACATGTTTTACTCACTGATGTAGCGCATTATCTTTTCCCGAGTGACATCAGCAATCAAAAACAACAATGTGTGTCTGTTCCATTTCAAATTCACGCGATTCACGATACAAACTACAAATTTTCTCCAAAATTGATTTTAACCATCTTAGTTCTTTCCGCATAAGGCGAAACAGGCAAGTGAAAGATGAGAAGAACTCTCGAAACGGTTTAATTCGAAACCATTTTACGCTATTTGGGTGGCTATCTACAAAACTCTTCTTATTTCATTAAAAAAAGTTAACGCTTGATATTTTATGTCTTTTTCTATTTGATCAAAAAGATCGAAAAACGAATAAATGAAATAAAATAAAACTGAAATCCATTAATAAAATAAAACATCGACTAGGGATCAGTATTTGAGTTAATAGTTCTTGAATATGACATGAACATACATTAACCGATATTGATCAAAACGTGAAATGTATTTCGTTGATTTGTTGATTGCCTCGTATTGGAATTCGTGAGCTTTCAAAGAATCTCAAAAGGGCTATTGTTGTTCGATGAGTGAATATAACAGATTTAATTTGATACGCTGAAGGAGCTGGCCACTCCAAACTACTTTGAAATACAATGAGACGATAGTTTTTGAAGTTAAGTACTTTTACTAATCGGATCTCAATGTCATTGATACATTTTTGATATTTATTGGTAACGTAACAAGTTTAAAGCGACTTGTAAAATTATTGTAAATTAATGAACTTGAAATCGTTAACTTTCATGACATCTGCAATAAAAAATCGATAAAAGCAGCCGGAGATAAACAAAAACCAATGCCGCAAAAACTTAATTTAGAGACAATGTCTGACGCTTTTCTCAGATTTGCTAATTTTAAATTCCACTTGGGAAACCACATATCAATAATTCCTTTCGCTTAGCAAATTATTTCTTTAGATTTCTATTGTGCTTGAAGGAATTTTGTTATTAATAATGTTTATGCATTTATTTCAAAATTCGACATGAAAAATCACTAAATTCTCGCTGAATGCTTTTTTCTTTTTGTTTCAAATTTGAAGATCATTTGTTATTTGCGGTGTTGCTTTCTTATTTGGTGCTATACGGCATCAGATCAAAAGCATATCGTCCCAGCTGGAGTCTGAGGCAACTACAAATATTACATTTATGATGATTGAATTTGATCTTTGCGGGATCTCAAATCTTAAATTCAGATTTTCTTATTTTACTTCTTTTTCAAACGAAAATAAATAATGAAAAAATATGTTTTCGATATCGTTGGCTCGCTGTTGGAACCGTATAATTAGTTTATGAGGTTAGATAGGTGTTAGAATATTTGACGATAAGAATCTTCATAAACTGAACTAATGGTTATTTTTATTTTCAGTAGAATGGTGAAGAAGTTCTTGTTGTTTGTTGGCATGTCGATATTATAAAGTAATTATATGTAAGAGCAGGTGAAAAGATGCCTACGCAATCTATTTGTTATCGAATATAAATTCTCCATTAAAAACCACAATAAAAACCTTTATTGTCGACATAAATATTGATAAGCAGTTTTAAAATTTATTTGATAATTGGCACACGCTGAACTAGATAATGATAGGTCAAAAGCCCATAAAATGTTTGATATACGATACCATGTACGATTTGTTTCGCTGCAGAAATAGAATAACATGATGTTAATGCTACTAAGTCGAACTAATAAATTTTCGAATATATTTAAACTATTGAACCAATATTAACTTTGCTTTTGTCAGCTGTCAGAGACCGGCCACTTTTTGACTCGGGTCAGAATAATTTATGTCCGTTCTTCGGTGAAAAGAAAAAAATTAAAAGAAGCGGTTTGCATGCTAGCTTTTGTAAATTAGCCGTTGCTAAATCAAGAGAAATTTAATTTTATATTATATTTGAAAGCCAGATTGTGTTACCAAAAAAAGTCTTCGACAAGGCTCATAATACTGAATTAGGAGAGAAACGTTTACGTTTACACCAACTTCATAAAAACAATTAACACCTGACATGATTATATGGACGAAATTTCAAGAATAAATAGCCGGCCATTGGATAGACTTTCCATCTTAAAATTGATGAGATAATAACAAAGTGTTAAAGATTTTTCCTCAAATATTGTTTTATTGCTATACATTCATTCGATTTCACATCAAACACATTGTATCTAAGGGTAACACAAAAACATCTAGCAAATCCTCATAAAAGATTATTTATTGTAAGTTAAACTACAAAATTATTGTAATTTCGATGTCGATGATGCGATGGTCTTTCATTGCTCAGCATGTGTTAGCATGCGATGTTGTTTAATTTGATTTTAAACTTCTCACTTTTTACTTAATCATCGTAGTGCAGGTGATGGGCTCAGAAGGCTTCAATAATTTAGATAGGAAAAAAAATCCTGAAATGATCGATTTGAAATCAAATGTATCTGTTCATTTAAATATCAATTTGTTTAACACGTTCCCTTCCCCCTTTTTATCATTTTGAAGCTTTGTTTATGAACCAGGTGTAAGTGGAAAGTTTGTTGTTTTAAATTTAAAGCAATAGATTAAAATTTTAATAGATTCAAGGAACTTTATCCGAAAATTTCATTTCTTTCTACATACATAGCTATGATCTGAATATTTTTCAAAGTTTTTCTTATACATTTTGTAGTAAATCGAACAAAAAACTGGTTCATGTCGTCTACCATTGTCAAAGACAAGAATGATGGAAAGATAAATGAACATAAACGACGATGATTTCATGATGTAATTATCATCATTTTGTTTCATAAAAATGATTGATTTCATAAAACCAGTACACTTAAAGCATCACATGAAGATCTTGTTAAATTTTAATACAATTATCCAATAAATTTAAGTTGTAATTCCTTAATCGATTACAAACTAAATAAGTGTGGCCAATGACACAATTAAATTTAGAATGTCGGCTTAATGGAAAGTTGACTTTTCCCATATTAGTCTTGTCAGTTATGTGAAATAATGCGACTGTCGACCACCCATTGCTTCAATATACCTCAAAAGCAGACAACAGCAAAAACAACAAACTTGCGCTAAGCAATACGATCAAAATGATTTTTTTTCTTCTCAGTTTAACTTTCAATTGTCTGACGAAATACGCTTACTTTGCAAGTCCTTTTGACTTTACCGCTCCGAAATTGGATCCTTTTCTACCTTGCACAATGGAATGTGGTGTGAAAAATTTTGTTAAACATCATTGTCGAGTGAAAGAATGTAACACGCAAACCAATAGCAACAATTCAAACAATAGCCAAAAATCATTTGACCAAATCAAATAATCATGCTGTGAAATGGTTTTTCCCTTTTTTCTCTCTTCTTTATCGCCCTGACCGGAGCACTCTCATTGTTCACTACATTTGATTCGAACTTCAGACATACACACATCGATTACAAAGAAAGAAATAAAATAAATTTATATGTATTATCCAATGTCTTAAACACTTTTAATTTGTTCAACGGAATGTCTTTCTGACTCGATCAGACATTGAAGCCGCTCACACTCTTTGTTATCGCTTACATTTCAAATTGATGGAATCTCCAAAAATATCTTTCTTTCTGTCAATAATCGACAGCAATAAAAAATCATGATTCTTTAATCGATCGCATCAAATCAACCGTAAAAGGATTTTTTTTTGATTTGAACGATTTTATTTGGACCTCACCTCAAGTTTTTCTTAAGCATTTTGCTTGATGGTTTAGCAGATTGATTGCACGCTGGATTCGACAGTTTGAAATTGTCTTAATATCACATATATGAATGAAGTATGATGTGTGAAAAAATTTAATCGTGTTGATTACAAAGCATCAGTTAATTTGCATAATCATTGCTAATTAACATATATTTACTCAAATGGATAATCCAACACTCTTTTCTTCAAAATAACTTAATCAATATTCACAACTATAAAAAGCTTTATGTGGGTTTGCTATTAGTTTAAAGACTTAATGGATCAACAAAATATTGAATGTCGATTACTGATTAATTTCATGGAAATTTTCGATCGTTTTTAACTGAACCACAACCCATAATCGCACTACATATATAGAAATTGGCTTAAGCGGTTTTTGATTGTGCTCAACTCAATAAGAGAGTGAGCCATGGTTTAGATCTTGTTACTTCAAACTCTTTCTTACCACACTCTAATTTTCTATTAAATATTTTCTTGCTTAGAAATTTATGCTCTGAAACAACTGAAAATATAACCAGAAGACTTTCAGAATAGCTTTTACTTAGATCGTCTAACAATTTACATCAATAACTTAGGAAAAGTAAGAAAAAGAAGCAAAAGTTGAACAGTAAAAAAAAAATCTTGTTACCAGAAGACATACAACAACTGGTAGCAACTCCTTCGTGTATATATTCAGATGTATAATGATCATGTGATTGATCTTATAACTTTGCAACAGGCCGAAAAAGTGCAAGAAATTAAATTTTCTTTCACGAAATGAGAGTCTCAAGTATATTATTTTTTTCGAATGATTATAAATTTACGAAGCAAGTAATAATACAGTTTTCCTGTGTCGGTTCGCAACTTGAAAGCTGCCGAGAATATTGCGAAGAATTGCTGAAATTGGACCAATAAGTGGCCACGCTGATCATTCGACAAGAAGCAAACATGCAAATGGTAGACAGGAAGGTATGCTTGCTGCAAATGAATTGCTAACAAGATGCAGAAAGCCTCAAGATAAAGAAATTGATGCTTTTGTTCAAATCAAATTACAGAACAATAAAATTCTGATCGAATGAGTAATAAAGTAAGCGACACGAATTCTTATAGTACTAAATTCTTATACTTCTCTTCCCAACCATGAATTGCAACGTCGTGAAACTTGTCATAAAATCAACATTTGAGGTCACAAGACTTGTTTCCCTGATTATGAATTTCATCGACAGAGCGCTTGCACGAAAGACAAATAAAAGTTCTTTTAAATTGCATAATAAATTGCTTAATTTACTCATCAAATACAGATTCAGCATTGACGACTTTAAATTACTGTTGCCATTTGTTTGTAAACTTCCTTCGTATTTGTTCTTTAAGCGGTAAGAAAGAGTAAATAGTAGAACGATCAAAACGTTCATCAAATTATAATTTATATTCAACGCTATTGCAATGAATTAAATCCACTTTCTTAATAACTTCCTTGAACATGAATAACAACGGTTTTGTAAGAAAAACTTCATTTGTGCAATTACATTTAAAACTTCAATACTGAAAGAACTTTCAGAAAACAAGGGAAACGATTAAATGGCCGGAACTGTTTTGTGTGATTTAAAATGCACAAAAGTTTTTCTTAAAACTCAATTGGACGAAGAACTGTCGCAAGCAGAACAATTGAGGTACAACACGAACATAAGTGTTGCAATTCTTCAAAAAAAAAAACGTTCAAAGAATAGTGTTAATGTTCGTGATAATTCGATAGCTTTTTTTAAATTATAAGCTAATGTACTAAATTCAGAAGCAATTGAATAATTACAGAAATTAATACCATCACAACTTACTTTAACAGAAGCTCGTTTACACATTCTATGGCAGTTTAATTATACAAAAATGGTTGTTGAAATACTCAGCCTTCATTCATGGATGAAGAATAATATTCATATTATTGAAAATTAGTATTCAAAACGGACAAATCATCTAAGCAAAACGCTACTTAAACCCATATTTCTTTCCCTTCTAAATTACCACAACAATGAAATTTCCTACAGATTTTGAAACAATGAATACCGAAAACCAGCAGCATTCACTAGAGAAGAAGAAACAATTATCATTCCTCAGTAGTTCACAGTGAGCATTGCACATTAATATTAATCTCTAAGCAGCGTTTATAAATTATTGGCTCATCGTAATTTGTTTCGCTTTTTGCGCAGAGTATAAAACAAAACAACATAAAAGAAATGTTGAAGCAAATGGCAACGTGATTATGGGAACTTAGAAGGAAATCTTAGAGAAAATGAAAGGCTTGGAAGTTATTCAAAGTAATAATTGAAATATGGCTAAATCAACCAAAAACATAAAGCAAAAAAAAACAATTATAAATACAAATCTCTCCTTCATTCTGCTTCGACACACAAGAATCTAATTAAAAATCTTTAGTATTGCTTGAATTGTTTTATTCAAAAATGCAAAGGTGTCGAAAAGAGTTAAAGTTTATTAAATAAATGTTATTCATCCACCTACGACACTGTCTGTTTTTCATTATGTTTCGAAAAATTATTTTCCCCAGTTGAACTATAAAGAACAAACCCGGCAACGTGCGAGAGAATCAAAACGCATAAATGTATTTTTAAATAGATAATTTTCCATTGTTTGTCATCGAGTGATGGTTAATTTGGGATGTAGGTAGTTAGGCAATTGAGTATGGCTCTTTCTCGTATTTATTATTTATTATGCTGCCAGACCGTGGAAAAATTATCCAATTTAACGGTACATAATTTGCCTTCACTTTGCCTGATGTGCCTCACCATCCTTCTGCCACCCGAATCATTGCTCATCTCTTGACAAATTCTCCATAATTCTAACTTGATTTCTTTTCGTTTCTTCACGTCGAATAAAAAACTTTTTTTATCCATGAATGTGGAGCAGCAAGTGCAATTATAAAAAGAATTTTTAGTTAATATTCTGTTTCCTTAATACTTATTCAAAAGTTTGTAAATTATGGTAATTTCCAACAAATAAGGTTTCCACACATAGTTATCCTTATTTTAACGCCGCACTAGATATTAAAATCGTCGAGTGCTTCAATGAAACTTAAACATGATACAATAATAATAGCATGTAAGCCTCGAATTCCAAAATAGCAACGCGCATCATAAAGCTCAAACATTATTTTATGTTTTTCAATAAACAATTTGATTTATTAATGCTCTGGATACAATTTCTCTTCTTTTCTCTTCATTCCACTCGCTCTTCTGCTTATTAAAGCCTACACAAGTGAAAAATAATGAAATTGATTTCATCTCGTATTTTTTTCCTTACTCGTGTTGTTATTTATTTGAGTCAGCGTCGAGGGAATAAATATCATCGAATGAATGTTTGAACAACTGCTAAGGAAAAATACATTTTTAAATCAGCGAAAAAAGCTTGTTGAATTTTTCAGCAGCCGGTTGAAGTAAAACAAGCGAATGTATATAACAGTAATGTTGTTTGTGTAAGTGCTTAACAGCCAATAACGGCGCTCTACACGCCCCTCAATTCTTCTTTATACATAGCAGAAATACCAACATTATGTTGCATGAAACATAAATATTTGTACAATCACAAGCAAAACGAGATATCCATTGTTGCTAACATTTACCAATGGAAACAGAGTGAGAGAACGGCAAAAGCTTTTCACATAGTCTTTTTTATGGCCAAACAGATTTAGAAATGTCTCAGTTGGTGTTGAGGATAGCACAAGAGAGAACTAAAATCACAAAACTTGCGCCTGTATTAAACAAATAAATCTTTGTTTACATTTTCTACTAAACACTCGTTTCTTTTAGTGTTTCTCGATGGAAAATTGAATAAAAAGCTTACCAGAGTTCCGCCCTAAATATTTGTTAAAGATTTTCTGCCGTTGAGTTGGTAAAAGTCGAGCGGCAAAAAGAGAAGAGAAGAAAAGTAGAAAAAATTAATAAAAAAAATTGAAACTATACAACAACAGAAACATGCAATTTGGTATTTCAACACCTTTTGTTGATTTGATAAAACAGTCTCAACAAACAATTGAATCTCGTACGACATATTTTTGCGGAGCGGGAAGAAAACTTTTCGATTTATTGGCGTGAAATACTTTTTAGTGTTTTACGGATATTTGAATTCAGTTGAAGTTAAGTGAGTGAAGGGAGAAGTGAAATGTTTCTAAACATTTCTCTTAAATTGAAAAAATAAAACTTATTATAAATTGATGAACAACAACTATTTATAAAACATATTTTGATGAATAAAATGTGATTGAAAAATTCATGCGACAAGATCGTAAAGAAAGAGAAATAAAATTTATTGAAATGCCGCGACCATCGCGTGAACAATGTGAACAAAAACCTCCGTATTCGTACATAAGTTTGACGGCTATGGCAATCTGGAGTAGTCCTGAGAAAATGCTACCATTGAGTGATATTTATCGGTTTATTACTGATCGGTTCCCTTATTACCGAAAGAATACACAACGATGGCAAAACTCATTGCGTCATAATTTAAGTTTTAATGATTGTTTCATCAAAGTTCCTCGACGTCCTGATCGACCAGGAAAGGGCGCTTACTGGACGTTGCACCCGCAGGCATTTGACATGTTTGAGAATGGAAGTTTATTACGGAGGAGAAGACGATTTAAATTGAAAAAGAATGATAAAGATGTGTTGAATGAAGAATTGGCAGCATTGGCGAATATAAATCGTTTCTTCCTTGCACAGCAACAGGGAATTCAAGTGAATGATGGATATTATCAATCCTTGCCACCACCAGAACCTACGTTACCTCAGCATCAATTAGTCAATTCCCCTATCAGAAATATGATTTCACCAACTACAACGATTCCAATTCCAAAGACGCGCAGACAAAAACAAGATTTAAAGACGAAACCGAAAAAAGCTTTCACGATTGAAAATTTATTGCGCAAGGATAAAAGTCAAACAAATAATCAGAATGAAATTATTGATGTCGATGATAGTGAACCACTGGTGACATCAAATTCTACTTCGCCATCACATTCATCCACAATTTCTACGCCACAGCCAAAACTACCCCCAGCATCAACATTGTTGCCAGGTGCAATTCCATTCTTTCAATATCCTCACACAACAGCTGCTCTCAATCAAATGGGATATGATTTACCAATTCATCCACTTTTGATGATGAACCCACTTCTTCCATCATCGTATTTCCAACATAATTATTATCCACCAACCAGTCAGAATCAGTTACAATCGAACTTGCGATTGGTTTGAATTTTGGATGATGATTTTATTTAAGAGTTAATAAGAAAGTTTTCAAATAGATATTCAAGGCTGTTAAATAATAACTCAATTCTAGTGTCAATATTTTATTTTTTCAATTTACAAACTATTCGAGTGTACCTTACTTATTGAATATTTACAAAATTTTGTGCAAGAAATCGTCGGCATTTTTCAAACAAAGATAATCATCGTATGTGGAATCAAACAAAAGTTCGAAAAGCCAACCGCAATAATTTATACAGAAATAATTTAATTATGGCTTCAATTTACGTAACCTCAGTTGTTATCTATAGAAATTCTGACAGGTAAACCATACATTCCATTCTTCAACTGTTTGTAAATTTATCAGATTTAGTTTTTAATCTCCTTTGGTCTTGTAGTATTAAATTATGCAAATTTTTTTTACTCAATCTTGAGAATCTTTTTCATAAATGTACAAATATCTTCACATTAATATTTTGAAAAGAATAATCTGAATAAAAGAATCATTTTATCGATAATGCTTCATAAAACATAGAATAAATAGTTTTCATAATATTAAATTCTTCAGAACAAAACCATAAAAAATTATGAACGAACATTCATTGATTTTCTCACAGCATCAACATCAATTTAGTCAGGATAACAACGAACATATTGTAAGCGTGATGTGATGTTTCGTTTTTATTTATTTATGAGTTGGAAGTTGCAACAAATATTTTGAGAGTCAGAAATGATTTGAGGTAACAATAAATCTTTAGTACTCTGCATTTAGCAAAAAAAGGTGCTTGAGAGGTGTCTGATAATGCAATAATAAGACACTAAAACCATCACGAGAGTTAAAATAAATGAAAACCCTTTTATTACCTTTTGTTTCTTTTATTACCTTTTGAAAATGATAAATTCTACACAAACACGCAAATTAACTCAACTAAGGAGTTAAAAAATGTTCAAAAGGATAATCACGAAGCCTTATTAAATGAATGCTCAAGGCATTATACTTTTTTGTGTTTGAAGGAACAACGGGAAATTGGAAAATTACTTAGAAAACCAAAACTCTTCATTACAACTTTGAAATGTTTTAGACACTTATTTTTGTGGCCGAAATTAAAGACAATGAATCATAAAGTAAAACAAAAAATGTTTGAGATAAAAAATTCCTTCAAATGCTTCTCTAAATTTTGTTCATTCATTACAACATGCATTTATGATAATAATAGCTTCTGATAAATGTTGAGAATGTTCGCATCTTTAAAAACTAATACAGAACAATATTTAAATAAATTTACATGATTTTCATGCTTCCAAAAAGGACAAAATTATCTTAAAAAATTAATAAAATGAACCACCAAAACGTTCGATTCAAACAAATGTGTAAAACATATTTTGGTAGCAAGGAGATAATGCATAAACAATGAAATATTTATGTATAATATTTTCATAATAATAATTTTTTTAATATCTGTGAAATTAACATATTTTTTTATTTCATGCAAGTAGAAGTTATTAGTACTAAAGCCTCCGTCCCCTTGTCAAATTTCTAATTTATGTCATACATTTGAAATCGGAGACATGTTTATTTGATATATCTTCTCTCATTCTTACAACATTCATTAAGGGATCATCATTAAGTTCAGTACAAGCTCGTAATAATTCATTACTGACTTTTACACACATCTAAAATTTAAATATCTTGACAGGTGACAAAACACTCAAATCAACTCTTCAAATTTAAGTTGTGTGCACATAAACACATAATAATTGCATTTTTTAACGAAACATAAAAGTCAGAAGGAAGAAAATTAAATATCATCTAATCTGATAATGATCATGTCAGACATTTGTGAAAAGGAAATTGACATGAAAGCTCTTGACGGTAGATGATAAGGCCATAAAATGTGATGAACGATGCCAGGTTTATGTGCCACTTTGTTGCTATAAAAATTTATAAAAAGCGAGATATTATCTCTTCAAATGAGTCTTACGACAAGCTTAAAAAGCTACTACTGAAGAGCTGTCATTTATTTACATCTCATCTGTATGATAAGAATAATGATTTCGTTATTTAAGATGAGTGGGAGTGAAGCTGTTGAAAAGCATGTTTTCAGATGACAAAATTTATATCTGCTTGAACTTTTCGAACGCATAATTCATTTTTTTGAATTTATTATTCTTTATTTTTTTCATCATTAAGCTCGACTAAGAAATTTAAATTTCTACTTAAAAAATGACATTCATTAAAGCGATGCATTAAGCACGTTTATTCTTTCTGCACGCTCAGAAAATTTTCCGCACTATCGAGCGATAAAATAATAAATGTAACGTAATTAAATAAGTATTTCAGATCGAAAACGTTAAGCAAAAAGCTTTTAATTTTCAAATCTGAAGCTTTAGTGTGTGTGAAAAATTCTGATGTGTTTTCAGTAAATCGCGTCGTTATTCGTTCTTTTGTGAGTGAATGTGAACGATTGAGCAATTGCTATTTTAATTAAAAATTAAGTATGACGAATCACAATTGGGAAAGAAAATCTATAAAAAAATATCTTTTTTTAATTCACTCTCACTTCAATGCCACATTGTATTGTTATTAATTGACTTAACTCAACAATTGTTTATTACGTTTGAAAATTGTTGATGAATATGCGCAGTTGACTTGACATTTCATCTTTTCTTTTATGATTTTTAAACATTCAATTATGTCAAACTGGTAAGTTGAAGAAGTTAATTATCTCTTAAATTGATGGTCAAATTAACAATTTTGTTTCAGCAGGTCTGTAATAATGTCTTTTGCTGTCGTCAAAAACCACACTCATTAATCAAATTTGCATACGGGAATGCAAACTTTAAAACAGAAAATTCGATACGATAACTTCAAACGAGACTGTTTCGATCGTGACGTTTTTGAACAAATTTCTGCGCATGCAAAGCTAGTGAATCATTCGGGAAGAGCGCTGTTCAAAACAATTTGAAATTTGTGAAAATATTTACGTTTATTTCGATACTTGCAAAAAATACCAAATTTAAATTGGCCTGATTTCACCAACAGCGAAGTTAGCTTTTTCGTGTGTTTACAAAGTGAGTGTGAATGAAAATAAACAGCTTCAAATATGCCTAATTCAATTTATTTATGATCATTATAAAACTGTGAGGAAACTTGTTCCGTTTTGATTAAAAAATATTTAAATACATTCAAATGTTTGGGGCTCGACTGGCTAGGCTATCTAAATACTTTTACTTAGATATTTCGATAAGAAATGTTTTTCATAATGTTTGTGTGCGATAAAGTGTTGTCTGATGATGTTTGGTTAGAATTGCGCAATATAAATATCATATTACTTCATTTTTGAGTAAATAAATAACAAAGTAAATAAAGTTGTTGACAACAGGTACGACGCAAAATTTCACAATATTCCTTCTCAAGTATAAGGTCGTTTACATTAGACAACCCTTAAGAATCCTGCAATAAAATACTGAAATTAGTTCATGTTTATTTATTCACATCATCCGCCTACTCATAAAACATTGAGTTTCATTTTTTTCTCTGACGTTTTTCCTTTTGAACTTTTTTCAGAGCAAAGTGATTACAAATTTCCAGTATAGAAGCAACAAACGGATTAGAAAATAAATAAACAGAGAAGCGACCTTATTAACCCATTTAATTGTTAGGAAATTTCACACAGAATGTCATTACAAAGATTTTGATCTCAAATAAATTGTGAGCGAGTCTAAAAATAATTTTTTATAGGCAAATATACTATCGATGTCTGTAAATGTATGTGAAGCGACATTATGTGACCTTGACGATTAAGCAATAGAAAAAAATTTCAAATGCCGGGGTTTTCTTTTTTGATGTTGTTCCGGATTTTTTTGTTTACAAAACATGTATCAGATATCTATTGTAAATGATTGATTTACTGAATTTTTCAGCAATAAACAACTTTTTTGTATAAGTTAAGTTTATTATCACGACCTCTTATCTTCAAATGCAACACCTCGAGGTTTTGTTTACAGATATTTATTTAGGTATGTATTGATTATTTAGTCTCAATTGCGTGTGTTACCCTTTTTCGGTAACTTTCCACATGGCTTTGGCGTCAGTGATCACATGACTTGTGAAATTTCTATTTATATTTTCCCGTGACTGAGAGAAAGCATCACCTGCTGCAAAGCTCACGTCATGAGAATCTTAGGGGTACTTGAAAATACTTTGGATTACATGGTATCAATTTAGTCTTACCTAAACAATCTTTCAAAAATTTAAAGTGCAAATGCGCAGTTTTTTGAAGTAAACAGGTTGAATCAATTTATTAGAAGCGTACTGTCTACTATCAACTTAATTTGTGTAACAATAGAATAAAATGAACAACACGATATTCCGCTGGTTTATTAATGCTGTTAATGTTTATGTGTACAACTTGTAAATATTTACTTTGATAACAAACGCAATTGCAACAATAAAGTTCAAATTTTATTGTTTTTTATGCACTCATGTGATTATTTATTATGAAATATTTTTCGTATCGCTAATTATGAATAAGATATAAAATATGTGATAAATAAAATGCTTGAAAAAAGAAACAACAGCACAATGTCTACCTTTTGTTCTGATATCAGGAATAAGTTCTGAATTAAAAACAAAGATAGAGTTACGAACATGTATTAAGTTGTCTTTATATGTCGTGGAAGTGCGAAACGTGCCGTACTCATATGATTAGATTTTCTGTTTTGTTTGTTATTTTGCCGGTTGATCAAAATATAAAACACAAAAAAAAAATTTTGATTCAATTTTTAAGTGCCCATGTGCCAAAGCTATTAATTTGCATGTATTTGTTCTTCAATTAAGATAAAAATATATCAGAGCGAGAAAAAGAACAAGAAGACGCATCATCGGTCTGATGAAAGTTAGCATTGAAATGCTAAATGTATGCATGTGACAATGATCACGTACGTAGTTTTAATTTTTACACATTTACTGGCGCCTTCACTAAGCAGATAATTAAACTTAGGTAGTTGTAGAGGAATTTACAAACAATACTTATGACAATATGCATGATCTCAGACAATGAAATCTGACATTACGCGTTCAATGACTAATAATAGAATAAACCCGAAAGAAATTATTGAAAACAAGTCGTACAGACTCGGTGCATTCTTGATAAGTATTTTACTTCCCATCATGTGAATATTCACTGAATAATTTAAATCGAAAACAAACTTAAAGAGAAAGAGCGGCTACTCATTTAACAAATTGTTTGAGTAAGAACTAATGACATAAAATAAATGAACACTTACTAAAACAAATACGAAGAAAAAAAACCTTCACACAATCAAATTGAAGGCAGACAATCTCGAGAGTGCTGTGAGTAGAAAAATCCAATTGAGCTCATTCATACATCAGCAGTCAATGTGAAAGCAAGTAAAAAATTTTACTGAACAGAAATTTAAAAAATCACGCAAAAGCGAAATCTCTAAAGTAAACATCACAACGAGAACATTTAAATGAAAATTTGTACACAATTTTGAGTGTAACTTCACTAAAATTCTGCCAATAAAAATTGTGAAATTTATAAAACTGAGACATTTGATCAAAGTGAAGAAGAAGACAATTTATTGATCATTTTATTAATCTTTTGATATACCGAAATCAAAAATGGTATTGGCTACAGAAATCATGTTGCCTCCAAGAAGAAATTCATTCAATGGAGCTGATTCTCCTCCAAAGTCACCCACAAAAAGTAATTGGTGGTTCTTCACCTCTAAATTGAAGTCAGCTACTACCTATGGCGGAAGCACACACACAGTTGCAACACAGAAACTACGCGAATCTAAATGGTTTAATCAAGATGAAGAGCGACTATATTGTGCAGTTATTGAGACAGGGTTTATCGTTGAAATAATGCATCATGAACAACACAACGAAGAAAATAAATCACATTACGGCGTTGTAAGCGTTGAACCTAAAAAAAGTAAGTTTTATCGTGCGATTGTTTTGTTTTTGTTTCTTTTATCAGTTGTCACGCTACAACAATTCTGATATTTTATGACATTCACTTCTCTCATTCTCTTATACGACACCTGCAAATTTAAATTGATAAAAATGTTCACAATCATTTTTGCCAAATTTTATTCTTAAATTGAAAACATTTTTATTTTGTCACGTGCCATTCATTCACTTTTCACGATTCGTTTGAGTTAAATTAAGCTAACAATAAAAATGTATACATATATGCATGACATGAGGGTAAATAGCACGATCATCTCTGAATGACTTTAAATACTTTTCGCCAGCTTCGTTTTTATTAGTAACAAACATTCCAGTTTGCCAAGTAGCTGCCCACACAAATAAATAAGAAGAAGGAAAAAAGCTTAAATATCTTTAATTCTCTCATCTTTCTTCTCATTGCAAACAGACAAGAAACCTACCGCTAATGATATCTTCGTATACACTGTGAACAAATGTGAGAACCGGTTGAAAGTCATAAAGGTTAGCACCAAGGAGCTTTGGGAGCAAAATTACAAAATCCGTATCAACAATTTAAATGACAAACACAAAAAAACAAATTCTGAGAAAGAAATCAAGAGCCAGGTAAATTGTTTACAATTGCTTGTTATGAATTATTTTGAATTTAGGGTCTAATTTTTAACATCAACAGATCAATTACGCTATCAAACACAAAACCGTCTTCCACAACAGCTTACATTTTGTCGACTTCTGCAGATATGGCGAACAGTTAGAAGAGCGAAAACGTCAAGTATCAGAATCTGTGAAATGGGGATCTGTCGGAATGAATGCTGGCATTTTCCTTCTCACTCGAGAAAAGAGTCATTCGTTCTCGAAATAACAAGCCAAGATGATAAACCTCCATGGGTGAAACGTGACCAAAGTGCATTTTTGATAATTTATATTTTACAAATAAGATTAAGATTCTTTCGTAATATAAGATGACCTTTACTTTATTTAATGAGAAATACCTACTATCAAAAATATTTGTTATTTAAATATAAGAGTTAAAGGTAACGTGTTTGTACGTTGTCGAGAAGAGTGTAAGATTGTTGGAATTATATGAATAGCGAAAATGATAAAGTTCTAAAGCGGACAAACAAACGTATTATCTTATTTAATTAAAATCACTATGTGAATTTGTTAATTGAACTGTTTTTCTTTACAGAGCTCTAAGAGAGGAAAAATAAAATATAGAATAAGCATTTGGTTTTTTGAAGTCAGGTCTGATGTTAATGACTCTGTTTTGTTAAAAAACTTTCTGTTTCAGATTCTGAATGTTTGATATATTCAAATATTTTTGCATCACTAGATAGATTCATTCTATAAATGAACTTTCACAATGGGATGGATCATGGTCATATATTTTTGTTTTATTAATAAATAGATAGTTACAGACACATCACAATTTCTCTATTTGTGTCAACTACCAATAAAAGAAAAATTAATTGAATACAACCGATAAGGATGAAAAATTATTCTAGTTCTACTTCCTAATTTTATTAAAAAAAAATAGTTGAACTCTATCAACTGATATTACCAGAATAATAAAAACTTATGTTTCAAATATAAATAAAGCTCTAGAAATTCAAAGCATTATCAAATTGTTATTCGGGCTTAAGTGATTGCACACGATCTTTTCATATTATGACACATTGCCGAAAATCAATTAAACTAGAATTTAATTTTCTTAGAAATCATCTGTTTATTGCTTCCTGCATAATTAAACTTTTATTTTTTTGCTTATTTTACAGACTTTTTTCAGATTTTATCGAAAAATTTCGATAGTCAGTTTCAGGTGGAGAGTGTGGAATCTTGGAACAAATATCTCGGAAACTCATGGTTTTTTGCGCTAGCGCGTCGACTGTATTCGAAGTTTGTTTACAAAAATTATTTCTATAAATAATAAAGCCGTAAACGTACGTCAACGTTGAAAAACTGAAATTTTCACATTCAAAGCACATTTTAACGTCTGATATATTATTAAATGATCTTGAAATGGAACATTCTTTTCAAACTCGACTAAATTTAACTACTTCAGAAGTTGAAATTTTAAAACAACATGGGATTTTCTCCATTCATACTTTTCTCAGTCATTCAGATAGAGAAATAGGAAAAATATTAAATATTTCCACGTCTGTTATTGCGGAGAGAAAAAAGAACATCTACTTTTGTAATATTGACGTAATCAACAGTTGGGATTGTTTACAAGAGTATATGGGAAAACTTGAGCTTTTTCGGACAAACATTGAACAATTTGATGAGCTTTTCTCTGGAAATGGAATGTCAAGTGGAGACTTAATTGAAATAATTGGTCTACCAGCTTCTGGAAAAACAATGCTTTTAAACACGATTATTATTAACACACTTGAACAAGCTGATGACTTCAACATTTTGTTCATTGATACGAAATATGATTTTCAGCCAATAAAACTTAGTAAGATTATGGACAATAGAAAGATAACAACGAATGTGCAGTCATCTATCCTTAAACGCGTGACTGTTGAAAGAGTCAGTACGGTTGAAGATATCATCAAAGTTCTCAGATATATTCTCGATACACCGACACAACACGAGAAACTAAAAATTATCATGATTGACTCCATAACAGTTCCATTTTATTTCTATACTGGTCACACGCTTTTCACATTGAATCTTATGACGGAGGTGGTCGAGCTTTTGAGAATGCTGTCAAGACGGAATATTGCTGTAAGGCTATTTTGTCATTCAATTAACAATATTATCTAATTTTTGATCGTTTTTATAGTTTCTCATCACAAATCATGCTTATCATTGGGATTCTTTCGGAGATGATCAGGCTTGTGACACGGGACAAGAAAATTTAAATTCCAATCCATTTTCTTCCTCAGACGACTCACAATATAGTGTATCTAAAAAAAAAGTTAAACCAGCATTAGGAAAATATTGGGAAACTGTTTGCGAACATAAAGTTCTTTTAGACTTCAACGATTATCCTCATGACTTTGATTTTGACTTTTTCAAAATTGAACGTAGCATTTCGTTATTTTCAAGTAAATTTGCTGCACCCACAAGTCCAAAACTCTTTCACATCACAAATAAAGGTATTACATAGTTAATTAACTTATTTATTTATTGGTTTCATTGCTAACATGTACACCGGAAACAGACTTTTTGGGAAATTTGTCTGACGTTCTTCTTTTATAATTTTAAGATTTGATTCTTTTAATATTTTTTTGAAATGACCTCTTGGGCGAGTTACGGATGAATCTATTTCATCGACAATAGTTTCATTGTTTTTCGTGAAATTTTCCTTAACCACAATAATTCCATTTTTATTCAACATTTTTGAAACTCTCTTAAAGAATTGAATTAAGTCAGGCTCTTCAATATGTCCCAGAACCCATTGTGACCACACAACATCATATTTAATATCAGATTCATTAAAATCTTGTAGCCCAACATTGAACACTTCTCCTAAGTGACCTGAATTGGCTAAAGATTCTCGAGCCTTTTGACAAAATTTTTCATCTAAAATAGTGAATAAAACTTTTTAGAGTAAATCGAATCCGTAGCAAGTAACCTGAAACTTACCTTGTTCTATCAGATCAACTGTTTGGAACTCGTTCATTAAAAGATTCTTCGAGACACGACCAATACCAGCCCCACAATCCAAAGCTCTGTTTCTTCCTGGTGCTGGTTTAAATTTAAATAATAATTTTAAAAACCTTGTTGATGCTTGTATATCTGTAACAGGAATCTTCATAGAATTTAATTTATACTTTAAAGAACTTTAAAAATTACCAAGAAATCCTACTTCTGGAAGTCCACCTAACATACCACACACTGTTGGTTCTATTGTCTGCCAATATTCCTTGGCTTTTTCATATGTCACCTCACTGCCATCGTCTGTTTTGCCATTTTTCTCTTCTTCGCTCATGTTTTTATTTTTTTGAAGAAACAACAAAATAAATTTGCTTGGAGTTACCCGATAAGTCTTAAAAGTTCGGCATATTTTTGTTGAATTTGTTTAAGGAATTTTATTATCTTAATTATTAGGTATTATTTATGAGTTTTCTGTCTCTTTAAAATTACATTTTGTACAAGTATAAAACACTGTTTGTCCTTCATCTGCGGATCGGAGTTGTAATGTGGCGTAGCTCATCTTATTGTTTCCACATTTCAGGCATTTCCGTTCGACTACTGGACCTTCTGATTCCTCTTCATTGACTTCTTTATTCTTGTTCCTTTTATCGATTATTTTATTGAAATGAACAGTGTACTCGACTTCCATCCGTCCAAAAACTATGAAATAAGAATTCATTCATGCATCAGAAAAATTTTAGTCAGTTAAACAGTTTTATTTACTTGATGGATCAAATTCTTTCGAGCATAAAAAACATATCACAGATCCTTGTGATTTAAGTGGGGGCAAAATACTTCCACAATTTGGACAAAATCCAGGCGTGACATTAATTCTGCTTTCCATTACTTTTTTAATTTTTGAATAATTTTAAGCAGTCACGTTTTACACAAAAATCAAAACAAACAATAAAACATCTGGCAACACTAATCAAAGGGTGTAAAACTACAATTCCGGTTTAATTTTCTCTGCTGTCATCATAAATTTTTCGCCCATAAATAAATTAATAAAGTAGACTTGAAAATAAGTTTAAAACAAGTTTAATTTATTCAGAAGCTATTTAAGAATCATCCTTAAGTAAGAATTTGTAAAAATGAGTGAAAACGATCAGTACAATGATAACCAGATGCCCCAAGACCAGCAACAACAGTATAATGGTAATAATGCCTCAAACAATAGACATGATCAACAAAATTATGAAGAAGATGTAAGTTTGAAATATTTTATTGGTTAATTAATAGAAAAAATGCTGTTATTTACTGGAAAATACGAGAAAATTGAATGAAAAGCAAAAAGGAAAATGATTTAATAGTGTTAGTGTGAATCGCCATGTTGACTTTATTTTGTCTTATTAAATGATAAGATGCACAACCACGAAAATTACACTTGCTTACTTTTCGTTCGGCTTTCAACTCTTAATAATGACGCATCTATTTTGTCTCTGTTGTATTAATGTTCTATTTTATAAAATAATCACATTTGAAATAGGAAATAATTCGAGAGCCAGAAGTTGTCAGAAAACTGTTCATTGGTGGGCTTGATTATCGTACAAACGATGAAACACTCAAAGGTTAGGAAATTTGTTACAGATCAAATGAATTTTTTTTAAATCTTTTTTCCGTAATTTTAGCATATTTCGAGAAGTATGGAAAAATTGTTGATGTCGTTGTAATGAAAGATCCAAAAACAAAACGATCTCGTGGCTTTGGATTCATTACGTATTCTCGCTCGTCGATGGTAGATGAAGCACAGAAGGCAAGACCACATGTTATCGATGGAAGGTAAGCTAAAATTAGAAATTAATACAAGTCAAGTATACAGCTCCAGCTCCGAGTCTAAGTTTTCCTAATAGAGATCGGCGTTTCATTGCTGTTAAATTAATTATGAGCTTTGGGGATATTTTTGCAGTTCTAGTTAAAAATACTAGAAATGTGACAATTTTCTTAGCCACAATTAAAACTTTTAAGATTTGCGAACATAACACATTTTATTCTTAATTTCAGAACTGTTGAACCAAAACGTGCAGTCCCTCGACATGATATTAACCGTCCTGAAGCTGGAACATCGGTGAAGAAACTTTTTGTTGGTGGACTTAAGGAAGATTTCGAAGAAGAAGATTTACGTTCGTACTTTGGAAGATATGGAAGTATTACGTCGGCTATTATTGTTACTGATAAAGATAGTGGCAAAAAGCGTGGTTTTGGTTTTGTTGAATTCGATGATTACGATCCAGTTGATAAAATAGTTTGTAAGTGATAAATTTGAAATATCTCTGACAGTCCCAGCTCCGATCTCATCGTAAATATTACCCTGATGAAGAACGGCGTTCTACGACTGTTAAATCAACAATATTGAGTGTCAAAAGCTAGTCATGTTTGTAATTTCTTCCTATTTTATTACGAGAAACGCTTTCGACACACATTTTAATTATTTTAAGAATTCGGCGAATTTTATTTGAATTCTCATTTTCATTCCAGTGCACAAAAATCATACGATTAAAAATAAACTTCTAGATGTGAAGAAAGCAATCAGTAAACAAGAAATGGATCGTTCTCGAGGTGGTGATAGTCGTGGAATGGGAAATGGCTATGGTGGTGGCAATTATGGTGGAAGTTATGGAGGTAAATTAAATTTCGATCTTTTTTTAAATTAAATTAAAGTTTCTACTCTAATGAAGGTGGGTATGGTCGCAATCAAGGAGGGGGAAACTGGAATAGAATGAATAACGACAATAACTCAGGTTGGTTCAATAACGATAACTACAACGACAACTCACAATGGAACAATAATAATGGGCCATGGGATAATCAGAACCAAAACTGGGGAGGTGGAAATGGAAACTTCAACCAGAATTGGTCAAGTGATTCATTTGGATCAGGCTACCAACAAAATTACAGTGGTGGAGCACAAAAAGGATATTCAGGCAATAACCGCATGTTACCTTATGGAAACAATCAAAGTAAGTTGTCGATAAGAATTTATTTTTGTTAGCAAGTGTTAATTTTTTTAACTTTATTTGCCACACAATAAGCAGAAGGCGGAAATCGACGCTACTAATAAAATCATTGATGATATATTGATACAAAGAAATGTGAGTAATCAAAGCTTTAATTAATTAATTTTTATTACAAACAATATAACGATAGAAAAAATATTATAATATCTTATAAAAAGCAGTCATAATAACTTGACAACTTTATTCATAAAATATCTTTATGAAACAAATGAAAAAAATTATTAAGATTTCTTAGCGTGTTGTGCAATTAATTTTCGTTTCTCTTCAATCTTTTCCCAAAAATTTCTTTTTGTAGGTATTTTCAAGAAATATTTTTTCCTCACTTAATCACAAAACGAAAAATATGCTTAAATGTCCTTTAAAATGTTCTTAGAAAAAAGAAAGAAAAAAATTTCATGAAAAACAGAGAAAGCTAAGTTCCGGATGATATGAAGAAGAATAGGAAGAAGTGATAGGATAAGCGAAGGCAGAAACAGAAATAATTTTAAACACATCGCAAGAAGAAAAAAAAACAAATTTAGTCAAAAAAAAAAAATTTCCACCCACGTATGAATATTTGAGAATTTTCTTAATCAACAATCAATCACTGAAGAGAAGTTTTTAGGAGATGAAGATGAAAACTACTTTATTAAGCTAATATCAATCATTTTGCAATCATTCGTTTATTAACGAAGACAATTTTCTTTAACTTATTGAGTGTCCCAAAAAGAAAAATCTTTAATTGTTAGACATAAGAATTCCTTTCCTTTATTAATTTGAGATAATCCATTAAAACTTTTAAAAAAGAAATATAATAAACGAAAACAAGTTTCATTGCATAATATTATTCATCATAAATATAGAATTTGTTTTAGCTTTGTTTCGATGTGCAAATTAGATTGATAAGAATAATGACGAAATTAAAAATAAATAAATATTAGCAAGCAGGCAAGGGGAAGCACTCTTGAAGGTATGAATAGATGGATAGCGAATAGAACTGAATCAAGAACCAATTAGAGATGTAAAGAATTATAATTTTGTGAAGTCAAAAAGAAACCAAGAAAAGAAAGCCCTTTGTAGGTGGCCAACATTTTAGAGATCACATTTGAGAAGAAGAAAGAAATCCTTTAAGTAGTAGATAATTTTAGAAGACGAGAATAAATATAATAAATAGAGTTTTTGTGGTGTCAAATGATTTTGAGAGAGAATCACAAAAAAATTGAAATATTGTAGTTTTTTAATTAATTCATATCATCACAACATCCTCACATAAGATTACATGTAGGCCTTTTAAAGTTTCAAGAAACCAATGATTAAAGCTTAGGAAGCTAGATGAAATGATGTCAATGAAACGTTCAACAGAGCAGGCAAAGTGAAAGTCAAAGATGAGTGTAGGCAAGTATTAGTGTCAGTAACAGATCAGTTTTATAAGCAAGGACAGTCGTGTTGAGTTGCGCACTTTCATTTACAATTTATTTAGAATGATTTGAACTTTCTAACTGAAGCGAGTCTCAGTAGAACAGTCAATTCTCCTTAAAAAACGAAAATCAAGAAAAAGTTTAGAGAATTTACTGTAGATTCGTTGAAGAAAGTCACACACATGATGTCGTTGACATGGTTGATGAATCAAGGTGATAAATTCAAATCTAAAGCATCACATGTTGTGATTGTGTAAAACCAGAAATTTTCTTTTAATCCTTTTTTTTCCCTTAAAACTGTATTTAACATCCAATTTTAAACTTTTTTTTTGAATTTTCTTTTTTTATTTTTTTTTACTTTTTCTGCTTTGTTTCTAATGAAGCAAAAAGAAATGACACTTAACCATTCTGTCGCGTGGGAACAGCTGTTGTATTGTAATCATGTGTTCGAATACGAATGAAGATTGTCAGTCTGAGATTCAGGAATCTACTGGATGCAAAGGTAATTGTTTCGAATAGATAATTCAGTTGTTTGTGAATATGAAAAAAAGTTTAAGATGAGTCTTGATGTGTCCCCTAATGATGGAAAATAAAGGTAAGTTCTTGCATTTCTTTCTTTTCCTTATTTTTGTTTTGTTAAATTTCTTTTTCTGCTCGTAACTTTCGAGATAGCAAACCTTCTTTTATTCCCGCATGATTTCTTCCTTGATTCATTTCGTTTTTTCCTTTAAAATTCCTTCTGATTTCATTTCTGTTCCAAGGTTATTTTAATTTCATTCTGTATGTAGGAAAATTACTTTTGCATGCATTGAAAATCTATTTTGTCACTGACACATTTAGAAACATTCAAAGATAAAAATTTGTAGATTAGCAGATCCTAATATGTTTGCATTAAACAAGTGCGTCTTAATACTTACTCATATGATGACCACACACAACATGATCCTACATCATTTTACTTGTTTTTAATTGAGTAGATGATTCATTGTTTCGTTGTAGTAAAATTTATCTTGTTTGTTATTATTTCTTCTCAAAACTTTCTTTTTTAAGAAATGTCTTGATAATAAAAAAGAATCAAATGAGAAAAGAAATGATTTTTTTAATCTATTTGTTTCTTGAATGAAATCTTTTTCAGGAAAATTATTAAAACTTCGTGGCTGATTTCACTTTTAATTTCTTTTACAGCATAACTAGAAATCTTGAAATCTCAAATTCTAATTAGGAAACGAAACTTTCCAACCTTCTAAGATGAGATTCTTAAATTATTTTGAATGAAGATCGGAGGAGTTGGAATAACAATGCGTTCGTAAGAAAAATGATTGCAATCTGAATTGCGTGCCTCCCTCATTCCAGTTGTGTTCAATTAGAATCCTATTGTTAATATTATGAAGGTAAATGATTTGGGAAGTTAAACAGAACATGTAAAGTTGCAATTAATATTCTTTCAAATTACCGTTTGTCGGTTTTCATTTCCATTTATTTTCTTTCTCCTAAACAAATTCATAATTTTTATTGTCTAATTCTCATACCTTTTCATTTGAAAATAATAAATAAAACTACGAAATCGATTCAAGTTTTGCTGAGTTAAATTGTTGGTCACCAAAACTAGATGGATAGGCAGAAGTGTTGTTGGTATTTGTAGCTAGTGTAGGTGGCAAATACTGAGGCCGAGAATAAGCGAATGGCATTGGAATGAGACCAGATGCGGCCGCGAAATTTCTGTAGAAAAAAAATATCAAACTCTGAAGAAATTTGAATAAAAATCTGTCACTTCACCTGTATTGTTGATCAATTTGCGCCTTTTCAATTCTCTTATCTTTTGCCCTTCGATTTTGAAACTGTTTACAACGAAATCTTAAAGTATCTTGACAATGGTTTGTCAATAAGAAAACTCACCCAAATTTTAATTTGTGTTTCTGACAAATTTAAATGTTCTGCAAGTTCAAATCGACGACCTCTTGAGATGTACTCGTTTTTATTAAATTCCACTTCAAGCCTCAATGTTTGATCGCTACTGAATGTTGTTCTCTGTCGTCTTTGTCTACCTTCCTTTCGTCGCCTTCGTGCAACTAAGTAAGTATGCAGTGAGTATTTAATTAATTTTTTAATGTCATCAATATTTTCAAGGGTTCATTTAAATGGAAAATATTCTCTCACAATTATCTAATTACAAAACGAATGATCTCGAGTAGGCATAATGAAGATTATCAAAATTTAATTTATGACACTCAACGATAAATAAAAATATGCAAGAGTTTTATTAAACAAATTAACGATCTTCCCATAAATTCACCATATGGCTCTTGAAAAAAAATTTCAACAAGTTTTTGATATCTAAACTCATTGTGAAAAGGATGTTTGTTTGTTCGCTTCATTTCCATGTGAAGGATGTCCTGCTTTGTCACCGATGAACACATTATTAAGTATATGATTTTAATGGAAAGGGATCATTAGATGTTTGTCAATAAACATTTATCTCTCTCACCCCTCATTTCAATGTTGTTGATATGATATAGAAATAAATTTAAATACCTTTTGTGGCTTTCATGAGATTATTGTCTGACTAGATATCAAATCACATCATAATAATTTTCATTTGAAGTATTTTTAAAATCTTTGGTGTTGATCTCATTGTGAGAACATAAACACATGTTTTGATGTTTTCTTTTTGAATGAATTTTATCTTTACCTTTGTTGTAAAGTATTTTTGGCAAGTTAATATAAAATCACTTGAGATTATATCTCGAGTAAGTAAACAAACATAATAAAAAATATGTAATTGGGTGATATTGAATGAAATTATGATTTAATTTAAAAATAATTAGGGGAGAATATTGAGAGTTGTTACGCTTTAGTGAATCATCTTGCGGTTGAATCGTTTTAATATTTTTTGAAATCATTTTTTGACTATTTAACTCCATTAGAGGTTTGTCACTCGTACACATCAAAGGCTTCAGATTTTATGTTTCCGATGTTTTCGTTGGTAGATTCGTTTAGCAAAATATCAATTTCAATATTGTTACGTCAAGCGTTAAAGAGAAGTTCACTTCATTCATTAGTTGCTACTTAAAATATTTATATTAAAGTAAATGGCAAGCAAGCGATGACATGTGGCGAACAAATTCATCGAAAATTGTAACTTTTAAACTTCCTTTCAATGTTTTCTTTTTGCAAAAAAAATCACTGGTATTTAAATTCCTGAAATATGATCTGAGTCATAACTTAAATAATAAAAAATCGGATATAATCACGTAACTTGATTCTCTTAGGACATTCCATCTCATTACATAAAAAGAAAATGTCACAAACAAGTCAACTAAAAATTAATGATTGAATAAAAATTATTTTGCAATTCTCTTTCGACCGTTGCCAACTATAATTGCTTTATTTAATTTCTTATAAAACTTGTGAGACTTCTAATGTTCAGTCAAAGTGATCTTAAAGATATTGCTGACATAGTAATTGAAATAATTATTAAAAGTTGAAGGAAGACTTACGAAAAGCCGCAAAATGACTGTGAGGATCATTAGCGAATCCAAGAGGTAATCTCAAAGCTCCAAAATGAGATGGCAGTAAAGTTGGTGGAAAATTATTAAAAGGAATATCCTGGCTCGGTGGAAAGATGGAATTTCTGTTTTAAAAACACATCACAATTAGCAAACTTTTCATTTTTATTATTTAAAAAATTCTGTAAAATTAAATGCACCTTGAAACACTTTCTTTCGAATAAAAATCTGAAGAGCTTCCAGAACTTGAGTTTGATGGTGAATTCAAAACCTCCCGACGATTCACTTCATTTGTTTCATGTGATGAATAAACACAATTCCTATCACTAACAATTGTTTTTCTATCATCAGAACTTTCAAGATTCCCATAAAGCTTCTCAAAAAATCTTGTATGATGAGTTCTATTATTTGTTTTATCACTTTCATCCATTATTGCTGTTAATTATTTTTTATTGCCAAAAATTTCTGTTTTCACCCTTTTACGCTATATTATAAATATTCCCAAACGATTCCATCAAACTCTGAAATAAAACTGACAACGATATCGAACTGACCAAAGGATGAAAAACAAACACAATGATGAGAATGTAAAATGAAGCACCAACCAACCAACCAACCTCCTTCCTTTCCCTTTTCCATCGCTCGCTTTCGCTTGCCTACAAACAGCGGTAAATATCAATAACAATTTCTAAAGTGAGAAGGAAGAGATTTAATGCGATTAGAAGCGAACAATAGAGAGATTCGGAGTAAAAAGGAAAGATTTGACAGTTTGGTGTTGTTTGAGATTCCATTAAAAAATGATTTCTATTTGAGTACTGAAAAATAGGAAAACGTGAAAGTTTAAAATAAAAACATCTTCTTATCTTTATTTGGGATCATCTGAGAAGTCAAAATGTTGAATAATGTCTAAATATACAATTCTTGATTCATCATTTCGACGAATTTCCATTCTCCACATCCGGGAAAATTCTCATTTAAATGATTATTTTTATTATCTTTTGTAAGTATTTCTCACGAACAAAATTTATTGTCAATTTCCCACAATTTTATAAGTATTATTGTCATTCCAATTAGTGCTTTCATGTGAAAATGCTTGTGAAAATGGAAAATTGTTTTTCAACATGCTTCGTTGTGATTGGCTATGAAATCGACCAATGATGGGACTGAAATGGGAAAACAAAATTTTATTGTGATACAAATTCGAAAATGTTGCATAGTTTGTGGTTGAATGAAAGAAAGCTCAGAAGCGTGTTGTTGTCTCCCTTTAATTATTCTTTTTTCGTTATAATGTTCAGTTTATTTTTGTGTCTCGACAAGAAGTGTCGTTTTGAACATTTTGCAGCTTGAGAATTTTCTGAAAAAAATATTTGCCCTAAGATTAAAGATCCAAAGTTTTGTACATTGTCCAATAACTTTTTCTTTTATTTTGTTTATCGCCAACAATAATCTATATTTAAATAATTTTATTCATAATTGAAAACATAACTTATTAAAGCAACATAAATAAACATGAAAAACTACGAAACAAAAGTACAAATCTCATTGATTTGTTAGTTGTTCTCTGTCTACATTGGAAACATTTTTTAAAAAATTAACTTCCTTTTTTTACTTAAAGATTAAATGCACCAATACAATTAATGTACATAAGTCACATAAGTTTTAAAATTTACCATTTTAGTTAAATTTAGTTCAAAATCGTTTTCTGATCCTTTTTAAGCGCTGATTTATTGTCATCGCAATCACACTCATCCCCAATGACAACCTGTGAGTAAAAATTTCAATTGAAATTTATCAAAATTCAAGAAAATCGTTTAAATTTACCTTGCAGAAGTTATGATGTTGAAGAAGTTCTGTTGCCGTCCACCTTTCCTTTGGATCATGGAACAAACAACATTCAACAAAATCAATTCCTTCTTCTGATAAAGTTGATGGAATTTCGGGTGATTCTCCCATTCCCACTTTAAACATAATTTGAAAATTGGAATCAAATTGATACCAAGGACGCTGGATTGGAAATTAATCAATAATTAATGAAAGAAAGCTAGAGAATTTGATATCAAACTCACTTTTCCTGAAGCCATTTCTATGACACAACAACCAACAGACCAAATGTCAGCTGCCCTTCCATGTCCCTCTGTGTTTGTTTTCGTAAAAACTTCTGGTGCCATGTAAGCTTGAGTACCAACATATCCTTTCAATTCTCCAGGCATTGTGGTATGAAATTTAATCTTAACAGCCGAACCAAAATCACCAAGCTTCAAGCAATTCCCTTCATTTGTGAGGAAAACATTAGCACATTTGATATCACGATGAACGACGCCATTCTTATGAAGTTCTTCAACACCCGAAAGCAACTGTGTTGTGTATCTTCTAACTAATCCTTCATGAAGTCCACCGGAAATTTCACAAAGTGATTCGAGTGTTCCTTCAGCACAAAGTTCCATAAAAATAAGAAGTTCTTCCTGTGAATTTTAATTTATTAAATAATCTTTTTTATCTTCGTCAGCTTTAATAAAAATTAAACTTACACGATGAATCTCAACCCCATAATATTTAACAAGATGTCGATGATGAATTCCTTCAAATATTTTCAACTCTTCTGCAACTTTTTTGATTGTTCCAGTCTCACCAGCTTGTATCGGAATTTCTTTCATCGCCATCAATTCACCAGTCGAATTATTGACAGCAGTATACACTTTACCAAATCTTCCTTGTCCAATTTTAATGCCACGATGCCAACTAAAGTGAACACTTCTAGCACGTATCACAACTTTATCACATGTGTTCAACTCTTTAACAGTTCCAATCAAATTTCTCTCCCTCATTTTATTTTCTATCTGCAAATCTAAGCGATTTGCTGCATCACGAATTCTTACTTGCCTTAGTTCGGGTGTGTAGCATGGTGGGCTTTGTGGAACTTTGATACTGATGTCACTGACATTATCATATGACGTTTGTTTTCTTAAAAATTCTGCAGGAAAATCACGAGGATCGGGACTAGGTGAGAGACGACTTCGTTCAACTTGAAGACTCATTTGCTGTTGAAGAATTTTTTGTGTCGTTGGTGTGTAAGAAACTGAAGATCTTGTTGGTGTTCTCTTTCTTGAGGGTGCTGGTGATGATTTTCTTGATCTGGGAGATTTTCTAACACGTTCTGGTTCATTGATACTTCCGATTACATGTGATATGCATTTATCCATTGCTGATTTTAATTCTTCGAATTCCTTTTCATTGATTTGTTCAGTGTTGTGTGGATCACAGGCAATTATAAGAAAATCAAGGCCAGTAGCTGCCCATCGTGGTCTCAATCCACGACCTCTCTCACATCTCCCCATCACAAATTGCATCCAACAACGTGCAAAGCCAACAATCGCTTTGGCTAATCCTTGATCACAAAACGAACTTCTTTGTGCTGTTGGCGTTGTCTCAAACAACGCTGATAAATGTTTATGATATTCAAATCCAAAACGATATCCAACATGTAAAATTTCACGACATCTTGTAAGAACTGTTTGACGATCAATTTCATCCATTTCTATCAAATATTTCGCTTCACTTCGTTCTTGAACCTTTTGCAATGTGCTTGTAAGTTTCCCACGAAGTTCAAGAGTTTTTGCTTTCAATGTGTTGATCGTTTCTAAGACTTCTGGACACATGCACGAACTATGACGAAGACAAACGGAACTCTCATCTAATGTGTTGTGATCTCGATGAAAATCGTCTTTTTCAATATCTTTGAAAAGCACTTTCGTAAATGACATCAGTTTAGTGCACTTTTCACGTTCGCTTGTAAAAATTTGTTGAATCTCTCGGCACATTGTCAATAATTTATTCTTCCAAATTGTTGACGCATCTTCTTCTTCATCATCGTCATCAGTTTTGTCACCATTCGTTAAATTATTTGCACTTTCATCAGGAATATCAATGGAAAATTTTTCCATTTCATTGACTTTCTCTGTTAATCGTCCGCCGATTGCTTCTAAAAGCTTCTGAATGATCTCACAGAACTTCTTAGCAGCGACAGCATGTTCACCATTAATCATCGGACATGTGAGTTTCGTGAATTTCCATTCATCTTCCATTGCCGTTTTACGATGTGAGTCAGGAACACCAGTCAGGATCCACTGTTCAACATACTCCAAATATATCTCAAATATTTGTTTCAATGTCCCATCAAACTCATCAATCACCGGCATATACTTCTCAGATTCTTGATCTCGATCAACAAGTGCGGCCGTGATGTGCTTCATAAATCTGTCACGATGAATCAGAGCAAGCGTCAGACCTTCTTTTAATTCCTTAATTAATTGCTCCAAACTCAATGGATTCGGTTGAACTGGCTTAGTTTCAATTTTCATTTTTAAGAATTCATGTACAACTTCAAGTGGTATCATCGATAAGAAAAGAAATGCTGATATGTATGACGGTAAAGCAAGCTGTAAGAATTCCTCACTCCAAATTCCATAACGTCGAAGTTCTTCAACTTCTTCCGGATCAATTGGTGTCTCAATTATCGAAATTGGATCATCTTCAGACACAACTTGTTCCTGTTCTTCACATCCCGGCTTCTCAAGAGCAATGTGGGCTTTTCGCAGCACAACATTATGCAAACGATGAAGAAATGATAAAGATTTTCCAAGACCTCGTGACTTTAAGACATTTTCAATGAATTTTCTGTATGGTGATGTTGGTAACTTACTCGGAATGCTTTCAAGTGAATCAAGTTTTGTCCACGAATTTAATGAACTTATCAAACGTCCATATTCGCCGATTTGATTATTATAATTTTGAGCCTTCAATGATTCGTCACTGTTTGCACTGTCAGTTGCACTTGCAATTTGATCAGTTTCATCGATGTTCAAGAATTGAACTTTTGGTAATTTAAATTCATTTGATGATCCTTTTGCTGAATCGGCTTCAGGTTCTTGTATCGATGATGAGCCACTGCTGGTGTCTGACTCAACTAAAGGCCATTTGTATTCTTTTCCTTGAAGTCTCGCGAGAATCTTTCCCAATATCATCAACTTTAATCGATGATGTCGTGTAAGATTGTACCACAAACACATCGTCTTCAATCGATTGATAAACTCTTGAGAATTATAAAGTGGAAAATGTGCTCCCATTGCCTTATTTGATGGAAATAAATCTTCAGCAGCTTCTAATCTCGTGAGTAAACTTTCAACTTGACGTAATGCAGTGGTTTGCGCTTCCAGGCAATCAGGACAATACATTGATAAACATCCAAAGCAGAAGCCATTAGATTGATCTGAAATTGTCAAAGATTCAAATAAATGTGATTGCAAATATTTTTAAAAGAGAGAAACTTACTTGATATAGGATTGTCACTTGATGTTGTCATTCCTGATATTCCACTGTCATTTGTCCTTGCACTGTCAAGACGATGAAACTTTCTCGTAAACCGATAGTTCATAATTTCCCTTAAAAGTTCACCAATACTTTGTCTTGCTGTGAATAAAAACTTGTCCTGTTGTTCGAGTGAACGATCTGCCATGTTAGCTTGTAACTCGAGCCAAATCATATCTTTTACTTCAGTTTGCCACAACTGCTCTTCTTTGGAAATAATCATACTTCTCGTGTTTCTCTCTTGCTTATCATTCGATCCAAGTTTAATTAAATTTGAAAATGTTTCGTGAAATTCTCGTCGTGTTTGTGGTGTACTCTCACTTGAAGCTGTCATTTTTGGAATTAAAATAGCGAAGGTCGCTGGCGGCGCTGAGATGCGACAACCAACTGGCCTTGACTTTACACTCATGAATCGACTCACTGATTCAATGCATTTAGGTTCTAATGGCGCAGTTGGAAGAGCTTCTGTAGCTTCAAGGGCATCATCGAAGCTGTTCATATTCAAAGAACTTCTTTGTCCTATCGGACGATGAGCATTTCCAACATTTGCCATTTTCTGATCACGTTCAAAATCTCTTTGAATTTGTATTGATCTTTTATCACTTCTTGTCTTATCATCGATACTTGGCTCGATTATCATTTGATTAAGAATTGCGCAATCGACGGTATTTCTACGATCAGCACGCGACCTTGCTAAACGTCCACGAGTACCGCTTCGCATTTTTACGTTGTTGTTGTCCCTTAAAAATATGAGAAAAAAAATTTATTTGATAAGAGACACAAATCAACATTCAACAACTATCTTATCAAAACCTTTCCTCCCTCTTCTTACATTTTCTGTTTGCGATCCCAACTACGATTCTTAATTTTTATGCGTGTTCTTGGTGGTGTTGAACCATAAATTTCAAAATGGTTTAAATCCGAAATGTGCTCGTATTCCTCTTCTTCTGATGCGGATATTTCCCTTTAAATGGGCGAATTTAAAAAGATAGAAAGCAAAAAGTGGGAAATTATTTTGAGTGATTCACTTTTATTACACGCTAACATTTAATGATAAGAAGGGAAGAAGAAAAAAAATGTAGTGGAATTCAAGCGTCTGCAATTTGAGGAACTTGACGAAATGAAAGTTGACGAGCGACTGAATATTAATACATTAATTTCTCAAAATATTTCTTATCGTTGACAACCAACACACTTAAGAGTAACACGAACTCGTTTCTTTTTGCTTCTTAAAGGAGTATCAATTAACACATATTTACCGGGTCAAAATCAGCTGATATAAATACTGAGAGTTATGTTTTAAATCTAGATTTTTGTTGTTGCACAGATATTTACATTTATCTTTGGAAAATTTTACTTGTGTTGAGGTTTTAGGAGATTCCCAACAAACTTTGTTCCAAAGTATTCACGCGATATAACTCGGCTCGTTTCACAAGAACAAATGTTATTACAATCATCATGAGAAAAACAAAAATAGTGAATAAGCTTCAACGCTCTATTTTCCACTTGAACGCTTCCCTTTTTTTCTGCAGAAATTTTGTGACAAATAATTTTAAGTTTAATTTTCACCTCTTATCCACGTCAAACGCATCATCTAGACTGAGAGTATCTTGTTTGTCCACCACATCTTCATCTGACATCGTTTAGCTATTTTTAATATTACAAGAAGAGGGAAAATATATTAATTTCCTCGATGAAGAAGACGATACCTAAACACTTATAAACATACGCGTAGCTACGACAAACTAACAAGTTGTGAATGCAAATCATTGTCAAGTAATGTTACTTTAGTTTAATTGTTTAGTTAGCATAGTCAAATATTGTTGTCAAGGTTGGATATGGCGAAGGTTGATTTTGTAATAGACTATTTACGTAAACTAATAATATTTAATCTATTTAACTAATCATTTCCCTCAAAGAGAAGAAAAAAACAATTTTTATGTAATTCAAAGTCAAGTAAAATTATGTGATAAGTCAAGTAAAACAGTCAAGAACAATTCTATAAAAAATCTGGCAACGTCGCATAAAAATATCAAAAACATACAAAGTTTAGGTTGCGACATGGAATGTGTCAAAATTTTTATAGTTCTTATTTTAATATTTCTATTTAAATATTCATCGAACAGTGACGATGCGAGTGATGAGAAAACTGAAGAGACAATAGCTCTCCAAAGTTTAATTAGTGATAAAACTCATTTATACAAAAAACCGAGTGTTGTAATAGTTAGTTTAATTCGAAACAAAGCGCATACTCTGCCATTGTTTCTAACATATTTAGAGGAACAAGACTATCCAAAAGATCGGATATCCTTATGGATCGTGACAGATCATAATGAGGATAACAGTAAAGAAATACTCGAAGTTTGGTTGAGAAGGGCAAGGAACTTTTATCACTCAATTCATTATCAACACGATGATAGCGAAAAACTTCGAAGAGGTGAAACAAATATGACCCATTGGCCGGAAGAGAGATTTTTGGAAATAATTCGATTAAAAGAGGATGCATTGATTGCCGCTCGAAAAGCATGGGCCGATTATATTTTTGTGAGTCAGCAAATTCATTTAGTTTTTGAAAAAAATGAACTTTTTATCTAACATCGAAACATATGTTGTTATAGTTTATTGATGCAGATGTTTTCTTGACTTCATCGGCTTCACTCAGCACGCTCATTTCTTTGAATCGCCCAATTATTGCACCCATGCTATCTTCAGAGGGACTCTACTCGAATTTCTGGTAACATCTTTTGTTATTCTAACATTTTGTGTGGTTGTAATAAATCAAAATACGTTTAAGGTGCGGGATGTCATCAGATTATTACTATAAACGAACTGATGACTATAAAAAGATCAGAAATTACGAAATGGTTGGAGAGTTTCCAGTGCCAATGATTCACAGTTCTGTGCTTATTGATCTCAACAGATTCTCAAGCGATTTACTAACATTCAACAAAACAAAGCTCAACAGTTATCACAATCAAAAATTTTATGATGGTCCAATCGATGACATAATAATTTTTGCAATATCTGCGAATTTTTCAAACACGGAAATGACAATATCGAACTCACATGCCTATGGTTTCATACTTGTACCACTTGATCAGGATGAGCCGATGACAAAAGATGAACAACAACTTAAAAACACAAAAGTTTCAATTATCAATCAACATAATGAAATTCATGTCGTACCAGAGCTTCAGAAATATGTTAAATATCCAAATAAAAGTAAATTAACATTCAGTGATATTTACATGATCAATTTGAAACGTCGATCAGAGCGGAGAGTGAAAATGGAACAAAGTTTTAAAGAGCTTGGAATTGATTATACATATTTGGAAGCTGTTGATGGAAAGACATTGACAGATGAAGTTTTAATTCAGAAAGGCATTAATTTACTTCCTGAGTATGCTGATCCATACCACAAGCGTCCCATGACGATGGGAGAGATTGGTTGCTTCTTAAGTCATCACACAATCTGGCAAAAGATGATCGAAAAAGGCCAAGAAGAAGTTCTCGTTCTTGAAGATGACATAAAATTTGAGCCTTACTTCAATGAACGTTCTGAACAATTGCTGGAAGAAGCTCGAGCAATCGGAGGATGGGATTTGATTTACTTTGGAAGAAAACGTTTACATGAAAACGAAGAATTTTTAGAGAAAAGCGAGAACTTTGTGAAAGTTTCTTACACTTATTGGACTTTGGTGAGATGAAATTTAAAGAAGATGACTTAAAACTTATTAAAAATATTTACAGGGTTATGCGCTTACACTCGCTGGTGCCAAGAAACTTTTAGCTGCTGAACCATTGAAACGACTTTTACCTGTTGATGAATTTCTACCAATTATGTTTGATCAACATCCTAATGATACTTGGAAAATGAAATATGAGAAAAGAAATCTCGTAGCGTGGAGCGTTAGTCCATTGCTTCTCTATCCAACTCACTACACGGGTAATTTAATTAATTTTCTCATGAATTAAAATGTTAAAATCTTTTGAAATTCTTTGTTAAAGGTGAAGATGGATATATTTCTGACACGGAAGACTCTAAACAAATACAAATTGATCTTGCAAATGCCGCTAGTGAAGCTTTGAAGGGAACGATCAATGGCAATATACTCAATCAAGTTAAACATGATCCTAGTGAACTCTAATCAATCATTCAAACAACTCAACTTAATGCCAATAAACATACCAAAAATAATGATTTTTAGTGCTATAAAATACTTTCTAGATTACCAATGAATTCTGTTAAACAACGAATTGTGCCTTATTGAACAAAGTTTTAAGAATCTATCTAAAAAATATTGAAAATGTCAAAAGAATTTAATAAACTCACGAATTAGCAGATGAGAAACAAAAATGTTTAAACCTTTTTTTAAAAAATAAAATATATTTATTTAAATAATTTACAGCACAAATTCAACTCATAAAGAGGTTCTCTCATTCAACTCTCAATCGAATAATTTAAATATGCAACAAACATTTGTGTCAAGTTGTGTTGTTAAATGGTTGCTTTTATCAAAAAGATATTCATGAAACATCGCTTGACTTTAGTACGTAAAATATAATATCCAGTTTAATGTCTTTTTTTTGACAACATTTCATCAAATGTTTCACTTAACAAATCAACACCGACTTGATCCACTAAAAAGAAGAGAAAAAAAAGAGTTTCATTAACTATGACAATCAGATTGAAGAAATTTACTTACTTCATTCAGTCCCATTTTGATCTGATTATCTTGATTTATGTCTTTAGTTTTGAACAACTCGAAAGCCATCGTTAAGTGGAGAATTGCCGAAACAAAATCCGCTAATCTCATTGTACCATCGCGCCTCATGTATCTTTAATTAAAAAATTCGTTACAAACACAACCCACAAAAAAAATTCACATTTCAAGTACTTTAAAATGAGTATTGAGAGGATGTCAGTGCTAAGTTGGAATCCAACATCACAAAGGGCATCTCTGAATCTTTCTGCTCTCAAGATTCCTGTTTTCTCTTTCGTGTGCATCTTAAACACTCCCTGCCATGTCTTCAAATTTATCATAAAGAGCTTAAAGTCATTGAATGTTATTCGCGAGCGATTTTGCTTGTCCATAAGGCAAATAATTTGACGACAAACATCAAGATTGGCACAACTTCGAATGTAATCATTCGGTAGACATGCTTCAAGTAATTCTTGGAGGTCGAAGCAGTTGATTGTTCTGAAAGTGAAAATTGCATTGTTTAAATATTTTTTTTCCAAAAAAAAATGTCGAAAAGTTTTACTTGTGATCATCAGCAAGTTGAAAAAGACGGGCTCATATTGTGCAGTTCCGCTTGTTACACTAGAAATTTCATCATTAGCCTGATTCAATTTATATGATGAACCTGACAACGATCCCGAACCAGTTCCAATTGTTTGGAATGGATCAAGCAATAACATCGTTTGAGTCTCTAACAATGCTAATCGAATTGATCCACCAAGTACTCTAACACTAAATGCCGACTCTTCAGCTGGTTCAAATGTTGTTGCCATAACTAAATATCTACCAGCTTCTAACGAGCATCGTTGACTGATTTGACGAGAATTCGTATATTGTGAATTGAGTAGTGATTTATGTTTCTTGAAGAAAGTTTTCGGTAGGCACTCGGTAATCTTATTTGCTTGTGATTGTAGATTATTTAGACTGTAAAGTGTGAATCCAATCACTTTTGGTTCCATGACACTGTGTTGGTTAAGCGATATTATTACATCTTCTCGCTCATTTAAACTAAGTTGCAATTGTGGATTTATATGAAATGTATCCGGATTATTTCTACATCCACCAGCTGACACACCACGCTTCCAACTACCTTGATAAAGTCTCATTAACCATCTCCGATTTTTATCAGCCAACGAAGGTTCATCACGTGATGTATCTGAATCTAAATGAACGCATTCAAGATGAGTAAAGTTTGTAATAAAATCAACAAAAGCCATCCAGAACTCTCCAACATCGAGTTGTCCAAGAAGTCGATCACGTTCTTGAATTGACACGCGTTCCCACTGATTTGAATATGAAGACCAATCACCATTGTATCCACTCGTTTGTCCGAATGATGAGTCTGCCAATGGATCTCGTAGTCTTATCAATTGGACTGTGTCGCCCATTAAAGTTTCTGCTTTATCTAACGAACATAAACGATAATTTGTTCCAGGATTTAAGCCGGTTGCAGTTATGTGGTTACTTGATGAGTTGTTATTATTATTATTGCTATTGTTATTATTATTGTTATTATTGTTACTAGTAGCTGTATTTATAGTACACGTGACAATACTGGTACAATCAAGGAGACTTAGTAGAATTGGTGGACGAATATTAAACTGATCTGACTTCATTTGAAGACTTTCAGTGATTCCACCGGTTAAATCTGCCAAGCCATCGAGAAGTGTTCCATACTTTAAAGCTTCATATGATCCGTGAAGTCTGTAAAAATGTTAAGTGAGTGTTTGCGTGTTTAAAGAAAAATCATCAACTTACTTTGCATAAGCTTTTTCAAGAAGGCCAGGCCAGAATGAATTTGAGTGTTGCGATTGAAGAAACGCCAATTTGCCGTTAATTGTCGGTAATCTATCATCAACAAGAACTTCCTGCCATTCACCACACCACCAAATACGAAATCTAAACACACCGTAGTACGGTTGATCAAAAGTCTGGTCAGCTGGCACAACGCGGTAAAATAAGCCTTTTGAAAGGTAAAGAATTCCGAGACATGACACGAGCCATCTGTCACCCATCTTTCCCTGTGCAATGTCAAAGTATGCATTTGCATCGTTTACAAAGATTGGCTGTGGATTCAGTTCGTGTGGTCTTTTCCATTGGAATGTGAATGGGGGTGTTTGATGATAAAAAACAGATGTTTGAACGGCGGGAAAGTCTGGATCTTCCCACAATTGACCTTTCCGTTTGCACTCATTTTTTATGCGTTCATATGTTGAAGTCATGTTAAATGAATGTTCACCGCTACTTGTCTTATTTTTCACGTTTCTTTGCCTTTATTTTCCACCTGTCACCAAAGTTTATTCGACGTCGTTCTTAACTAACTGTTGTCTACGTTCGTCTTTTTTTTTTGTTTTTCGAGGAATTTAATTACACATTTCAATCATGCTCTGCGCATTAACTGAAAAAAACAGCATATGAAGGAGAGAAACAACAATAAGAAAATTTTAATATTTCGAATTCCATTCCGTCGATTGTGTTGATGGCATAAAAGCAAGAGAGATTTCTAAATGTGCCCGCTTCGATGAAAGAGAAAGAAAAAAAAACTTCATCGCAATTGGGACAAGCCCGAAAATAAAACCTGAATAAAATTTTGTGTTTCAAGCTTAAGTTTCGCTGGGTATGGCATCGATTGATGGAAAATTGTTTTCATCATCGACCATCGTTAAAGCAAGAGAAGATTATTTTATTTTTTTTCGTCGTCAGAGGTTCGTTATCAACCTGCTATGCAAGTCTTCTCTCAAACAAATATTTAAATTGGAAAATAATATTTTTTTTCTAGATTGATAAAATAACTACGGCTGGCTGCCAAGAACCAGTTTTTTTCTTTTTGATGCAATCGTAATAAGTCGCGGATGAGAAATTCAAAAACGGGAAAATCTATAAAACGACTTCATTTTTTTCTCCATTTTATGAGATATCAAGGTAATTGATCTTGTACATATATTCTACAATCGTCACTAAGCTATTTATGCTCATTGCTTGTTTTACAACATTTTTTTCCGAGTGAAACGAAAAGTGAAACTTCATCTTCTGTTTTTGAAATGAAATTAATTTATCTAATTTGGAAAACTGAATATATTCAGTTTTTTTCACATTTTCCCTCGTTTTCACAGTCAATTCTTTCACGCACACTTTTAACGGCACATCTTTCTTTTTCTTTTCTTTTCCAAATGGCAACTCATGTTCATAAATTCGCGGTCAATGGTATTGGTTTTTCACTTTTTTTCTCGTTTTTTATTTCGCTTGCTCATTAATAAATTCCTTAACACGTTGTCACTTCTGCTAGGGATGTAATTTAAATCTTAAGATACTTTGAACTTTTCATCTTAAGTTATAACAATGTGAAAGGCGCGTTATATGAATGCTTAGCGATCATTAGCCTTGACCAGAAAAGAAAACGATTGAGAATTCGATTAAATAATTTTTTATTTTTTCTTGCACGCCCACAATTTTCAAACCACACCAAACACAAAGTAGCAAAATAAAAAAGGCGAATTTAATGTTTCTTGCTTGGGACAAATTTTTTGCTTACTCAATTTTTTTTTTTGAAACTTCAAAAATGCAAATTATTACCGAATAAACTTTTACGTGCTGAGCTTTACACCGTTCGATGTCGACTGAATAGTGTACAAGAAAATAAACAAACATGCCTATATGAGGTACACTCGACCGAAAGCTTAACACAAATATTTTCTTAGCTATTTCACTTTAGTGTTGGTGGATGGAATGCTGAATATTCTCATCATGCAGTATGGGCCTCGGGCCAAAACTACACTCATCCATGAATGTATGGAGAAAGACTGTATTGAAAAGAGAAGAAAAAATTATGAAAATTGATTTGAATGTGAACGAAATGTTAAAGAAGGTTTGCGAGATGAACAGTTATAGGATGAATGAAGAATATGTCGAGAAGACAATCAAAAGGGGTTTAACTTTACGAAACAATTAAATATTTATGGAATGAAATAATTTTTATTACAACAACTGCAATTATAATATTATAAAAATTGATGAATGACATAAAAAACAAAAATATTCATAATAAAAAGAAATAATCACCTGTTGCGTTTTTTCATCATTCGAACAGGTAGTGAAAAATTGAGATCCGCTCCACCTGTTATGAAACTCAAGAAACATTAAACTAAAGAAATTCAAGATCCAAGTTAAGATCATTAAAGAACAGAAGAAACATAACATTGATATTTTTATTGTTTCATAATTGTTGCTAAGCTACGCGATTGTTGATACACAAAAAATAAGTTTCTTTTTTTCATAAGCCGTGAATGATCTGAAATTTTTAATGTTTGGAATATTCGTGATGGATTGAAAGTTATTTAACAGCATAAGAAAGAAAACAAAATGAGTAGCGACAAAGTAAGAAAACAAAAAAATTTCAACCTTCGCGGTTATTTTGAGAATGAAAATTTAATAAATTTTTTCAGGTTTTATTTCGACATGATGAACCTCATGGACCGGGAGAAGTGAATTTTCTTTGGCAAAGTGGATCTAATACAAGTTATCTCGCCAGCACTGGTAGTGATGGAACTGTTGCAATATTTAACCGGCAAGGGCAATTACAAGAGAGAATTATTCTTCAAGGTCTTTGCGCGGGTTTTTCATGGGATGTTGATGGTGATATTCTTGCAATTATAACTCATAATACTTCTCATGTAACAATTTGGGATGCAAATCAAAGAAAGAAGCAACTCATTGACACTGGTTTGAGAGATCCACCAAGTTGCTTGTTATGGTCGAAGAAATTTCAAATTCTTGCCATAGCAACAACGAGAGGAAATCTTGCACTTTATAATCATAAAACATCTAAAAGAATTCCAATATTAGGAAAGCATACAAAGAAAATTGTCAGTGGTGCTTGGTCAGCAGAAAATATTTTAGGTAAGTAAATTATTGATTTTTCTTTTGAAATTTCCATGAATAATAAAATTATTTATAGCACTCGGTAGTGACGACAAGACAATGTCAATAAGTAATGATGATGGAGATACATTAAGAACAGTTCCATTGAGAGATGTTCCAAGTGACATGCATTTCGCTGAAATGAAAACAGATGAACGTGTGCCTGGTGAAAACACAATCAGCATGATTATAGGCAAGCGAACATTATTCTTGTATCATCTACCAGAACCAGACTCACCAACGGAACTTGGCTTTCAAAGTCGTTATGGAACTTTACTTCAACACAAGTGGTTTGGTGACGGATACATTTTACTCGGCTTTTCACTTGGTTACATCGTTTCAATCTCAACACATCCACGAGAAGTTGGTCAAGAACTTTGGCAAGTTAAAAATCATCGGGATTCACTTTCTTGCATTGCGATATCAAAAGAATTGGAACTTGTTGCTAGTTGTGGTGATAACAACGTAAAAATTCATTCAATGTCGAATCTACAAGAGACGATTAACATTTTTGCTTTACCTGATCAAGCGAGTTTGAAGCAAGCTGAATGGAGTTTTGACGGTCAATTGCTTGCTGTGTCAAGTAATCAAGGTGCCATTTCTGTGTTTGTGACAAAGCTTCAGTCGATTTATGCTATTTCACCACCAAGAATTGCTTTATTGTCAAGTTTAGCAGAAGTCTCGATCTTTCATTACACTCCTGAGAAGATCAAAACATTACCAACTTTGGTATCGTTAGATATTGAACCGACATTCCTTGCAATTGGATCATACCATTTGGCTTGTGGTATGAATAATCGAATCTGGTTCTATGATCTTGGAAGGTCAATCAGCGACAATCCAATTCTACTAGGAGATCGCGAATATATCGCGGAAGTTAAACAAATTGAACTCAACACAGATTATTGTGCAGTTTTATGTGGAAAACAAATAATGTTACATCCGGTAAATTTGATTTAAATAATGTTCATTGAAAATTACAATTGAGTTGATATTTTTATGTGTTCGCATTTAGATTGAATCTTCTTTCAACGATAAATCTTCTAATTTGGTATCGTCACAAGATCGTGATCCAAAAATGTTTCCTGATGAACTTCAAGGCTTGCACGATACAATTATCACATGTTTGGATATGACGAACGATTTTCTATGTTTTGGAACAGACGTGAGTATGAAATGTTAGTTAAATTATCTTATAATAAAAGAGTTCAACAATATTTTACACAGGTTGGTCATATTGTTCATTTCTCATTTGAACATTGGTGTTCTGTAATTCAATATCGACACAATGTCGGCATTAAAAGTATTTTCACAGATCTCGAAGGAACACGCGTTGCTTTCATCGACGATCATAATCATGGATTTGTTTACATGCCTGTAGATTTAAAAACTTATTTTATGAAACTTTATTTTTATTAAATTCAATTTATTTTCCAGTGTATTGAAGAGACAATTCCAATCCCAAAAATCCCAAAGCAAGTCTCAGGAATACTTTGGGATTATTCACATCCTTCTGTGTTTGTGGTTTTTGATGGAAAGTCTTGCATTACTTATATCTTCATAAGACATTCGATAAATGGAAAATTTGTTCGAAAGATTGGAGAGACAACTTTACTGAGTGAACAAATTCCTTTGATGTTGTATGATGGTGAACTGTGCCTTTACAGTGCTGGAGGAAAACTTACTTCGATCTCATTGGAAACTCATAAATTTTCTGCTTCAATGGAGCTGTCAGAACAATTAACTCAATTAATAAAACTACAGAAATATCAAGAATCGTGGGATTTATGTAAAGCTATCAACGAAAGTAAATCATGGAAGGAACTTGGTGAAGCTTGCATTAATGATTTGGAAATTATTTTTGCAATTCGAGTTTATCGAAAGATTGGCGATGCAGCGATGGTGCAATCATTGGAAGAAATTAAATACTTTGAAGATATAAATTTACTTGCAGGACATTGCGCAATTTTATTGAATCGTCAAGATGAAGCGAAACAATTGTTTGCAAGAAGTAATCAACCATTGGAAGCTCTCGACTTGTGTCGAGATCTCCTTCAATGGGAACAAGCAATGGCGTTGTCAAGTAATCTTTCTCAAAATCAAATGCCATTAATTGCACGAGAATATGCACAACAATTGGAACTTAATGGAAATTATGTTGAAGCACTCATGAATTATGAAAAAGCTCTTGGAGAGTATCGAGATCAAATTGATGTTGATGGTGATGATTTCTTATCAGACCATTTACGATTGTGTAAAGCTGGCATAGCTCGATCAACTATCAGGTGTGGAAACTTTTCTAATGGAATACAAATAGCGTTGGATCTCAAAGATAAGCAACTTTTCTTCGATTGTGCTGAAGGTTTGGAACAGATGAATCAATTATCAGAAGCTGCACAGTTTTATGAGAAAAGTGATAATTATGATAAAGCTTGTGGATTATACATTCAACTGAAGCAGTGGCAGAAAGTTGACAAAATCCTACCAAACGTAACAAGTCTCAGACTTTATGCTCTGCATGCAAAGGCAAAAGAATCTGAAGGAAAATATCGTGAAGCCATTAAAAGTTATCAACTTGCGAATGATTTGGATAGTGTCGTACGAATTTATATTGAACATCTGTCAGACCCTCACAGTGCTTCAGAAATTGTTTTAGAATCACGTTCAGTTGAAAGTGGAAAAATGCTTTCAAAGTTTTATCAATCGATAAACGATTATGAAAGTGCGCTTCAGTTCTTGATTCATTGCGGATGTGTGAATGAGGCTTTTCAATTAGCTCAGAAATATAACAAAATGAAACATTATGGTGAACTTCTCGAGCAATATGATGGTGCGAAACCGAATGAATTTCTGGTACTTGCGCAATATTTCGAGAATGAAAAATATAGATTGCTGACAGGAAAATATTATTTCCTTGGAAAAGAATATTCAAGATCATTAAAACTTCTCTTAAAAGCTTCATCTTTTGGAAACGATGAACAGCAAGCCTTATCACTTGCAATTGATTGTGTTGCGTCTTCAAATGACGATCGTTTGGCAGCACAATTAATTGAATTTCTCTTAGGAGAAACAGATGGAAAACCAAAAGATCCTAAATTATTATTTAGACTTTACATGGCAAGAAAACAATTCCGTGAAGCAGCAAAAACATCTGTCATCATCAGCAATCAAGAACAAATTGCTGGTAATTACCGCAATGCACATGATTTGCTTTTCTCAATGTATCAAGAATTAAGAAGAAATAATTTGACTGTTGGTAGTGACATGAAGTCAAATTTGAATCTTCTACATCGCTACATTCTTGTCAGAATTCATGTAAAACGTGGTGATCATCAAATGGCAGCAAAACTTTTAGTAGAAGTTGCAAAAAATATTTCACAATTTCCATCACGTGAGTTTTTGAATGAAACAAAATTCTTCAATAATTGTTAATTATTTTTTTACAGATATCGTTCCAATTCTTACGAGTACTGTCATTGAATGTCAACGTTCAGGAATGAAGAAATCTGCCTTCAGTTATGCTGTAATGTTAATGAGATCTGAATATCGTGATCAGATTGATCCGAAATATGTTAAAAAAATTGAATCAATCGTTCGTAAGGCTCCGAAGAATATTAAAAACTTGGACGATTTTGAAGAGCCAATAAATGGAAATAATGACGACGATAATGATGTGGAAATGTCTAAGCAGAAGAGTACAAATGAGTCTAGTCCTTGTCCGTTCTGTAATTATAATCTCAATAATATGAATGTTACTTGCCTTCAATGTAAAACAACTCTCCCAATATGCATTGCAACTGGTCAACATTTGACAAATATTTATGAAATCTGTCAATGTCCAGAATGCTTGTTCCCAGCTATTAAGGAAGAAATTATCAAGTGAGTGCCTTAATCATTTTTATTCAGACTATCGTATCACAAAATGTTATTTCCATTTCAGAATTTTGCAACAGTCATCAACTTGCCCTATGTGTGCAGAAACAATCGATTTTAATCGGTTAGAGACAATAAAAGATCTCAAAGCTTATATCAATGAAGAAAATTCTTAGATTTCTTATTGAGAATTTAAGCATATCTATTGTAATGTGAATTAAAGGAAAAACAAAACTTGAGAATAAATGTTCAATTATTAATTAAAAATTAACTTGAGAATAAATGTTCAATTTTCAATTATTAATTAAATTTAACGGTTTTTTATTTGAAAATTCAAATTTTGATTTGAAACGAAACCCTGTTTGAGCCTAAAGATAAAATGAGCCGGCGGTTCAAAACCAATTTCTGACACGCGAACAGCAGAAAATATAAAGTCTTGAAAAGTTTAGAAAATAATAGTGCTTCTAATAACTTATCAATGTCGGAAATTATTCCAATATCTAAAACTCCAAGTCAGGAGAAAGTAGCTTTTGTTCCGCCCAAGTTAGATTGGAATGAAAATGGTAAATTTAATTGAAAGTTTTAAGGAAAAAAATTAGTTCCGTTTCCAACCTCTCAAATAAATAAAAATTTCATTATTTTAAAAGGCTGGGGACCATGTGAGCTTCCTGATACATTCAAGGATATGCCATATCAACCATTCAGTAAGAGTGACCGTCTAGGAAAGATCAGTGATTGGACAGGTTCAGCACAGACTGATAAAAAGTATAACAACAAGTATCAGTCTCAATTTGGGTCGGGAAGTCAATATGCTTACTATCACGATGAAGATGAAACAACTTTCCATTTAGTCGATACTGCTAAAGTGCAGAAGCCACCTCATCAACGAGGAAGATTCAGAGGAAATTCAAGAAACAATCGGTTAGTAAAATAAACTAAAAGAAAGAAATTTCATGAAATTAAAAATTAAACTTTTGTAGCGGACGTGGAGTACGCGGAGGAGTTCAAGTTGGAAGCATGACTTCCCTTGGTAAGAGCGTTAAGCTACGAGATCAACGTCGTGGAAATACAAGAAAGTGGGGTATGCGTGGGCCTCCACCGAAGATTCGCGATGCTTCTGTAACTGTTCGTCCTGATTGGGTTGCTATTGAAGACATGGACTTTCCACGTTTGCAAAAGTTAGCATTGCCAGGAATTAAAGAAGGAACTGATGTCGAAACTTACGGTATCATGGAATATTACGATAAAGGTTTCGATCGAGTTAACATTAAAAACGAGCGGCCACTTCAGAGAGTCGATAGGATTTTCCATAAGGTCACAACAACTGACGACCCAATCATTCGTAAACTTGCTAAGACTAAAGGCAATGTCTATGCCACAGATTCCATTTTGGCTACAATTATGTGCTGCACAAGATCCAATTATAGTTGGGACATCGTCATTTCAAAGATCGGCGATAAATTGTTCATGGACAAGCGAGACAGCACTGAATTCGATTTGCTTACTGTCAATGAAACCGCTGTTGATCCACCACAGGAGGATGGAACATCTTTAAACACTCCTCAGAATCTTGCAATTGAAGCAACATTCATTAATCACAACTTTAGCCAACAAGTTTTGAAAAGTGTTTCAAACGAGTCGAAGTATAAGTTTGATAATCCAAATCCTTTCTTGAGTGAGGATGAAGAAGGAGAAGTGGCATCTGTTGGATATCGATATCGTACATGGAGTTTGAACAATGGAATTGAACTCATCGCTCGATGTGAACATGACGCTGTTATGATTGGGCCGACTGGTGACACTCAATTCATCACCATCAAAGCATTAAACGAATGGGATTCAAAGTTAGCAAACAGTGTTGAATGGCGACAGAAGTTGGACACTCAACGTGGTGCTATGCTTGCTAATGAACTTCGAAATAATGCTTGTAAGTTAGCTAAGTGGACTGTCCAAGCTCTTCTTGCTGGATCCGATCAAATTAAATTTGGATATGTCTCGCGAGCTCATGTTCGTGATTCTTCCAAGCATGTCATTCTTGGCACTCAACAATTTAAACCCCACGAATTTGCTACTCAGATCAATTTGAGTATGGACAATGCATGGGGAATTTTGCGTTGCATTATTGACATTTGCATGAAGCAAAAGGATGGAAAATATCTCATCATGAAAGATCCAAACAAGCCAGTTATTCGTCTTTATGACATCCCTGATAACACCTTCGATTCTGATGATTCCGACGAAAGTAGCGAAGAAATCGCTTTCAAGCCGATGTATAATTATAACCAACCGCAGCCAGGAGCAGCAGCAACAGCAACAACCCCATCAACAGCCACCACAAAAAAATAAAGCAAAAGAATAAAATAATAATTTTTTTTTAAACTTTAATTAACATCTTAGAAATTTGTAAGCGTGATTTTATTACATTACATTTAAATCATGATTAATTAATGGAATTTCGGAAAAAAATAAAACAAAATTTGCTACTGAATTAGCTTTTAAGCTTTAACAGTTGGCAGAACAAAAAAAGGAATTTTTATTTAGTTCTAGCTTGCGTCTTTTGGGAACACTAGAAAAAGCTCTTTGTCATTGCTTTTCATTTCATTTTGCAGGTATTGAACGAAATCTTCCTCCGAGCCAATACATTTAGGTCTTTCAAGTTTTGAATCTAAATTGTAGAATTTCTCATCTGCCATCTTTTTTATGCAAATCCAATGTCTGCTTTTAAGTGGTAATGTTATAAAAGCTATCGTGTAATCACTTGGAATATTGAGGATAAATCCGAATGATTTGGTGAGTTCAAGACTGGAAGCAGAAATTTCCTTTCTTTTATCAAACCAATTAAGTTGCATCGATTTTTCCTCTAATGCCAACATGATAGCATTGACATCGTAATTTCCTAGCCCAAGTAATGATTTATGGGGATTTATGTAATCCCCTGGCGAAAGATTTGCACAAATTTGATCCATTTTGTCTTTTGTAATCCATCTAGCTGAAATGAAATGAAATTTTAAACGAGTTTTAATATGAAATGTAACCTTACATTGAAATAAATTGTTGAGACAATGTACAGCACAAAGCATCCGAGACTGCTTTTCGTGATAAATATCTGAGGGAAGCATCCTTCCGCTTTTATTTTAATAATTTGGCTGCCAAGTTTTGCAATTGTTTACATCGCGTTTTGGCTGCGTTTATGTGTGAAAAATTTTGATTTGGAATATTGAAATGTTGTGTTTAATATTCTATTGTTTGATTTATTTCATCGTTTATTAGATTACCATGAAACTGTTTGATTTATTAACAGCAAAGTTCAATATAAGAAAATTGAATTTCATAACAATTTTATTTTCTATTTTCGTTTAAACTCTGCTTGTATAAATGAAATCAGTTTAAAGAGCAATTTTGAGGAAGGAAAGAGGCGAAAGTAAATTTAAAGAAACAGAAAAAAATCGATTAAGGAGTCTGTTTATCCTTCTAGTAGATTGTAAGTTCTCATAATAGTTTTGGTGACATGGAATATGGAAAATTTAAAGAGTAATTGAGGAGAGTCTTTCACAATATTGCCAACCCAATATTGCCAACTCGAGCCAACTTTCCATTTTTTAATTCACTTCCCTAAAGTTTTTAGTGTTCAATATTGAAGAGTTGAAATCGCTAAATGATAAAATAATCGATAAAATCAATAAGAATTGATAAAAATACTTTAAAAAGCGAGCCTTTTAAGAAGTTCCTGTGACTTTTGTTTATTTTCGAATGTCAGAATTTTTGTTGATTTTATTTTTAGAATTTCATAGATTTTCTTCTTCTTATTTTCCTTATTTTCTTGTTGTATACAAAATTTTCTCAAGAATTTTTAAGCAAACTTATGAAATCAAGAATTTCTCTTACAAAGAATTTATTTCATCATTTAAAAATCTTTTTGGAAGCTTAATTAAAAATTTCCTTCTCATTTTCTAAAAGATTTTAGAGATGATAAGACGATGGATCATAACAAAGAAATGAATCAATTAAACTCGCAACTACAAGATTTGCAAATACCTTCACCAATCATTGATTACTCCAGCATCAGAAGTAAAACGGTTTTAGTTAGTCCAACAGAAGAGCAGTTTGAACTTCTACTAAAGCGGTTAAAAGATCGGATTGCTGACAGTCGAGGTGAAACAATTTATGAAATTGGCATTGGAGAAGATGCAAGTGACTCGGGATTAGATTCAGAAGAATATGCTGCATCGCTTGCAACACTTCAGTCATTGGCTTCCAGTTTAAATGCAGATTGTGTTGAATTGAGACAACGTCGAGGTGAAAAAGGAACAACAGTCGGTCAGTACTTGATTCGACAGAGAGTTGACGAAACCGACTTTATGGAGATTCGAGTTGCTGTAGTTGGAAATGTAGATGCTGGCAAGAGTACGTTACTTGGTGTTCTAACTCATGGGGAATTGGATAATGGACGTGGATATGCTCGTCAACGTTTGTTTCGACACAAACACGAAATGGAGACTGGAAGAACAAGTTCTGTGGGCAATGACATTCTCGTAAGAATAAACTTTTAACTAACTTCCTTCAATCTCTATTAATTTATTTTATTTTCAAGGGCTTCGATTCCATTGGCAATGTTGTGAATCGAGCAGAACATGGAAATCTCGATTGGGTGAAGATTTGTGAGCAGAGCGCAAAAGTCATCACATTCATCGATTTGGCTGGCCACGAACGTTATTTAAAGACAACAGTTTTCGGTATGACTGGACATGTTCCCGATTTCGGGATGCTGATGATTGGCGCCAATGCTGGCATTGTTGGAATGACGAAAGAACATCTCGGATTGTCACTCGCATTGAGTGTTCCAGTCTTCGTAGTTGTCACTAAGATCGACATGTGTCCACCAAACATTCTCCAAGAAACATTAAAACTTTTAGTGAAGATTTTGAAATCTCAAGGATGTCGAAAGGTTCCAGTGATGGTGCGAAATCATGACGAAGTCGTTTTGTCAGCAACAAATTTCGTCTCTGAACGTCTTTGTCCAATCTTCCAAGTCTCAAATGTCACTGGCACGAACTTAGACTTGTTGAAAATGTTCCTTAATCTTCTGACAACGCGCGTGACTGGCTTGGATGAATTGCCTGCCGAATTTCAAATCGATGACACTTATTCCGTTCCTGGTGTTGGAACAGTCGTTAGTGGAACATGCTTACAAGGTGTCATTAAATTAAATGACATTCTTATGTTGGGACCTGATGCACTTGGCCATTTCATTTCGATTCCTGTTAAAAGCATTCATCGAAAGCGAATGAATGTGCGTGAAGTTCGTAGTGGACAAACAGCTTCATTTGCTCTGAAAAAGATCAAAAGATCTCAAATTCGTAAAGGAATGGTTCTGGTTAGTCCGGATTTAAATCCACAAGCAAGTTGGGAGTTTGAAGGAGAAATTCTTGTGTTGCATCATCCAACAACTATCAGTCAACGTTATCAAGCAATGATTCATTGTGGAAGTATCAGACAAACAGCTTCAATCCTTACGATGAATAAAGATTGTCTACGAACTGGTGATAAAGCAAAAGTGAAGTTTCGATTCATTAAACATCCGGAATATATCAAGAAGGGACAACGAATGGTTTTTCGTGAGGGACGAACAAAAGCAGTAAGTTAATTTGATTATTTCCAAATTGTGATTGAAGAATTAAAAGATTTTATCGTAGGTTGGAAACATTCTTAAACCACTGCCACACACGGTCAACACAAACATCAATCGAACGAAGCCGAAGTTACAATCTCGAGGTGGGGGAGTTCAAAATCAACAGAATCAAAATCCAAATGTTGGGGCAACTGCATCGACATCAACAGCAAATGCTTCAAATGAGGTGAAAGCAAATTTGGATTCTGTTCTTGAGATCTCGATGGATAAACGAAATGTGAAAAATAATAATCGAGGTGGAAAACGTAAGCGAGCTAACATGGCAACTGTTAATTATCCGGAGCCAACAAGTACAACAACTCCACCTTTACCAGCACAGCAATGAACGACTTATGCAGGACAATTTCTTAGATCTTTGAGATAATCATGAACTAGGAAATGCAGCGTACGTGGACATGGAAATATCGAAATAACTTTGAAAATAACAAAAGATTCTATTTTTATTAATTATATAATTCTTCAGTTTGATTAAAAAGAAATAAAAAGCAACAAAATGGAATCCAATCAATGCTTCTTTGTTTTACTATCAATCTCATTCTTGGCTTTCTCAAGCTCTTCTTTCACATTATTTTGAAATTTATCAATGAACGAGCGAAACTTTTGTGGTGACATATCTTTGATTCTTTCTTCAGTCGCTTCTTGTGCTACCGATTTTGCTCTATAAAACACTGACACTGCCATTTGAGCTGCACGTCTCATAAGATAAGAATCACTGAGACGTTCAACCAGCTTTTCATTGTTCGCTAAATATCTCAAAAGTGTACGAATCATCCTTTGTGTTGTTATTTAGAAGTTGTATTGCTTGTATTTGTTTATCAGCTCTTGTTTAAGAATAAGTTGTTTTTTAAGATTTTCCAAATGCTCCAGTTGTTGAGGCTTTGACTGATCAATTCCTAAGGGAAAGAAAATATATTTTACGCATAAAGAAAATTGTTTCGTAACAAGATATTAATATTAATTCATTACCTGGAATAAGTTTGACCTGTTCTCGAGCTTCGTTTATTCTCTTTTGTAATTCAACAACCCTTTGAGCAACTTCCTGTGATTCACTAAGAATATAAAATAAAATTTAGAGCGTAATTTGTAAAAAAGTTATATTTAGGATGAAAACATTGGAAAATCTATTCGATATTTACGTGGTCTTTGTTTCTACAGCGGAATTGTATCGCTCAAATTTACGGATGATTTCTGATAATACAGAAACTATATCAATTTGATTTTCAGCTTCTTGACTCATTATACTATGATAAAATATGATTTAGAGACAATATTCCATAAGAATTTATGTGCCGCGGGCCGCCGGATGCCGCATAAAAGGGTATTGAACTACGAGATAGAATAATATCTACGAAATTTTGAATCAAAGAAAGCCGTTAAAATTATGTCTAAATTTGTCCAAAACTTTCATTAATTGACAATTTCTTCTTATCAAAGCAAATAATTTTTTAATTATTAAAAACCGATTTATTTGTAAAGAATAAAATGAAAATATTAAGTAAAATAAGCATTGTTATTATTACACATTAATTGCGAAGTTATTTCAAATAAAATTTAATTAATGGTAGATATTGGAATGATAAGGATTATACATATTTTATCTATATAAAATAATTTCAGGACCTCGTTTATTTTAAAAATTCCATTATATCATCAGCTGATAGTTCGTTGTTATTTTTTCGATTACTCATTCCACCAAAGCTGTTATTTGATTTTGATGATTGAACAAATCCCGTTGGTTGACTTGCACTTGATTTCATTTGATTCAAAGGAAGTTTTTCCTTCTTTGCATTTGGAAGTAAATCATCGAATGCACCCCAATCATCATTCTTCTTTGATTCTTTAGGATTTGAAGCTGGTGATGCTGAAGGTGATTGAAAACTTCCAAAATTGTTATTTTGGGTTGTTGATGCATTCCATGAATTTCCTGTCGTATTAAACCAAGAATTATTGTTTGCTGATGTGCTGTGTGTCAATTTTAGTTGATTAAGATTGTTGTCTAAAAGTGACGATGTTAAATCTTTAGCTTTGTTTGCGATTTTCAAAGGTGCTTGTTTTGGTGTAATTGCTTGTTGTGACTGCAATCTCTGATTCTGTTCTTGTTGTTGCGTTAATCTTTGCTTCTCTTGTAGACTCATACCACTAGCACTTGATGTCATTGACATTCCACTTGCTGTGGATTCATTAGCACCTTCCTCTAAATCATTTAAAAATTGCTCAAGTCCTAAATTTGAGAAAACATCATCAGACTCATTTTTTGAAGGTGACTTTGCATTTGGAACCAATTGATTTTGTGCCTGAAACTTCAAAGCATTTGATTCCTTTTGAATACTTGAAAGTTGTTCAAGTTTTGTTCGATGTTCACTTTCAACTCGATTTATCATGTCTTTGACAAGAACCATCATCGCATTGAATTGAACAAGCGATAAACCGTTCTCAATTGACAGTGGCACAAGGAATGGAATAACTTTTGTCGCTAATGATTCTTTTGTCAAACCAAGTTTGCTGTGTGTTAATGCGAGCTTGTAGATTCCTAAAATCGCCATTAAGACAGCTGGTTCACGTGACGGAATTTGTGGCAAGAAAGGAATTATTTCATCCATGACTAGCCACTTATCAAGATGTTCAAGTAATTTTCCAATGCAAAGTAAACAATTAACACGTACACTGACAAGTTGTGTTGTGACACAAAGTTTCTTAATTCTTGGCAGAAGTGCATTCTTCATAGAAGGATAATCAACAAGAGATGCAAACGTTGGAAGAATACTCAGACAAAGTTCTTGAATTTGCTGTGCATCTGATTCAAGTGCTCGATAAAGCATCGGTAAAACATCAGTTTTCACATCTTCAGCTGGTGTTAATTTAAGCAGTAAATCCATCTATGAAATAGTCAAAATATTTATAAGAATTTTATTAAATTGTCTTCGTAATCTACTCACCTTAGTCATAAATAAATGCAGAACTTGAATTGGTTCAGTGATTTTCATGACCGGCTTCAAATGACATAAAATATGTTTGACAAACTCTTGACTGTTGGAATTTTCAGAAATTAGGAAAATGTTTGGCAGGACGAAGGGAATCATTGGTGGATTAACAAATTCTTTAACTAAACACGGTAAAATTCTGAAAACATTTATTCGATGTGGAAGTTTTTGAATGACTTGTGGCAGTCCTTTGTAAAATTTGGATTTCTGAAGATTATCCCATTGAAACAGTTGATCGAGATAATGCAATGTCTTGACACCAATGTCATCAAAGAAAGGAATCTGAATGAAACAAAATAATTAATTAAATTACTGAAGGAAAAATTTTGTTTTCTATTTCTTACCTTTGTGAATTCATGCAAATTAATTCTTAACTCGGGTGTTGCATTCAACATCATTTTAACTTCATTCTGAAGTCCATCAGGAATTGATGATAAGTTTGGATATTTTCCCTGTTTCAATTCTGTCGCATGCCGTCGAAAACTTTGATAATCTTTACCAAACATTTTTATTGGCTTTCCGCCATTTGAATAAATTGAATAAATTAAAACTCCCAATGAATAAATGTCACTTTCTGCAGAATGATTCGATATGAGAGCACATTCAGGAGCCATATACTCTAAGCTCGGTTGGGAGAGAGCATGCCATGAGGAATTATACTCGTTGAACGGCCAAGAAGGTTTCGCATCGTGAGGATTTTGATTTAAAATACAATAATCAAATCCAAATATTTTCCATGCTCCTTGTTGATTGACTATTATTGATTCTGGACAGATGTTTCGGTGAAGAAGTTTAACATCAGAGTGAAGGAATTGAATACCTTCACAAATTTGTATCAAACCATATTTGGTGTCGACATCATGAAGTTTGTATGAGTTGAGACTGTTGGGATGTGGCATGTTGTGATGATTTCCTAAGATATTTGCAAGACTCGCAAAGACTGGTTCTGTGGCAAATGCTATTGAATCGCGACTCTCCTCAAGTGGATGTTGAACAGTTAAAACATGAGGATGCCTGATCTTTGTTAACTGAACAACTCCACGTCTTAAAATTTCCAACAGCTGCTCCTTGTCGTCCTTACTGAAACGGTCCAATTGTTTCTTTTGGAATTCGAATATTGCTGCTTCTTGCTTTGTAGATTTCTTGGTCCCTTTAAAAACTCGCCATAATAAACCTGTTGGTATGAAAATTTTCAATAAAAGCTTTAAAAAATCCTTGAAAAATTTCTTTACCAATTCCAGCGGAACAAACTTGTTTATCTATTTCATATTCCCTAGCTAAAGGATTTCCAGGCAACACATTTGATAACTGTGATACTGAATTAGACACACTAGAATATAATTTATTTATAACATCCATTATTATCGTCTAAAATCACCGATTTTTCTTTAATGATTCACTTGACTTCAGAAGCGTGACGTTATGTAGCGTACGTAAAAAATTTCTTTTTTTCGGATCGGTTTATGTTACGTAGCGTGCGTAAACCGTACGTCAGTTCAAGTTATAAACAAAGTTTTGTTCACGTATCGGGGTTTTAAATATTCATTTTCAACAAAGAAATAACGCGATTATATTACTCATTTAATGTGAAAATTATTTGTAAGTGTCTCATAAGTAAATTGTGATTGAAAATCTTTTATTAAAACAGCAAAAAATCGAAAATTTCAAAAAATAATTTTCATAATAATATTCAGAGCCTTCTAAGAATTTGCGACTAAGTTTTGCGAAACTGGTGGTTAAATGTTGAAAATATTCAAGAAAAGAATAAGTATAATCAGCTTTACGGTAAAAGATTCGTCAATTATCGGAAATTATCTAATATAAATTAGGAAATGTCTTCACAATTTCTTTAAAGAAATATTTAATTAATCTATTTAAATATTTTATCGACATGTTTGGGTAGATTCTCTCGTTGGACAACGTGATGCGTAGATGTGTGTGAAGAAGAGAGAAAAGAGCGAAAATTTTTCTTTAGAGTTGGTCAGAAAAAAAACTTCTTCAGTCTGAGAAAAAATTCATTCGGATTCAGAACGTTTTTCCATCGCGTTCCGTGGAAATAGTATTGTGAAGGTGAAATAAATATAAAATTGCAGTACCATATACTGCCTTATCATATCTGATATTGATAAAAACAAATCCTAAACTTAAAGTAGCTAAGAAGTTTATTTGAAGTAAGTAAAGGTGAATCAACAGTCAAACGAAAAAATTAAAAGGAAATTATGGGATTGCCCTTGATGTTGATAAAGAATAAAAGTGTGTTAAAGGAAGTTTAAAGTGTTTAAGAAAGTTAAAGACAACATATATGCGGGCAAAGAAATGGGAATAAGAAATAAATATGTTAGAAATATAGAGAATGAATTTTATGTTCGTATGTAGATACGAGGTGATGTGTACGGTTTTCTCTGTGTTGCTTTTTTCTTTACTTTGATACCTACGAAGCGGCCCCGCCTAAATTACAGTAATTCTTAAGTTTTTCATTTTTAAGTTCACAAATACTGAGCTTAATGTGTGAAAATTTGAAAGATTTAATCCATTATGGGAAATTCTATTAGCTTCTGATATCACATTTCATGTTGCTTTTCTCTCATTTTCTCCCATAAGCTTCTCCCCTCATTCCAGTGAAAAAAGGTCGATATCACCAAACCACCACAAAAAATGGTGGAAAGTGAGGAAAATTTTATCGATTTTTCCCCAAAAAATAATCGCATTGAACTTTTCTTCCTGCTTTTATTGTTTATTGTAGCGATAAGCTTATATTTGTGTGCGTAAAACTATCGCGCAAACGATAATGGAAAAGTCAGAAACGTTGAAGAATTCATTTTCAAAAAAAAATTATCAATTAACATATGAAACGATTGGTTGGGAATTTAATCGAATGTGGTGCGTACAGAGAAGAGAGTGAATTAATTAAATCGTGCTTTTGTCCATTGTTTGTAATAGTTTTCCAACAATTTCAATGGACAATTGACCCAACATAGCACACGATTTCGCTCCGGTGAGAGTTTCCAATTTCCCGTTCTCATCTCGTAGAAGTCAAGATTTTCACTTCATTTCTTTTCTTTTTTTGCTTTTCGTTATTTTTTTGCAGCGATCATAAAAAAATAAAGGCACAAATACATTCTCGACAAAAGGTTTATTTCTTTAGGTAGATATTCCATTGTAGTAAATCTCGCTGATGACATCATGCCCTCGCGCGCGCGACTTAATTTTTGTGTTTTGCTTCTTGCTTCTTTAAGAAAAATAAAAATGAAGAATTGAAAAATTTCTCTTTATTTCATGATGATGGTGCAAAAGAAAATGTTTGCTGCTGAGCAGCTGAGAGTTTAACCGAAATGTAACTTCTTTCATTTGCATATTTCGAGAGAATATATGATGGAATCACATTTGGTGGCATCATTACGTTTTTTTTATTCCGCTTTAAACCGACGAAACTTTTTTATTTCTTCCATTCCTATCCCAAAACGAAAATGTGAATTTAAATAACTTTAATTTAAATTTTGACCGAGCTTCATTTTTCTGAGCAATAAATACATTTAGAATCACATAGCACGGGTCAACTCACAACTCATTTAAAATCAGTTTGGCTTGTCATTTCATCTAATTCAAAGAAGAGCAGATCGTGCTTGCTTCTGGCAAGCTCCCACGGGTTTCGTGTCAATGAGACTGAACATAAAACTTTATGGAAACAATAAATGATTCTCAACAATTGTTTGAAACTCTTTATGATTTCCAATAATAAGCAATGATTTCAAAAGAAATGAACAGAAAATAACAAGAAGCAAAATCCAAAAAAAATCTCAATTCTCACTCCTCTCATGATCAGTTGAAAGTCAAAGAAGAAATAAAAGAAAAAATAAAAACAACTTAAGTACAGTGATGGATCTGTTAGCAATAGTTAGTTCAAGTTGATATGATGCAACTGTTCTCGATTTATTTAGTTTTATTTACAAATTATCTAAAACATGCAATGAACATTCATCACTGTCAATTCAGATTCTCATCTATTTCGCGTTCTTTTTTGTTTTTTAGTTAAACTTCTTAATAGCATTCAATCTATTTCGCTTGTATTTGTGTCGTCGATTTAGAAATTGAAATTAATGGCAACCAGAGAATCCAGTTCTCGTTGCTGATGACATACAGTAGCAAGAAGAAAAGATGGGAATGAACAAGTTTCACTTTGGATTTAATCTCAGGTTGATGTTGTCATAACTTTTGCGGTTTTTGATTCAACGAGCTCGTTACATTTTGATTGTATGTTTCATGTTTCATTGAAGTAGATGAGAAACTTGTAATCAAAACAAAGAATAAATTACTCTCGTCTGTCGGTTAATGAGTCATCATCATTGAAAAAGCGAAAATTTAAAATCTCAACTGTACGATGATTTGTCATTGCTTGCATTCTCATTCATTCATTCAAACATTTTATTTCTTTAGAAAAGTATTTTGAGGCATAGGAAAGGTTGTAATTACTTCATCCGTCTAAATTTATCGCGTCGAATGATGACCGCATAAAGTAATGCACATACTTCTTATTATAAATAAAATAAATAACAACTTCACTTGACTGATAAATTTTAAAAGTACGAAATAAAATGTTGTAGTGTGTGTAGCCATAAAAAAGTTTTCTATGAACGTGTTAATGTAATTTGCTTGTTAAGTCATCCAACAAGTGTGTTAATATGACCCAGTGGATTGATAAAAACAACTTCTCTTGAAACTTCAAAAATTATAACAAAACAAGCAAAGAAATGATTTGGTTAATTAGATAAATCAACGGTATGATCAAATTTGACATATTTAAAGACAAGAGCAACGCCTATTCTCTGACCTTGGCATTCTAACATCATCAAGTGGGGCTTCAAAGTTTTCTTCTCATTCTTTTCATCATAAGGAAAAAGAAGAACATAAATTTTCGCTCCAAAAATGACATCAACATTTGATAGTCGCGCTTCATAGAAACAAGTCAAGTCTCTTGTGTCATCCATTACACAAATTAGTCACAAATTACTGCACGTATGCGTACCACCGCCCAATTTAACTTAATTTGTTTTTATGCTTTCAAATATTTACCGTTGAAGTTGAAATGATTTTATTTCATATGACCTAAACTCGTATAAGCTGTAAGTCGCGAGACTTGCGTGCTAAGTATGTTGAAATAATATTTGCTATAATAGGATCGTGATTTATATGTTATGTTTATTTTGATGAATATTGACGACATTTCGTGATTAACGAAAGAAACTTCGTTAGAACAGATTTTGATTTAATGGCAAATGCTATTGCAAAGTTAAATTTATGCTTTGTTCTAAGTAGATAGTCGAGTTGGTTTTAAAAAACGTTCTATTATCGCTGTCACTGATAAGTGAATAAATAACAATTTGTATATTATTAAATGTGGGTGAAATTTATGATGCTTAGCGGTCAGGGTCATAGAAGTTAACAGAAAGAGAAGGAAGATGAAGAAAGGGAAATGCCGGGCATATCTATCAATGTATTTAATAAAATTTATTATTAAAAATTGTATCATATTCACATCTATCGTCAATGCAGATGATCACAAGAGAATTTATTTCAATGACATCATAAGAAAATTGAATTGCGAAACCGAGAATATTCTGCGGTTTCATCGACATTGCTTCATTGCACAATTCTTCAAGTGTGCGTGAATAAATTGGATTTAATTAAATTAACATTGATCAAGTGGAAGAATTCGACTTTTTTCTTAGTTGATGATACTCGGTGAAAGATTTCTGAATTCCATTAATCATAAATGATTATGTACAGTGAATGCTCTATTTATTTCATGCATTTGACATTCTTTCAAAATAAATAATTAGGAAACGACTTATTCAAGTAATTTTAGACACTTTATAGAAACAACAAACATATTTACATAAAAAGTAACAACAATTTCCTTTCCGCTTTGCGAATTCCGAACTCGTAAGTGTGCTGTCGTTTCGAATTTAATATTTTTTTGGCAACAAACTCAGTACACTTGACCGCTAGTCGCTTGGTTCGTCTTCTTCTTCTTTGGTTCTTCGATTTCATTCCATTAAGTTAAAAGAAAAAATATATTCAATTGCTGCTAAATATTGAAGTCATAAATTCCAATTCAATTTGTGAAGAGAGAGAAAAAAAATATGAAAAGCATCTCGTAAACATTAACCACAACAACCCATCATGCTTGAGAATTATTCTCGATTGAAATCAATCATTTTTCTATGAGAAACAAATGTAAAGAGGAAAAAAAGGCGCGCAAGAAGTTGTGTCAGAAATAGAAAATGAAGTTTCATCATCAACTCGATATTTTTTTCCTTGTTTTCTATTAATAACTACATTTATTTACCGCATTTCTCATTTCCATTCCATCATATTCTCCAACAGTAAATTCTGCTCGCTCAATATAAAAATTATAGCGAAACGATGAAGGTTGCTTAAGTAGAAAAGAAATTGTATTTAAAGGTTTTCGAGTTGTGATCGAGGAGTGTTTTTGTTTCAACTTTTAACCAGAACATTTTATGGATCATTCAATTTGTATTATTTGTGCGTGGATGTTGGCTTTCTAATTGCGAATTCCCAGTCCTTCTTAGTCATCTTCTTCCTGGTTGGCAAAAATTTGTTTATAATTATTACCAGGAAGAACAATTTCAAACGAAAAATAATTTGAAACGTTTATTTAAAATATAATTGCGAACATTTTGTTTCTAGGTTCCTCAACTTTTCAACTGTCTCTCGTTTAAAGACAGAAAAAGTACACAAAAAAAAGAAAAATTAAAAATATCTGCCGAATAAATTTCATTCTCACGCAAATGAAAAATTTTTTACAAAGATTATTTTTTCAATCTCGTCTTTTTTATTTTATATCGCGCCACACATGTGTATGATCTATATATGAAAATTAAATATCCATCATATGACATAACACAGTTAGGCCTTTGAAATAATTTGTTGTAAACAGATGTGCGTTCGTCGAATAAACGAAGTTATACTTTCATCCGGATTTTCGAGCGTTTCTCTAATGAAGACAATTTGATGACAATCTGTTTAGATTCTCATCGATACACATGTGAAGGTCACGAATATCTAACATTATTTAATTTAGATTACGGAATCTCGTTCATTATTCAGACGCAAATCGGATCAAGAGAAATTGTTTATACGTTTTTTTTTGACGCCATTAGATCATAATTTCCTTCTTCCATCCTTCCAACAGACAAACAGCATGTTCAGAGCTTCCTCAACATTATTTTGTTGTTTTCAATCCATTTCGAAATGGTAAGGGATGTAAAATTGAACATTATTAGCTTCCAGTCTGGAGCCTTGCTTGTTTGCATTACATAAACTCGTCCCAAAGACTTTTTTATGCTGAAAAATAAAAGAAGGAAGGAAAAATTAATTTGCGAAAAAAGTTTTGCTTTGCAGAAATAAATAAAACAAAAACAAAAAGAAGTTTTTTCGATTGTTGAATGAAGTTCGTGTAGTCATAATGGCGACACACATTTTTCTTTCCGTCAGTTTCATGTCCATGTCGGTTATTAAAGTTCTCCTTGCGGCCTAAAAATAAACGGGGTAAACAGTTTCGTGATAAAGATATTGTTGAACTTTCATTATGTAGGCGTTACAAACGGTTGCGTCACGCCTTTTTGTCTTAGATTTCAACTTGACGAAAGCGTGTCTTATTCTCTTTTTAGTTTCTTATGCCATTGACCCTTCAGTTACGTCACTTGTTTAGTGAATGGATTTAACTTTATTATTTAAAAAGTAATAATTAACGCAGAGACTCTGATTTAGCAGCTAGATGAAAATAATTAATTACTTCGCTTTTTTTATGTTTCTGATCTCATTCAACAATTTAATTTCTTTTTTTTCTCTTCTTATCTCGATAATCAGAGAATAACTTCAATCTCAAGGGAAAAACAATTCAATAATAATTAACAATGCCTGGAGAAACGGGAGCCAAGTCTCCGACACCACAAGTCGAAACACCGACAAAGAAGAAATCAACCTCAGCGGGACGTGCTGCTTTAGCCAAAGTCAGTCTTCTCGATGGATCAACTCTCGATGTGACAATTGATCGTAGAGCTCGTGGTCGTGATTTACTCAATTCTGTATGTGCTGGTCTTAATATTCTTGAAAAAGATTATTTTGGTTTGCACATCGAAACGCCACAAGATCCTCGCATTTGGCTTGATCTTGAACGTCCACTTACGAAATATTTTAAATCTGATCCATGGATTGTGGATTTTGCTGTAAAGTTTTATCCACCAGAACCAGCTCAGTTGCATGAAGACATCACTCGTTATCAACTTTGTCTACAAGTACGAAATGACATCTTAGAAGGACGTCTGCCATGTTCATTCGTCACACACGCTTTGTTGGGCTCATATTTGGTGCAATCTGAACTTGGAGATTATGATCCGAATGAAATGCGCGATAGAAGCTACTTGAAGGACTTCAAAATCGCTCCAAATCAAACACCGGAATTGGAAGATAAAGTTGTTGAATTGCATAAGACGCACAAAGGTCAAACGCCAGCTGAAGCTGAACTTCATTACTTGGAGAATGCTAAAAAGTTGGCAATGTATGGAGTCGATTTGCATCCTGCTAAAGACTCGGAAGGCGTTGATATCATGCTTGGCGTTTGTGCTTCTGGTCTGCTTGTTTATCGCGATAAGTAAGTTTTGTTTCTTTCCGTATTTTTATCTTATCTTATCAACTAAATTCTAATTTAAATGCCTAAACTTGACCTTCCCATGAACATTTCATAATATTAAAATTCTTTTAGACTGCGCATCAATCGCTTTGCTTGGCCGAAGATTTTGAAAATTTCCTACAAGCGCAATAATTTTTATATTAAAATACGACCGGGAGAGTTCGAACAGTACGAAGCCACAATTGGCTTCAAGTTAGCAAACCACCGAGCTGCAAAGAAATTGTGGAAATCATGTGTTGAACATCACACATTCTTCCGATTAATGACACCGGAACCAGCAACAAAAACGTCATTGTTCCCACGTTTCGGCTCAAAATATCGTTATTCGGGACGAACTCACTACGAAACGAAGAAAATGCCAGTGGATCGTGAACAGCCGAGATTCGAAAGAAGCTTAACTGGCAAGAGAATCTCAAGTCGTAGTATGGATGGTAAGTTGTTAATTAATGACTCAAATAATGATAAATTATTTACTTTACACTTCTCATATGTAGCATTAGCATTGAAAGATGATCCGAAAGACAAGGAAAATAAACGACATACAATGTCACATCCGCCAGATCATATCCCAGAATTAGATTCACCACGTCAATCACGCAGTCCAATCAAGAAGGATAAGAAAGAGAGGGTGAGTTCTTAATTACTTAATCTCTTAATTAAAGCATAAATATTTTATTTATGTTGTTGGTGATTGGAAAACTAAAAGTTTCTTTCTTTCTTTTGCATTATCGTTTATCTAAGTCTAACAAAAACAAAAAAAGTTCTTTTAACAAAGATAAAGAAACATTTCTATCTTAATTTTTCATTTCTGTTTTATTGCGGAAATTTTAAAATTAAAAAAATAATAAAAAAATGCTTCAACTCATCTAACTTTAATTAAACTAATCTTTAAACTAACTCAGCTGAAGCGTGAATCGAGCACAGGAACGGCTTCAGCATCATCTCAGAGCTCATTAGAAGGAGAATATGAGACGTCTGGATCTGTTGCCAATGATCAGGTTGTGTGTTGCGATTTGTTACATGTTTAATATCGTAATTGCTTCTTGCATACATTTTTAATCTTGGGCATGCGATGAGCTTCTGAGTTCTTTTCTTTGAAAAGATTATTTTTCTCATTTGATCTCTCCGTCAACCTTTTAGCGATGCGGCATGGCATGGCCTTTTACTATATAGATACGATAAAAACCTTTTCCTGTTCATATCTAAACAACTTTTTGCCAGTTTTTTTTCTGTTTTAAATATTTTGTTGTTTATTATTTTTGATGCGAATTTGTGATTACTTTTTGTTTCTTGTGCATTACGTGTGTTGTGTTTCTCGCTGAAGTTTTATTGTGCTTAAGAGCTTCGCAAAAAAATAAATAAATAAAGAATTTTACAAATGACGGATTTCCATTACTTTTCACATGCCAAAAACGACGACACACAAAACTGCTGTTGAATCTTTTCCATTCTTTCATCTCAGTACACAAGATCAAGCGAAAGCTTCACGGTCATAAATTATTCATTCGAGAAGTAAGAAATAAAACTTGTAAATTTTTTCATCCGTCTCAAGAGTCTTCATAAAAGAAAATTATTTTAAATTGCTTTTAAGTATTTGGTTTTTTGAGTCTTTCATGGAAGATTCGAAAGAATCAGAACTTTTTGTGCCTTATTTCATTCATTTCACTTCAATGAGATTTCTTTTATAAATTGTTCACAAATCTTTCCATTTCCCTTAAAGAATGAAGAAGGAAAGCTGCCAGCTTGGAAGGATTCCAATTGTCAATTTCCTCAACCATAAATATGGAATCATTTCAACTGTTGCTACATAATTCAAGGCAACAACTTAAGCTTTAGAACATTACAATGAATACAAATCGAATTGTACATAAATGCAGGTTTAAATGGTCATTAGCTTTAATAGTGTTCACCCTCATATTTTTCCTCCCTATTCTTACGAACGAAAGCACTTAACAGCAAAAGTGAATTCGCCGACATTGAAAGAAATATCGTTTAACAAAAAGCCGTAAATTGATATTTCTCTCTCGTTCTTAAAGTTATGTTATCGATCCAACAGCAACAACAACACAACAAAGTATGAAATGAGAAACTTTTGAGCTTACATTTTCAATCATGTTAAACTTACAAACTAATAGAACGTCGTCGACCATCTCATGCCACATGATAATAAAACTTCATAAAAGAATTGCTTGCGGTCTCAAAAAAAAATACTAAAACTAAAAAGAAGAAGAAGAATTTTGTGTTAAATTAAAGTTGGTGTTGTCGTTGCTGCTGCTGCTTCTGCTGCCTTTTAATGTAATTTAATATTCCACCCAAAAGTAAACTTCACAGCTGAGCACGCAAAACGACTTTCTGTTTTCTCTTTTCGTCACTTTTGTCCTCTGCCTTTACTTATTTAAATTATCAATTAAAGTTTTAACTATTCAACGTTATGCGTGTGCGACGTGATAAGAAGAAAAATGGGCACGGAAATATTTTTTCATTAATTTCTTCATTTGTTTAGGTTTTTCATATTTTCCTTATAGCATCATTTGTTGTGTGTTTGAGTTAAATTTATTTACATCTATGTACAATATAAAGGGGACAATGTTGATTGATTACGTCATATAGCATTTAGCACTTGATTTAAATATTTATTCATTAATTCTGCATGCATTAATTGATTCTTTCTTTCTTTCTTTCCATTTGATTTTTATTTTCTTATATAAATAATGTTTTCATCTCAAACATTAATGTCAACAATTTATATTAATTTATTTCAATTTATTCTCTCTGAACAATTTAGAAACCGCCCGGTGGTGTTGCCGTGTTGCCAACGAAAGATAAAGATAAGAAGGAAAAGGAAGCAAAAGGAAAGGATGAAGTCGTTAACGGTGAGGAATAATTAATCGGAGGTATCTTCAATTTCTAAATATCAAATCAATCCACAGGTAAACAAGACAAAGATCCTAATGAATTATTGAATAAGTCGAAAGATGATGAAAAAGCTTCGGGTGAACCGGAAGAGAAGGGAGGATTGTTTAAACGCGTAAGTTTATTTATTTCAATGATATCAGCATGCGTTTCAAATGACGATAAACTTATTTTACATATGAATAGCTAGCTAGTAGCTTTTGACTTTGTTTTAAGTTTTCGATTGGTAATTTTTTTTCTTTCTTTTTTATCTTTTATGATTTTCATACAAATATCAACTTTTCGTATCATATTAAAAAATATTTGAAAACATGAATGAATATAATGAAATAAATGCTGCTGTAGAGTTTCTTCGGGTCTGGAAGAAAATCTCAATCACCAGCAAAGGAGAAAGTAAAGAAAGAAAAGGAAAAGACGCCACCGAAAGAGAAGGAAAGTCTTGTTGCTGCTCCATTAGAAGTTGGAGATAGCAGCAATAAGAGAGGAAAGGACAAGTCACAACCAGCTGGTGTCACGAAACCATACGAATATGAAGAAGGCGATCCGAACTTGAGTCCATCTAAAAAACATGCTGTCAAAGGATTCCGTTACGATGAAGATCCAGCTCAATTACGTGACAAGGATGATTCAGCTAAATTGAGTCCAACATCTGAATCAAAACGTGCAACTGGATTAGCATTCAACTATGCACCTGGCGAGAATGTTGCAGAAACAGCTGAAAAATTGAAGCATGGCGAATTGTCGCCAAGAACTCGCGACAAGATTCAACGCGGTGAATTGTCGCCAAAATCTCGCGATAAACTTTTGAAAGAAGGAAATTTGTCGCCAAAAACTCGCGCTAAGCTTGTTGGTGGTGTTCTTGCTAAAGACGATGACAAAGGCTCAAAATATGTCCCAACAAAGAGTTATTCACCAGCAGAAGCTGCTAAAGCTCCATCAGGAAGTGACGGTAAATATCGTTCACTTACTGACGATCCCAACACGCGATTCCTTCAAGGAGAAAAATACGATCCAAATTTGTCTTTCGTTCCATCTGAGTTGAAGACCGGAGTTGCAGCAGCAGATGAGAAGCCAAAATCAAAAGTTAAAGTCAAGATTATGGTGATTGTTGGCAAACTTGATCCGAAAACGAAGAAAGTTGACGCATCGAATGGTGAAGTTGAGCATTCAATTGGCATTTTGGATAAGGAAACTGGAAAGATTGAATCGAAATATGGCGTCATTGATCCGAAAGCTGGAACTCTCACAACTGACGATGGAAAAGGTGGAAAAATTACACACAAAGGCGCTGTTGATCCCAAGACCGGTCACGTTCAAATTGTCGATGGTGTTTTGGATCCGAAAACAAAATCAGTCAACCCTGAACTTGGTCAAGTCATCAGTGTTGTTGAAGAAAAGAATCCAATTGTTGAGATCACAACAATCACCGGAAAAGTTGATGGAAATGGAAAAGTTGACACTGTCAATGGTGACATTGAAAGATCTCGCGGTATTTTGGATATTGACAATGGAATTCTTGAAACTAAGCACGGCTTCATTAATCTTAAAACTGGTGAAGTTAAATCAACTGATGGAAAAGGAAAACCTGTCACGAAACAAGCTAAAATTGATCCTGCTAATGATTTAATAACCATTGTTGGAGTTCAAGATCCAAAATCTGGTAAAGTTGACAACACGCAAGGTCATTTGATTGCTGTTGGTAATGAAGTTGATCCACTTGTCGAAGTTGTTTCCGTTGTTGGAAAGTTGGATAAGAAAGGAAATTTGGATCCGAAGACAACAGTTTTGGAAAATTCAAGCGGTCAATTTGACACACAAACTGGAAAGATCAACACAAAGTTCGGTCAGTTGGATTTAGTTAAGAGTACCATCACATTTACTGATCCCAAGACAGGAAAATCTGAGACAAAAGATGTCAAGATTGATCCAGCGACTGGACAGGTCATTCTTAAGAATCAAGTCAATCCAAAAACAGGCAAACAAGACAAGGACTTTGGACGCATCATCAGCTTACGAATTGTTCAAAATAAAGTCGATGATGCAACTGGAAAATCTTTACCAGTTCAAGATAACAAAGATGTTCGTTTTGATCCGAAAACAAATCAGATTTGGGTTGCTGGTGACAAGAATCCTAAGACCGGTGAACAAATCTTTACATCATCACAAGTCGATCCTAAGACCGGTTACGTCATCACAATTTATGGATATTTGAATCCAAAAACGAACGAAATTGAAAAACAATTGAAAATTGATCCGAACTTGGTTAAAGTTGATGAAGCAAGTGGACAAATTTACACATCAACAGGTGAAACTGACGCGTCAGGCGAGCCACTTTATGCTGTTTCGGAAATCAATCGTGACAATGGTGAAGTGTACACAAAATTGGCTAAAGTTGACAAGAAAACCGGACGTTTGGTGATTGTTCGTGTGTTGATGATGTCGAAACGTGACGAACGCGGAAAGCCTCAAGATCTTGACCTCAAGACCGTTGAATTTGATGACAAGACCGGAAAGATTCTCAATGTTGTTACAAACACAATTTACGTTTATAAAATGGTCGACCCAATAACTGGTGAAGTTGTTCAAGTTGATCCAAATGATCCAAGAATTTCCGGCGCAAGAACAACAGTCACGCAAACATTGACATTGACAGGCGAAATTGATCCAGTGACGGGACGAATTAAGACAGAATATGGACACATCGATCCAAATACTGGAGAAATCGATCCAGCAACTGCTGTTAAAGATCCCGTGACTGGCAAACTCATCTTGAACTATGCCGATATTGATCCATCACATTTCGGAAAAAGTGTTTCAATCACAAAGGAAACCGTTCCAATCACCCGCGAACAATTTTATGAAGGCACAAGGCATCTTGGTACACACGTTTTAAGCCATGATGGTGAAGACGACGATGGAACGCCGATTGATGTTGATGAAGACGCTTTGAAGAAGTCATTGAGTGGTGGAAAGTATAATGGAACACCGACTGTTGTTAAGACAACAACGAAGCAAATTATCACACGTGGCGATGATGGAGTGACACATAATGTTGAAGAAAAAGTACAAAATTTGGGAACTGGTGAAGTTACGTACTCGACGCAGGAGCATAAGGTGAGAAAATCATTTTTGGGGAATTTTACTAGAAAGAAATGACAAGAAATCGTCGACGTTTCTCCCGATCTCAACTTTTGCATGGATGTGTTGATTACTTTTATTATTTTCTTTTTATAACTTAAGTAGGTATCAAAATTGCAAAAGTATTTTTCCTTTTATAGCTGTTGTCAGTTGTTTGCCGAAGAAAGAAGAGATTGAAGTAGATTTGCTCGAATAAGAATCTTTTTTTGTGACGAAAGTAGAGCATAAAGCAGTGTTTCTCAACCTTTTTCAATAAATTTTCACACCAGTTTGAGAATCATTGTCGTTGAGTTTAATAATTAAAGTGAATTCCCATCATGTTTTATTTAGAATCATTTTCATTTCCATTTATAGATGCTGATAAATTTTAATTTTGCTATTTCTTTTATTTCTTCCTACTTTGCTTCCTCACGGAACTCCATGTATTAAAACAAATATTGCTAACACCAAACATAAAACAAACATTTATCTGTACATGATTGACTTGATGTTGTGCTATTAACCATCATACGAATGAATGTAGACCGATGTTCCAAGTGACACATCAGGTTCTTATGTACAAGCGACGGCCGTCACAACACGTACAGCAACCACTCATGAAGATCTGACAAGGAATGCAAAGACACAACAACTTGAAGAAAAAACTGTCGCAACAACAAAGACAAACATTGGTGATCGTCAAGAACAAAAAGTGATTACACAGGAAGTTAAAACGACGGTGACCAGTGGTGATCAGCAAGTGAGTTTTCGGTTGAAATTTTTATTTTCTTTTTCTTCCATGCTTGATTAAAGAAATAAAGACTTTTGTTGTTGACATTATGTGCAGCATGGTTAAAGCATGAAAGAAATTCCCCCTCAAACTTTGTTTTTTAACTTTTTTGTTTTTTTTAAAAAAAAGTTTTATTTGAGTTTTAATTCATCTCATGTTACTGACTGACTCACTTACCCTCTTCTTTAACATTAAATTATTTATTATTTTAATGCAACTGTATCTCCCCTTCATGTATGCGCCAATTATTGATTTTATGTTCAGTTTGATCGAAGAGAAAGCATTTCGTCAACAAGCTCAGGTGACTCAGGAACACCCATTGATGGATTGGAAGGCGAATATTACACTGATGTCATTCAAAATAAATCATTTACGGTTTGTTTTAACATTTAATTATTATTTTTTGTTATTAATTTATCTGTTTAGGCATGTTGGCTGTTAAAAGCTTTGCTTTTTTTAATTATTATTGATTATTAGTTTTATTTTATAAAAAATGAATGTTTCAAATTTATTGAAGTATTTTTTTGAAGAACAAGACTGAATGATCAAAATAATGGAGAAAATAATATTCATTAATCATCGTCTCAAGTTACTTATATGACATTCTTCTATCTCAAAAATTTAGGGCGTTGGTGACCATGAAATTAATCAACCGAATGTGGAACAACAGCGAATCTATGATACAGCAAATGAAGAAGAAATTGTCTCGACACAAACAGTCAGCAGCAAAACACGTACAGTTGAGACAATCACGGTAAGAATGAATGAAAAATTGTTTCAGTTTTGATTTAAAATGAAAAAACAAAACATTTCAGTATAAAACGGAACGTGATGGAGTTGTTGAAACTCGAGTCGAACAGAAAATCACAATACAATCCGATGGCGATCCAATCGATCACGATAAGGCGTTAGCTGAAGCTATTCAGGTAACAATTGAATTGAAATTTTAATAACATTTCTTAACATTGGCTGCTTTCTCGATTACAGGAAGCAACTGCTATGAACCCTGACATGACAGTGGAGAAAATCGAAATCCAACAGCAAACGCAATAAATTTGCACCTCCATCACTCAAATCACTTTAAAAAGAAACCTTTTTCGATTATTTTAAGCTTCATTTCGCTCTTATCATTTTTTTTTGAAAATATTTTTATGAAAAATATTGAAATAGTTTTGTGGTAAATAAGCTAATGATGTTTTTTATACTGAAACTTCTATTCGTGCAATGACGAATTCAACTTCATGCGTTCTGAATTCATGGGAACATTTTACAAACATAAATACCTTCAGTGTCATTAATCTGCACGCAATCATAGGAACTTGTTTCCCCTCTTTTTCATTTTGAATATTTTTTGTTTTGTTTTTATGAAACATCTTAAAGCTCTTAGAATTAAATAATTTGAAGTATTAAAGTCTTTTGTTTTTATTTTCTTATCCATGCTACATGCATCATTAAATTGAAGTTGAACAATTAAACGATAACATTTCTTTTTTAATTTCAATCAAAATAACAAGCTTTGGACCATAAATCCATTTTCTTCATGAAAACGTGTTCAATTTCACATCTCAAGAAAAAAGAAAGAAACAAAACTTTTTGTAACGAAATGTAGAATTTTCAGAATTTCTACGATGAAAACTTAATGACAAGTAAAAATAAAAAACAAAACATCACATTAGATGAAAGTTTCACTACTATAATTACCTGAATGTTAAATATTATGCAAAGCTGATTTGTAGTAGTCTGCATAGTTCAGTGAATTTTCCATTTGATTTCTATAATCATACAGAGTTCCATTTCCCCTCCATTAAGCTTGTAGAATTATAAATCTTTAAAAAGTTTGTGAATTGGTGCTTCAAATATTTTGGACATGATATCAAAAAAAAAAAGAAATAAAATTGAAAAAAAAATGTAATAATAAAATATTTCGAATCAGCTATTGATGGATGACGCTTGAAAGTGTTTAAAGAGATTCCTATTTAAAGGATCGCTTAAAGATTGCAAAAGAAACTTTTTCTATTAAACTTTAATGTTTCGTAATTCCGGGTTTTAAACAGAAAACAAAAGAAAAAACTATTAAAAAGATTAAAACTTTTAAAAACTGCCTTATGTCACGTGAAAAAGGATAAAAAGAACATTTAATGAAAATCCATTTACCAAATGAATGTGCTCTGCCGCAAATAAAATATTGGAGCTTTCAGCTAAAGATAAATGAAGAGAACTGTTCGTACTATTAAAATTATAATTTGGAAAAAATTTCATTTGTATTAATTGAGCTTTTTCAATGAAAATCAAGAATAATTTTTGCCTGCGGGTTAGTTAGATATGTATTTGCACCGAAATATGTGAGATAATATAAAAAAAATCATTTCAAATAAATATTTTCAGATGCTTTTTAAAAATCACGCGATTACTTTTTCCTTTTTCTTATGATTAACTTGATGATGTGTAGAATTTTTAATTGTTATGAAAGAAGAAAACGTTGTAAGCTTAAGAAGAAAAGAAAATTGCATTTTAATTGAGTTCCCTTTTCCCTGATCTACATCCCCTTGATGAGAAAATATTTTAAAAAAGAATGGTTGAAGATAAGAAATTAAAAATAAAAAGGAAGTGAATATCTAAACTATGAAGGGTTAACAAGAACAATAAAAAAAATCAGTAGGAAGAGAATAAAATTATATTTTGAGAGGATAAACTCACGCTGCTAAGTAAAAAAAAGATGCATGAAACATAATTATTATTGATTATATTGATTCTATGCTTTCACATAATAAAAAAACATAAATTTTATGTAAAATTAATAAATTGTTTTACTCTGTAATTGTTCACAATTATATAAGTTCTTCGAGATTCTCAAAAAATTTTAACCGACTTAGACATTTGAAAATTTGAAATTCCCGCCACATGATTTCTTTAGTCGAAAACCGAAAATCGACTTCGGTCTCTGAAAACCGATTTTCCTTCTTTTCTCCCGAACCACGGTCGCGAATAACCAAGATGAAAGCTAAAGGCTTGGTAAATAATTGTTTTACGAGCTAAATCCAGTTGTAAACAGAGACAAATTATAATTGTTTAAAAGTTAATATACTCATGTTTTGATTGCAATACCCTTACTGCATCAAATAAGTAAATTAGATATAAATATTCATAAAAATATTTTTGTTGCTTACGAAAACATGCGGTAGATGTATTCATAGTGAAACAAAAAAAATATAAATTTTATTCAAAACATCAACTGGATCTAGTGTAGACTTATTCATCTCATTGGATAAAATGTAAATGTAATATTTTTTCGTTTTAGTTGAAGGAATATGAGATCATCGGTCGCAAATTGCCGTCCGAAAAGGATCCAAATCCACCTCTCTTTAAGATGATCATTTTCGCTCCAGATCACATCGTTGCAAAGTCTCGATTCTGGTATTTCTTACGTCAGTTGCGTAAATTCAAGAAAGCTACTGGTGAAATTGTCTCAGTGAAGAGAAAGTATGAGAAAACACCATTGAAAATTAAGAATTTTGGAATCTGGTTGCGTTATGATTCACGATCGGGAACACACAACATGTACCGCGAATACCGTGATTTAACAATCGGTGGAGCAGTAACTCAATGTTATAGCGATATGGCTTCTCGTCATCGAGCCCGTGCTCATTCAATCCAAGTAAGATTTTATCAAAAATTCTTAAATTAATTAATTTTTAACTGAGTGCTTGTAACATTTCCTCAGATTATCAGAATTGAAAAGGTGGCAGCCATCAAGACTCGTCGTAATCACATCAAGCAGTTCCACGATTCAACGATTAAATTCCCGTTGGTTCAAAGATACCACCACAAGCGCTATCGTCAAACATTCAGCGTTAACCGACCAACAACACACTTCAATTAATTAAATGCATTAACTTTTCAAGTGTTGTACTAAAATACCTGAAAGAGAAAATTCTTTTCTTTCACCGCTTCACCATCGAGTGGTTTGCAAATAAATTTGTGAAATTTAAAAAACAAAAGAAAATTTTTTTAAAAGAATTGCTTTGGAATTACAGGAAAAAATATTTGTGCTGATGATTTTATAAAAAATCAAAATGTCTAATGCCATTTTGAAAAATAAAGCTTTTGCGAAATAGAGATCATGATGTGAGAAGAAAAAGTCCTCAAGAATCAAGATGGTAAACATCATTACTCTCTTGAATAATTAAGGATTTAGAGAATAATTTTTGATGATTTTCTTTCTTGATATATTTCGTGAATTCCTGGTAGCATAACTCACAGGCTAATGCACAACATAAACCCACTTCAGTGCGTGCAAAATTATAGCAACTTCTTTTAAAACTTTATTTAAATAATATAAAGATAGTAAATCCAATTCATTCCGAAGAAATTTCTTCTCATGTGCCAAAAAGTTAAAAAAGCTTCCTCAGACAAGCAAATAAAATTGAAAGAATTTGAACGAAGGAAAATGAGATCATTAAAGTCACGATTTTACACTTATTTATCCATATTAGTTGGCGGTAAGTTCAATTTATATGTAAAAATAAATCATTTGTAAGAAGTCCCCACAACTATGCTCTTCCTATTACAGCCACACGATGCAAAAAGTTGAAGAAAAACTCGTGTCGCAAGAAATGTTTATTTGCTTTATACGATTTCTTACGCCCTTGACCTGAAATCAAGTTCTATGGAATTCTTCCTAGCTTTTGCAAACAATCTTTAAGTCGTCAGGTTAATATACTTTAACAGCATCTTGCCAACTTGTTGTTTCCTAACATAGACAACATCATAATGAGTCGATTATTTTCAATTAACGAATTATGAGTCAAATTAACTTCAATTATGAAGCAGATCATAACTTAAAAAAGAAACTGAGATTGAGAATATCGTTCGACTAAATTTAATTCATTTAAAAATCTACTTGCATCAAAGCCTTTGATCAACCTTTTGTCAACTCTCGTTAATAACTTGAATTACTTAAAGGTTACACGATACTAATTCAATTAATCCTGTTTTGTATTTATTTTATTCTTCTTCATCGTCAACATCTTGTGAACCTGAAGTGTAATTAACTTTTTACAGTTCCAACCTTGAAATTGAGAAGGAAAAAAACTTCAATCGTGCGACCATCTGGAAAATTATTATTGTTAATTCGAACATGTTCCGATCAGCACTTTTGACATTTACCTTTCAAGATCATCACTCTGTAACTGTCAGTGAGCTGCAAAATGAGTTAGGAATTTCACAAATCTTTGTCCGCCTTTTTTCTTTCTTCCTTGGATCGATTTGTACATTTTAATTGCATAGGTATGGTGTAGGAATTGCTGTCATTTCCGCGTGTCATAAATGAAAAGCAAAAATCGAGTGTCCAATTATTTGGATTGTAATTTGATTCCCATGAGAATTGAGTGAGATTGGAAAGCTTTTGGTATTTGACTGTAGGTTAAAATCATTCAATTATTTACATCTACTCAAACTTTCCTAGAAATTGCGATAATATGAACATCATTTGTCTTAACAATTACCAACTTGCCTCAAACATTCATCAAACAAGTCCCAGTAAATGCACTCTTCGTGCTTCGACAATAAATCTATCTATGGATACAGAAGGAAACTTTTCTTTCCAATTTGCACGCTTTTCGTATCGAGAAACGTTTTTTTTTCTTTGAATGATGAACTTTATAATATTTTTTTATTTGATATTAAAATTTAAACGCTATTGTAACGCGGATGCATGGTCGATTACTGATTTATTTTTAATAAAGGTTTACAAAAATATTTTAATAGTTGATGGTCATTCTTTAATTATACATCTTTTATGTCATTGAATGAATAAAATAAATTAAATGTCAAAATCAGAAATCATCCTTTGATATAAAAAATTGCATTCAATTTGTCAAAGAATGAAATTTTCAATATTTTGAGCTAAAAGCTAAATTTACTTCAAAGTTTGAACTGAAAAGCAAGATGCGACTTACTTTTGTCGTGAAAATGTCATCACGACTTTTCCTATTGTCTTTAATCTTTCAAATGTTTTGTTGTCTTTCTTTTTCTTCCAGACTAGAGAAAAAAATATATAAATACAAATTGCCACATCTTCAAAGTCAATAAGTATTTTATTGTTTCAGAGTTTAGACTTTCATGAAAATTTTAAGGCGAGAGTGTAGGAACGACAACAAACAAAAATGAATTCTTATTATAGTTTAATTTCATTGTTGTTGACATTTTTTTGTTATTGAAGTATCAGTCATGATCGCTGCTGCTTCACTAACGACGATTGCCTTCGTCAGATATTTAAAAATCAATTAGTTTCGTTTCACGGTTCGCATTTTTCATATCGGAATTACGTCACACGTAATATTTAAGTAAAAGATATTTCATGAATTATTTTAATGATGATGCAGCTGCAAATTTGCATCATCAGCAGTCATCGCTACATATGAAATGAAAGATGACGAAGAAAAGTAAAAGAAGTAAAACGTGATCACTGTAATCACACTTAAGCGGAAAAAATTTTCAAGTTGTAAATTAAATGAACAAAATGGGCTGGTTTTAACAACATCAACCACAATCGATAATCAGTTCGTTACATTCGATTGCCCCGTGATTTATTATAATAAAATAAATATTTATTACGCAACATTCTATCATTTTTCCACATTTCTTCAATATCTAACAAACAATAAACGCGAAATGTACACGATGAGGGACAAAATTGGCATCGAATAAAAGAAATGAAAAGAAAAAAAATTCAAATTTCTATCTCATGATGCAATAGAAATTAATTGTTCTCACAAATCAATCAGCGGTTACCGCTTTAGTCGAAGAAGGCATCGCCAAAAATGATCCTCCTCGAATACCAGATGAACACAATGCATAAGAAAAAAGAAAAAATACTTTTTGCAGACGATAAAAGGCAGTGAAATATAAAATTGAACAACTAAAAACGGTAAAGGTTGTAGACAGTGTTGATGGCAGATTTTGCGTTGGCGCGCCGAGACATGACGTTTTTTTTCTTCTTTTGTTCCTAACCAGTTAGTTTTATTTTATTTATTGAAATAAAGATCATAAATGCACCTTAACGACTCTCGTCTTGTTAAATTCAACAAATCATTTATCAGAAAGACATTTCGGGGAGATATTTAAATTAAAAATTGGGATCGTTTAAATGCGATGTAAAATGTGTAAAGAATGCTTAGGCTACTTATTTAACTTGAGTCATAAAAACACAAAAACCATCACTTAACATCACCGCCCATCTCCATAATTCCCACATAAAATAGAAACGCAAACCTCGACTGCTTAAGTGTCATGATCTAAAGAGACACGGGTGCACTATGGGTTAATCATTTCTTACGAATCATCTCTTGTCTTTGTACGTAACATCTTCGCACTGAATAACAACATCAACCTGCATGACAGCAGCAACAAATGTCTTAAAAAATGCTAACAAAAAAAAAAGTTATTTTAATTAAATTTTCATTTCGCGTGTTTTTTTATTTGTTGTCTTTTTCTTACTTATTAGATGTGAACAAAATAAAAAGAGATCTCATCATAAATCACGGATCGCAAAGATGAGATAAGCCATTATGTCATGTAATAATGTTGGAAGCATTCAAAATCTGTCGCTTTAAACACGCACAGAACATCAAGATGATCCAAATCGCATCGTCAAAGTTCAGTTTTACAATAATAAAAAAAGTATGAAAAATTAAAACTTCAATCAAAAAAAAGGTGAATGAGAAAACCAATTTCCAATATAATCAAATGGACATAATTGTCAGCTTCGGACACGAGTAAATATTGAATAGTCGTTTTTACACGAACCTAAATTGCAATCCATCAGTCTTAATCAATTTCATTGTTCTTCTTGTTCGGCACAAATATTTCTCATACATAAAATGTCAGCGAATGGAATTCTTTGACTACTTAAAAACATTTAAAACTTTTTTTCCAATAGGGACTCGTTGGTAGCTTGGCGATGTTTATAATCACTTAATTATAAAACATTGAAGATGAATGGCCTTTCGTTCGGTATTTACAGGCACTTTCAAAACATTAAAATAATTTTAAGTTAAATAAATCATCACGAAAATTATCTTTGGGAGTGTGTAAAATAAAATGAAGCATTGGACATTTTATTTACGGTTCTGTCAATCAAAAATGCGAAACTTTAAACTTCATAGCAATGATTCAAAGTCTTTTTTATCTTCTGTTGGAAACTCAACATCTAAGAAAAGCTATGAAAAAATAATTGAAAAGCATCTTCATTGAATGTGAATGTGACTAATGCGTTCTCTTATGTCGACCTTTCCTTTGTCATTTTAAATGATTGAATTGTCCACGAGAAATCTGAGAGTTTGAACATTTTTTCAAAGACATTTTCGAAAGCGAAACTTTTAATAAAAACTTCTTCCGTTGTTAATAAATTACGATCTGATGAACCTTCAACCTAAAAAATGCCGAAAGCGCGTGCATACTCTGCGGCCTTTACAAGCATTCCTTGACATCATCTTTCTCATTTCATTAAAGTTTTCTTTTTGTTTTTCGATTTTATTTGCTCACCTAACGAATTGCTTGTTCGCTTGTTTAATGCGAGTGAAATTGAATAGGAAAAGACGTCACGTTGTGAGAGAAATCATGAGTTCCCATCGCGATAGTCCAATGATAGGGCAATGAATCTTGTACGAATGTGACCCTAACAATTATATAATTTGATTACAAATAATCATTGTTGTGTATTGAACATATTTGATATTATAACACATTAAGCGGACAGTTTTATTGAGTATCTTTTTCATCTTGAACGAGTGCAAACTTACTCGGTTTCGGTATAGAAAATAAATGCAAAAAGATTCATGATCTCACTTACGATAACAACTTCAAGACTTGGAAGATGAAGCTGCATTCATTGCTACTAAACTATTACCTGCAACTTGCAACTTGTGCTTTTCTATAACTCAATTTCTTGGGAACAACATTTTCGATTCAACTTTCAAAAACAACTTTTCCGCGAACAGTTAAATTTTTATTTGTGCAACTATTAATGTCTCAAATCGATTGAATTCAGATGTAGGAACTATAAAATCATGCCATCATTATGAGACTGCAATTTGAAGTAACAAAATATTTCTACTTAATCTCTTCATTTTATTTCAAACGAATCTCTTACATATTTGACATAGAAAATTTATTGACTTTCATGTTGAAAATTATTCGATTAGCATGCTAATATTTTTTGGAACCTGAGGCTTTAAAATAAATTTTTACGTCTTCACATTTCAAGAAACGAATGGAATGAAGATCAAGATTCAATTGTGTGAATGATGAGAAGAATGTTTCCACCTCGCCTTGCTAAGTACTGAATTCATTGACATATATATTAAGGTGTGATTAAATAACACGACAAGTCAAAGTTCTTCTCGAATTCCTTTTGTGTCAAGTTTATAAGAAATGAACGTCACAATCGTACATTCCCCTGATTCTTGTTTTTCGTTTGAAGACTTTTAAAATGTCATGTCACGATGTATTGCGTTCATCAGATTCTTGAATTTTCAAAACTTTTAAAACTTTAAAAATATTTATTCACAAGATTAAAATTCTATGCATTGGTAATGACTTACAAGTTGCAAGTTAACGATGGTTTTATAATGAATATGTCCAATTAATGTGCATTTCAACAAGACCATTTGTGTACACTGAAACACTTTTTATGCCGTCATTATTTTAAATGTTTACAATGTGTTTGACGAACAGAATTAGATTTGTCTTCTGAACAGTGCTGATGTTTTATTTATGTCTCTGTTCTTGTTATACATAACTTTGGTATGAGTTAGACTATTGAAATACCTTCCAACTCACGAACAAGGATGGATCGCCGTCAGCAACTTTCAAAAGATCTGACAGCAATTCCCATCTCAACTCAAATGTTTTATGAATTAAAGATAATTTCCTTAATTTATTGTAAATTTTAATAATTCCAGGTCAACATTGCAAAGACAATTTTTATTACGTGCTTTATATTTATTTCTTTTGATAAAAATAGTTTTCTTCTTTACGCAACAATTTAATTGAATTCACTTAAAAGTGTTTTAACGTCTTAGCACGATATGGCGACGACCACTAAAAAACTGAGGTGTAAAAAGCATTTCCAAATCATTCAACTTTAAGCTGTTCATTTTGCGATGTTTATTTTCCCGTGCTTTAGCAAATTGAAATAACTGCAAAAATCATCATGAGAATTTATTTTTTCATTGGAATTTAAAGTTTTTTTCTTGCATATTTTGCCCTCATTCAATGGTTAAAGAAAAATGTTAATTAAGGTAAATTAACCACGATTTTACATGAAGAAACAAAATTCTCACATTCGCTCACTTAATTACTTTTATTTACGTATGATAAGTAATGATTAAAACTTAATAGCAAATGAAAATTGATAGAATTTAGTTAATACTTAGTAGAATTTATTCATCATCATCTTCGTCGTCATCTTCTTCGTCATCATAATCATCATAAGGTGGAATCGTAGTAGAAGCGACTACTGCTTTTACTTTCTTCTTTATAGCAGTTTTAAGAGGTTTCCCAACTGCATCACTTCCATCGTCTTCTGCTGCTACATCATCTTCTGAATCTTCTTCTAGCTCTTCTTCAACTTCACCAGTGTCTTCATCTTCCACTCCAACTACTTCTAAGAATTTGCCGCCCATGTCTTTCATGAAGTCCACAAGCTCTTCTAATATTTCAGATATTTTACCGTCTTCTGATTTTTCTTCGTCGACAGGAAGAGCTGGCAAATCTCCTGTCAGTGTTTTGGTTTTTGAACCAGCACCAGTCACATCATCTGTATCATAATCAAGCGCATCTTCATCAATATCAGCATCTGCCACAACATCTCCAGTTGCCACAACANTGTCTTCATCTTCCATTCCAACTACTTCTAAGAATTTGCCGCCCATGTCTTTCATGAAGTCCACAAGCTCTTCTAATATTTCAGATATTTTACCGTCTTCTGACTTTTCTTCGTCAACAGGAAGAGCTGGCAAATCTCCTGTGTCAGCAGGAAGAGCAGGCAAATCTCCTGTCAGTGTTTTGGTTTTTGAACCAGCACCAGTCACATCATCTGTATCATAATCAAGCGTATCTTCATCAATATCAGCATCTGCCACAACATCTCCAGCTGCCGCAACATCTCCAGTTGCCACAACATCTCCAGCTGCCGCAACATCTCCAGCTGCCACAACATCTCCAGCTGGATCATCAAGATCTTCCCCTACGTCTCCTACGTCCGCTACGTCTGCTACGTCAGGAAGTCCATCAACTGGTAAATCTGGTACTTTAGGGAGTCCACCTACTGGTGCGTCTGGTATATTAGGGAGCCCATCAACTGGTACATCTGGTACTTTTGGAAGCCCGTCTGCTGGTACGTCCACAGGAAGGTTTAATCCATCTTGCGCTCTACACGAAACTTCTTCTATAAAGAATTATTAAACTTTTTATGCTATTCCTGGTTAACTTCCAACTCACCATTGAATGCGCTAAGTAAGACAAACACAAAAACTGCGGACAAAAAATATTTTACCATATTGACAATTTGTATGATCGAATGTCAAAAGTAAGATAGCACACTCCAAGCAAAAGCTATCATTATATATTGTAGCTAAATCGTGACTTTTGATAACATAAAATTCCTTTGAAATCACTAAAACAAAGTCATAACTCCACGTGTAGTTTTGACTCATTCAGTTCCAGTGAAAATCAAATGCAAAACTAGATTAAAACAAACTGAAGTGTTGTCATTAAGGTGATGATTCATTTTTAAGGGCAGCAGTCAGAAGTTTCCCATGAACACAGCCATCGTTGTACCGACCTATGAGACATCTTATTTACGGAGGAAAAACCAGTAGTGAAAGATATTAAAAAAAGTTGCAATCACGATTTCAATAAAAAACACTTTTTGTTCTTCACGATTGTCGACTAATTTCCAATTCTTTTGTCAATTGCTAAATGATCATGACGGACACTCCAACTTCGCCCAATGGCTTTCCGGTCATAAAATGTTGAATAATTTATAATTTCTTTTGTGGAAACCGCAACTTTTCTTGAATTATTTACGAGTTTACAGCACGACATAGTCCATGACGATGATCTTCATCTTCAAAAAAAATGTTTACAATTAAAAATTTGAGTGACAGCGATGAAGCGAAAGAAAATTTTATGTTCCCACAACTCCCACCACTCATGCATGGTACATGACATTAATCGAGTTGGAATTTCCCTAGATAGATACTTGCATAGCGAGAGACAAAATGAAATAAGAAAACACATAAAACCTTTAGTTGAATTCGCGATTTATGGCATTAGAAAGAAAAAGTTATCAAAAGGAAAACGTTTTGATGATTGTCAGCGATGACTTAACTGCTTTATACTCTCATATACCTTCACGTTTCATCAGACAATCCGAAGTCGTGCTGAAGATTCGCTTTTCTTCGTCTAATGTCAAACTACGATCATAATTCGAATCTCATGGCTCTGGTATGCCAAGCAGCTAGCAGGCAATCACTTTGCATTTACATCCACGACACGTGAAAGAACATGAAATACGAAATACCATCGTCGAGGATTTTTCTTATGTTGATGTAACCGAGACGAGTGTTGTGTGCTCGTATGAGAACTTTTACAAGTTGCAATGCCAATTAAAGGTTGCTTTTTTCAAACAAAAATCTCATCGAATGTTGCTCAAGTTAACTGGCAAATGTTGATCTTCTCGTGCGGGACTCTGAATGAGAGTGAATGGGAACTTTAGGCAATTGTGTTAGTTTTTCTTTATTCATTTTTGCGATTCACTAACGCTTCTATCCATTGCCTACACACTCAACATAGGTAACGTCTTGCAGGCAACAAATGTTGTTTGTTGTATGGTGCAGTCACTTTACATCTTCGCTCGTTTGAATACATCCAAAAGCAAGACATCAAAGAAGAAGAAGTTAAAAAATTTAAACTCTTCCTTTCATTTTCGTTACATTCAACATTAAGATCTGCTGAATTTCATTTTCATTTTGACTGTTTCGCGGTACAGTTGTGCATCTCGCGTGTTTGTCTTCTTCAAGTGAATTCTCAAAGCAGGATCGGAAATATTTGAATTTGATGACAGATAATCAACGGAAATTTTTGTTAAGAAAAGAAAAATTCATAAAATTATGACTTAGTGTGTGTTATGTTGAAAATTCATCAAAAGAAAAATTCATAAATATCATTGAAAATTACATTAAATTGTAGTGGAAATTGTGAAAAGAATTCAAATTCAGAAGCACTTTTATAAGCATTAATATCGAAAATGAATTTATTTAGGATTATTTTGATTGTCGGTAAGTTAATTTAATTGCATAATAAAAGTTCACACGCTATCTTGACATTTCTTTTCTCAAAATTCTTTCCCAGTCTTTCCCTTTCTTTTAACCCGTTGACCCTAAATACCTTCAATCTCTTATTTCTTCATTTCTTTTCTCGTATCTTTTGTTCAAATGTAATTGACATCAAAAGATGTTTTGTTTAGTCAGAGTGATCTCGTTTCTTTCAAATTATACAACGAGCGTTGGCACTTGTTGATGGATCTCTAATTGAGATACAATTGCCTTATTTCTTCAAGAGATCATTGGGAGTTACTTCACACTTCCTTTTTCATCAACTCACGTTTTTTTAAAGTAATTTCGGAAATTGGACAATTAACCAGAGAAAAAAAAATGAGTATAGAAATAATTAAACTAGTTTCTTATTCTCCACTTTTCGATGCACACGCTATGTGCAAGTTTCATCTGTTTTAAGAAACTGTAACAAGCAGATTGCTTCGTCTCCCTTAATTGTTTCTCTCATTGTTTCGTCGGGTGGTTTGGTGTACATGAGAAGAGTTACCAAATAAAGTTTTCGCAAAAGAATTGTTTGCATGGTCGCGAACCTCAACATTATGGCAAATAATTCTCTTTTTCTCACAGAAAATACCATTTTAATGCAATAGAGAAACAATTACATTAGACAAAGATCGCGTGGATATGATGAACTTTGGAGATTTCTCAGTCGATTTGATGCAATTTTGCAGTTGTTTTAAAGATAAAATTTTTAAAGTCCTCGAAACATTTCATTGTGAACTTTAAAACACTTTATAAAATGCTTACTCATAAACCAGTAGCATCACCTTCATAAATTAATTTGATAATTGTCCATTTTATTCCGAACTCCAACTAATGCAGTAAAATACTTCATTCAAAAGATTTCAATGCTCATAAGACCTGAAACATATTCGGCTTTTAAGCGATAATTTGATTGTCATAACAATGGAAGAATTTCTTCATAATCGTCTTGCATTTGGCCTTGCACAGTTTTTTTTTATAAAACTTCTTCTATGATGATGTAAAAGAATTACAAAAAAAAAATCGATTGGCTGATTTACATAAACACATAAGTATCATTTAAATATCCTCTTAAAATTCATAATAATGCTTATTCCGTGCTTATGACCTTTATTTAAAGAAAAAACATCTTCTCGTGCAATCGTGCCATGCCATTTTCATTCCCCCAACAATTAAGCACGGTGCGACTCTGGGAATATTTACAAATATTATGAAATATCTCAGTAGAAATATTTATTGATTTTTCTACATTAAATAATTAGATCCGTTTGGCCAATTAGTGGTTCAACTGTTCATGTTCTAACGATTCATTCTTCAATGTCATCAGCATTCATTCAATTCAAATTCAGACATCCAAACGAGCCGTGGCTAATTCTCAACAAAGCATAACAACATCTTGTTTCTGCACGGAAACAAGACTAACATTCCATAGTTCCATCATCTTCATGCTACAATTAATTGAAATCGTTAAAATATCAAAGAAATTTCAAATTTCATAGCGTGGAAAGGAAACGTCGTCGATCAAATATCGAATTAATTCGTAAAAGGTTAAGTTGTCGTTTACACTGCCTCTCACCGAAAGCCCTTTAATCGATAAATAAAAAGAAAATAATTTTAATTTCCGGATATAAATAATTCAACGACTTGAATCAACAATGGTGCATCTACTTCATTTGGTGCTGAAGAAAACTTTGCTTAAAATATTCGCTGTTGTCGTATCATCGTTTGAAATCGCCGACAACTATATTTATCATTAAATTTTAATCATTTCGTTTATGCTACCAAATGACATCTTAATAACATTTTTAATCCAAAAAAAGAAGCAAACACGAGCGATAGAAAAACGCCTTTTTCTATATTTGGATCGAACGTCGTTTAAATTATTTTTCATTTCCATGTTAAGTGTGAAATGATCGAAAAAAAAATTTCTCATCAAAATCATCTCAATTATTCCAACTTTTTTATCCGGTCAAACAAATGATTAAAAACTATTCAATTGATGTGTGAAAAGAAGTCAAAGAGTTATGTAATCGATATGAAATGTCTTGGGAATTTATGAAGCGATGTAGAAAATTTTGTAACTGCATGACTTAAGGAATTTCATTATTCTGTCTCATTAAGACGCAATGCAGTTAACGCAATTTATTAAATGAGAAACGTGATGATATTTTTAATGCAATGAATGTATGATAAAGAAATAAAATTAGGTTTTAAATCGTGACTTTCATTAAAAGTGAAAAGAAATGAATTAAAGTTTTTAAATTTTTATTCCGGCAACAGAAGTTTTGTTGCTTTTGCATGATCTTTACCAAGCAACTTCTTCCGCCCTTCCGCCAACACTCATTCATCTTAATAATTCATCGAACTTATTTATGAACTCAAGCGAGAGTGAAAACAGTAAACTCATAGTTAGGTGGAATGAAATAATGTTTTCCTATTCAATTTATCATCTTATTACAATTTCTCATATAAGCATAAAGTGATGCAATTCTTCATCATCTGCTTCTTGAATAAGATTTGCTAGAATTACATATACGAGAGGTTTTAACGATTCATCGACTTAATGCTTTGATTTTAAAATCATGGACTGAATTGAAATTATTGAGTCGTTTCATGGTTCATCCAATTATAAGTGTGTCAATCAAAAACATGTTTTACCTCCAAGGTGCTACTAAAGCTTAATGATTCCCCTATGTGTTAGCAAGTTTTAATGCTTCCTTAATTATGAGACTCACATGTCAGGTCTTTGACAACATCAGCGACAGAAAACGAAGTATTTAACTTCATAGTAGCTTCCTCATTCAAGTGCACTTCTTTTCGAAAACCTCATTTCAGTTGCAATAATTCATCATTTGCTTTTATTGATCGATCCATCGTGATGCAACTTTATGGAATTGCAATTTCGAGACGAAGGTAGTATTATAAATAGCAATAATGTCAAGTTGATGAGAATAAGACTCTTATTAAAATTAAAAAACTTTTAAAATGCTTTAAATTAATTTACGATCTTGTTGCGAGTCGCGATCCTCTACTGATCTGGGATTTATGGAATTTCTCAGCGTTTCAAGTTGTACTTTCTTTTCTTCGTAATCTCGTCTTTGTAATACTAACGATTATGAATCGTTTTTGTGAGACGTTGCAAAAGACCGAAGAAACAGTCAATTAAAATTAAGTGAGGTCCCCACGCAGAGAGGAATATCATACAACATTAGGTAATAACGACGTCCAGTAGCGTAATTCTACTCTTCAACTAAATTAAATTCAATCACCTTCTCTCTTCATGTTAAAATCATTAACTGTCGTCAAATGTAAAAAAAAATCATGTTGAGCGTGAAGTTGCTGTAAGCGATGTCTTGAAATATCTTTCGTGATAATTAAATTAATAATGAACGAGCGATAAGTGAACTGCAAGATGAAACACTTGATTACATTCGAAATTAATGTAAAATTGCTTCCACATTTTATAGCATGAAAGAAAGTTTTTTGGAAGAGTCAACGATTATGTAAATTTAGTCGGATATTTTGAATACATTTACATTTGGTCAGAAAACATTGTCTGAACGCCTTTGGCGATTCTTTTGTACATGCAACAAACGTGCGAAAACGAGTTTTAAGTTATGAATGAAAGTGAAGTTTCATGAGTATTGCAATTATTCCAAATACTTACTAAGCTTTCTTATGAAGATTAAGTGAAATGTTATGGTAATGCTTACAAAACAATTGATTAATTATAATTCACTTGATATTTAAAGCACATTTTAGTGACAATTACATGAAGCAAGAAACTTCAAGAACTGACTTTACATTTATTGAAAACAACACAACACATTAAGATGATGAGGTCTCAACTTTCATAAATAAATATCATCATGATGTCTGACCGATTATTATACGCAATTGAAGCTCAAAACTTGGGCAATAGGCCAATCACTGTTCAAAATTACAATCATTAGCAATCATCGAAACACCGATAATTGTGTCTTTCTTTGAACACTCAACGATTGGCATTTGGAAAATGATTAAAGTTAGCAGCATATATAAAGCATAGAGAAGAAGAAGAAGAAATTGATTCCTTGATGGATAAATAAACATAAGAGTTGTGGAACAATGAAATATAAAATGTTATTGACACAAATATCTACCTAAGTTGAAGTGCAAAAATCGTCGCTTTGGATCGTAATTTTAATAGCAACTGCTTTTCAGTTTATTGACGACGCGATTTGAAAGAAAGAAAACATGAATATTGTAACGTCTTCTTATGTTTCCTTCATGTCTTATTCGTTGTAACATTTCTCGCTAGTACCAAATTACATCACCAGCTAGTTTTCTAAGTATGCCATAAAGATTGCCAATTCGTAAAGCAACAAACAAATGTCTGCGCTTTAAGGAACTCGTTTTCAATTAAGAAAACATGTCTTTGTTCATCTTGCTGTTGACTTAAGGGATACAAGTTATGACCTCCATTGATTGACACTTATGCATAATTTTACAAATTTAATAATTTTTTATTTTTTGGAGACACAAAAGCTCATTCAAGATCATTTCAAAATATGTTTTTTTGTTCTCTTGACGGACGGAAAGGTCTCCAATAACTTAATGTATTAATAAGGAAGCATAAGATGTGAAAAAAGATCTCAACTAATTGCTACAATTTAAATGGGATCGCTGTCAGATTCATTATACGAAAATTAGTTCCTTTTTACTTCAATTCATGCTTGTTGTATGCTTTTTTAACTGATTCAATAAACGCCATCAACCGTCAATAAGCGAACAATTGCAAATGTACAACTCATGCAATGATTTATGAATTTCCAAAGCCGAATATTTATGCTTCTCTCTCTTTCTCACTTACTCGCATCTCCTTCTTAGGAAGAATGAGAATTGAGAAATGATTTGTAATGAAACCATAGATGATGTATTCAGTTCAGGATTGTATTTAAATATTTCAAGGTAATTCGGTTGATTGTTTTATTTTCGCTATGCTGAGCGCTATTTCAACTTTATACCTTTATTGATTTTAATTAACTCAAAGTTCATGCTGCTAAGTATGTACATACATGTATGTAAATATCTTGAATATTTTTTCTTCATTATTCATGGTATTTAATTAATTGAAATTAATCGTAAAAAAATTAAAGTAAAGTTTGCTGCATGGCGTGAAGGAAATACAAAATGTAGAAGCTGAAAAAACAATTAGAAGAAAATAAGTTAACTCATGGTCCATGAATTGACCACATATCTCACCTTCATACTACACCAGAAGCTGGTGATTTATTTAGTTTAGATGTTGAACATTACATCATTGTAAAGCCGGTAACTTCTTAACGTAAACAGAGTAATTTCACTTAACATCATCGTTTTGTTTTTACAAAGATTCTCCCATCACACCACATCGCAATTGTCGTTTAATGTTACCATCTGTAAACGAAGAAAAAAGAAAACATTAAAGAAATTTATTTATTTCTACATCTGTAGTATGATAGTGATCAACTTTATTATTGTTTCAACAAGCTATTTAAACGATTGGATCTTCCAAAGTATCAAAAGAAAAAGAAGATGAAGAAAAGTAAAATGAAGCCGTTGCAATGATGCAATTGCTGACACTTAATGGTTGTGCTCCAATAAATTCATTTCCCTTTTTCTTCATTCATCTGTTTAACATTTACTCACAGCATTGGATGACATAATTTTCTTTAGGTCTAAATAGTTTCACTTACAGGTCATTTAAGTGGAGTAAAAGAATTGTAACAGACGCGATGACGACAAGGCATGAATACAATTAAGACACTTGGTGAAGTAAAGAAAAAAAAAGAGCAAACGAACTGTCGACTTATGGTCTGTCTCATTCAATTTCGTCCGAAGAACAATAGACATAAATCGTTCGACTTAATTTTAAACGACGTTGCTTAATATTCGCAAAATTTCTTTATTCGTCTCGACGTTTTATTTTTAATCTTTAGTGGTCACACCATGACTCAATTGAAATGAAACTCGATATCAGACAGAAACGTAAGCAGATGAAAAATGCACCATCATTAAGTTGACGGGGTTTCATTATGTGATTCCTAAAAACAGCTTAAAACTAAATACTTTGACATTGAGATTGTTATGGGCCACGCAAAAATAACTAACGATCAATCAGTGCGATGAATTTATCTGAAGAAATATCAATAAAATTAATTAAGATCATTTTCACGAATAGTTTTTTGCATGTTAAGGTCAGAAATATCAAAATTTCAACTGTGAATTGAATATCGCGATCAATTAAAAGTTCACCTAATGCCAGTAGATCGAATGGTGGCACATATCGTGTAATTCATGTCTTCTGCATAATCTCACGGGTTGGAAAGTTGTTTTTCTCTTCTTTTTCTTCTTCTTTCATTCAATTCATCACTTGATGGATGATTCAGAGACTCCACAATTAACTTATGTTGTAATCTGTGTCATTGTATGAAGCATAATGAAAACGATGTTTCAGATAAAAGAAAACCTGCTGACATTGATGATGGGAAACAGATTTGAATTAATAGTAAGTTGAGATAATTAATTAACTTCTTTATCTCCCGTTTTATGTGCATGATCGTTTTCCATAACATTTGACACACGACGTTTGTTTTGCTTGCTCAATTGAGTGTAAAAATATTCTTCATAATTGTGTGATGACCTGAATTATGCATGTTGCGAAAATTAAATCTATTTGTACACGATGCAGTTCGTTATGCACTAAAATTTTAATTTTTATAGCTTCTCTATAAAAGTTTAATGTTGTAAACATGAATGCATGAAGCGACATAATTTTAATGTCTCATGAGCACTTGTTTATTTAAAAATTATTCATTTAATAATATCGAAATTTTTAAGAGATTTTTAATATGTTTTTTCACGGTTTAACGCTTAATCGTTTTTACACAAATTTACAAATTTGTAGCTTAAATCTTTTTATGTACAAGAAAAAAGACGAAGATGAAAAATGGAAAAATGGAAAAATGTTACAAGGACATGTTCATCGGCATCGGAAGACGCTTCAGTTATTTGTGCACAATGAGACGAATAAACTTTTTTTTTCGCTATTATTAGTCATGCTCATCTGCGAACTCGTTATTCAAAAGCGCAACTTTTTTAAGGAAAACCACAGCATTTGTAGAATGAATTGTAGGTTTTATGCTCATGCATTGTTAGTATAATTGATGAGTTATTTTAAGCGGATTCAAACAAAGATTACGTGATTTTTGAGTAGATGCCACAATAACAATTTATTGAATGAAACAATCAATTTCATTTTCAAGCCAAGCGGATATTTATTTTCAAGCAATGAAAACGATTTTGATGAATAAAAATAATATTTGCATACACGATCATAAGCATGATTATTTTCAAACAACATCTCTCAGAAAATGTTAAAGGTTGTTATTTGATTCAATAGGATGCGATGTAAATATTATTTACAATCATAAATTGACGAATCATTTTTTAAAAGAAGTTTTCTGAAGGTCTTGTCAATGAGTATCAAATTGTGCAGCAAGTATAATGCACTCATAGAGAACGTGTTCTGTTCATTGCAGAACTATTTAAAAATGTCATGAATACAGTTCAAAGCCTTTAAATCAATTCCTTGAATACCACAAATTGTCATAATTTATTGAGAAGGTAAACAAGCAAACATTTGATTAAGTTATCAAAATTATTCTTACGGCACACATCAAAGTTTGTGAATTGTGGAAACAAAATGTTTATCAACTGAAGGTTGCCATGTCAATTTTTCCTGTTTTGATAAAGTTTGATCGAAGTCGCCTTTGAAAATCGATATTAAGCAATTGTCGAATCGTGTCTTTCTGATATTTCTTTTCGATTTTTATATCGATATCGTGAGTTTAATTCCGCTTAAACTTAGTAGTGTCGTTTAAAAAATGTCTTCAAGTCGTGAAACAGTACGAAAAATGACCAAACAGGCAATCATGGAACAGTGCAAACGAAATAAACTTTACACGACGCCCCGATTAAATGATGTCTTATATTTGCACTTTCAAGGCTTTCCCAAAATCGAGAATCTTGAAGAATATACGGGATTGAAGTGTTTGTGGCTTGAAAGCAATGCCTTCACGAAAATTGAAGGTTTAGACCACCAGCCCAATCTCAAATCGCTCTTCCTCCAAAATAATCTCATCTCAAAAATCGAAAACTTGGACAATTGTAAGGAACTTGACACGCTCGTGTTGTCTCACAATTACGTTAAAACATTGGAAAATTGCTGCTCGAATACTTTACCACTGCTCAACACTCTCAACATTTCACATAATCAATTGCGAAACGCTGAAAGCGTAGAAATTCTCAAACGATGTGAAAACATCTCAATTTTGGATTTGTCATTCAACAAGATTGATGACATCATGATTGTGAAAGTATTAGGTGGAATGGCATCGTTGCATGTCTTAAATTTGACAGGAAATCCGGTCATCAACTCGATCACAAACTATCGAAAAACAATGATTTTGGAATGCAATTCTTTGACATACTTAGATTCACGTCCCGTTTTTCCACGAGATCGTGCATGTGCTGAAGCTTGGAAGTCTGGTGGATTTCACGCTGAAAAACGTGAACACGAGCAATGGAATCGTGAGGAGCGACGTAAAATTAGAAGATCTGTGAACGCGCTTTTATGTAAATCACGTGGCGAATCCTTTCTCTTAAGCTCGAGTGAAGATGAAAAAGATGAAGATGTTGATAGCAGAAAAATTGATGTCAAAGCAGGCGGTGACGCATCACCAAAGAATGAAGAAAGTTCCATTGATATATACGAAGGAAACCAGAAAGAATTGATTGAAATGTATGAAATGGAACAGAAGGAAATCGACAGCATGGTCAAAAACGTCGATGATGCAACATACCCAATGAAAGTTGAAAAGCCAATAAATCGTGCCACGATGATTGAGAGAATTAAAAACGAAGAGAAGGTTGAGCAACGAAAAGATGAACTAACAAAACTATTGGACATTAGCAGCGATCAAGACAGAATTCTTCAAATGATGCAGACGAATCAGACGATGGAAGAAAATATTTTTGGCCCGAAGCAAAATTTTGATGTACCGAAGAAGATTTTAATTGAAGAAATCAGTGACGAAACCGACAAAAGTGTCCAACAAAATGACATTGAAGAAATTCCTAAACGCAATGATGAAACGCTTGGCAATGAGCATGAAAGCATGTTGTGGTTTGAAGATGAAGCGACAGAAACGACACGAAACTTTGAATCAATCGATTACCAATTCACGAATTCAGCAGACATTGTTGTTGAAACTTTAGTTAAAGAAGATCTCACAAATGTTCCTGAGTCAACATATAATTCAGAAGATTTCACAAAAGTTCTCGAATTATGTCAATATCAGAAAACAGACGCAATGCAACTTTGCTTCTTAAATGAAAATGAAAAACTTATGCAAATCTACGATGAAGCTGTGGAGAAGAATTTAGTGCAAGAAAGCGATGGTTTTCAACTTGCTGAAATCGAAAATTTGTGTAAAGAAGAAAATGAATCTGATGATGACGATATGGAAAGTCAACCTGATCTTGATGGCATTTTAACGGTCAAGAAGTTTAATTTTCCTAGCGAATCTAAAGATGCTGAAGTCGAAGAAATTTTGCAATCTTCTCACGATGAAATTAACGAAGTTAAAGAAATGGCTGAAAATTTGATTGATGGTATCATCAATAGTTTAGAGGATATTGAAATGCCATTTTAAAATGTCATTCATGCCATACTTGTGCGAATAAAAATTATAAATAAAACTGTTAAAACTGAAATTTCTCTCACGTTTTTTTTACCTTTTCATTTATCATTTTCAAGATTAAAATAAATCAAATTTATGGTTGCAATGTCTCGCTGTTTATTAGGTCGTTACTTTCATTTGTTAATACCAATTACTTCTATTATTGCAGGAATTATTAGCTTGGCATCAGGCCAAACTAATCAACGGTACAGTCTTCAAAATATGCCCCACACAAGCTTCACTTGCCGCGATAAAATTCTTGGTGGCTACTACGCCGATGCAGAAACAAATTGTCAAATGTTTCATATTTGTGTAAAGGTTGCTGGAGTTGGAGTGAGTAAAAGGAAAATCGTGCTGTGAATGAAACAAAAGGAAGCAATAAAAGGAGAAAGCATCAGTTGTTGTCAAAAGCAGTTTTAACAACTTTTTTTTATTCTTCTTTTTGTCGCATAACAATTTTCATTGTTCAGAAATTTCTATTAAATATCATGATGCAATTCATGACATGACAACGCTCTTTTCAATTTCATTTCAGATTCAAGACTTCAGATTTTTATGCCCAAACGGCACTGCATTTGATCAGGAAGCACAAATCTGTGCTGACTGGGGAGATGTTGATTGTGAAGCCGCAACTCTTTACTATGGCAGTGACAACTTTGACCTTTACAGAATTGGATCAAATTTTGAAAGCAAAAAGTCAAGCTATGCTGAAGAAGATGAATCTGTTTTTCATTTGCAGCGTGCTGAAACAAGTTTGCATAAAACACAAATTTCTTTACATCAAAGTTAACAGAAAATAATTCAATGTATTGACAATTTCAGGTGACGCTCGAAGAAGTAAACAATACATTGTCAATCAAAACAAACAAAACACGGTTCCAACAACAAGGCCAACCACAACTATTCGTCAATTGCCTCCTTCAACAACAACTACTACAACAACACCACGACCGTCTTATGAGCCAACAACATCAAGAATTGTTGTGTCAACTTATCGACCAACATCCCAACCAAGGAATCAATTCCAAGATAATGTTGTTTCAACATATCGACCAACCAACAATTTCTTCAGTAATCATAGAAGTGTTGCTAACAACAATGGTAAAAATATTATTTTTATAGAGTAAAAATCACAAGAAATATTTGCAACTTTTTTTTATTAGATGATGAAATTTTGAAACAATCACAAAGCGCCAATTTCTTCAATAATAAAAACAACGGAAAAGAAGACTTTTATGAAGATACAATAAAGACAACAAAAGCTCCAGCTAAACAAAAGGTTAGAAGTCGTCAACGTGGTCGTAGCAAGTACCGAAACGTTAGCAATGTGAATTCAGTGACATCAGCTCCTTCTCGAAACCATGTCACAGCAGCAGCCACTCAAAGATCTGTAACCGAACAACAATCACGACAAACATTCACGAATACACCAATCGTTGTTCAATCAGTTTCAAACAGTAGATCAGACTTCAGTCATTCACGATTTAATCAAACATCCAACAATTATCGAACTTCCGCTTTCACTGCATCCCCGACAACAAATTCTCCAATTCAAACCCCTAAACACGATGAAACGTTCTTCGATGTGCCAAAAATCAATCAGAAACAACAAACAACAAAACTTAAATCTTCACCAGCTCAAAATCTTGATTTTAAAACTCCAACATCAACTGCTTCACCTCACGTTCCAATTGATGAATTCCCACAAAATCTTTTCGGTGCCATTCCACAACGTGTCATCATTCCTAGTAAACTTAGCCCCGAGCAACGAAAAGCTCTTCAGGCATCAAACGGCAATAACAATAACAATTATTACAATAATTTACAAACAACTTCCACTGCTTTCACAACACCTACATCCACCCCCTATCCACAATCTATTTCTCAAGTTAATCGCAACCCAAACCATAATCAATTGAGACAAAATAACGAACAAAAAGACTTTAGTAGTCTACCTCAAAAATTCAATTTCAAGACACAGAAATACGAATCGATTGAGCCTCAAAATCCAACAACTCAATTTTACAATCCGAAATATGAAACTAAAGGAACTGAACAGCCTTTCAATAGCAACATTAATTTAGAACCAACCAGAAGTGGATTCACTAATCAAAGCCACAAAACTTTTGCACCACGACAGTCGACAACGACATTCACTGAAGAAAGTAAACCAACAACATTCAATCCCCAACAATATTATCAATCAGAACAATCACAATATCAAAATCTCTCCCCACGAGGTTTCTCATTAGCTGCACAAAAGCAACAAGAACAAACGAAGAAAACTACACAATCAGTACTTCGTCCACATATCACTTCAAGATCAGAAGCTCGTAATCATAAAAAATTCTCAACACTTGTACCAAAAGATCAATATTATCCAACCACTTTCAAACCCAACAATAACTTTAATAAAAAACCAATTGATTATGTTGCATCACAGAAACTCGAAAAGATTCAAAATCCCAATAAATATTATTCACAATTCACATCAACACCAGCACCAACTACACATTCCTATGTCATCACAACAACTCAACCACAATTGAACACTTTTGTTTCTCATCATCAACAACATAATAATTTCCAACCTGAGACAACAAGAATCAGCAATTTCTTCTCGACATCTTCTAGCGTCAGACCGTTGGCTGAAGGTGAAGAAGATGATGGACAATATCGACCTGAATTATACGAAAAAGATTTTTATAGGAACAAAGTGAGAACAACTAAAGTCACAACTACGCCAGTACGAAATAATTTCAATAACTTTTATCAAACATCAACAACATTCAAGCCACAAGATCACAACAGTAACGAAGACGAATTTTTAAAGACGGCACATTCACAAAATATTTTTGCAAGTGGAAATAAACTTAGAGCTGAAAAGGAGCGTGAAAAGAATTTTGAAAAGTTTGATTTTGGAACAGAAAAATCGAGTCCGAGACCATTTTCAAAGCCAACGCCTGTAACATCAACAACTCCCAAACCGAAACAACGCAAAGAAGAAAAAGATGTTAGTTACGATTATCAATATTACGACACAAATGGTGATCAAAATGATTATACAGAGCTTGAAGCAATCGCAGACTTTGGAAAAACTTCAAAGAAATCCAGTGTTAATTAATTTTTCATCTTATCTAAATATTTCTTGCTCGCTTTTACTATTTCTTCTTCTTCTCAAATTACTTTTCGCAACTCTAAATAAGTTTCCTTCTATTTATTATGACGAGGGCTTTCCATGCTTTTATATTTTAAACTCTTTTGTAAATAGTTTCAAACTTTATGTTTTTAAGCGCATTATAAATACATAAATAGTGATTAAGCTTGATTGTTTCATTAGTTGGTGTCATTTCAATTTTTTTTATCACTTTTCTAATAAATTTCTGTACCGTTTTTCTTTTTTTAATAACTTTATTTAGCTACGCAATATTTAATGTCTGGATATTATTTGTACACTGAATGAATTAAAATCAATAAACATTTTATAAAATAAAACTTTTAAATATTTCTTTTCATTGTGTGTTTGTTGATTGTGCACAACCGCAGTAAATTTTTTTATGATGAATTACTGCATCTGTTGATGACATTTCAGAGAAAATTTGAAGTTATAAAAAGAGAAAATTCTTTTATAAGACAAACAGAAGTAAGAAAGATTTGAAGATGTCAACATCGCAAGGTTTGATTTTGTCTCAACTGAAATTCCTATTTCTAATTACACTTATTGTGCATGGTCAAGGAAGGATTTTGAATGGAGATATTTTTGAACTGAGTGAAATAAATAATGGTATGATAGAAGAATTAATGAACCTCTAAAATCCATAAGTTAACGTTAAAAATTATTAAATCTTACATAGCGGGAAGTGAACGAGGTCCATTGCTTCTGTTAACAGACGATCAAGTGCAAGCAGCTAAACGAAATGATGTGAATCGATACAAAAATGCATACCGGAACTTTATGATGAACAAAGAAACTCCAGAAATAATTAATGATGATGCATCATTTAAAGAAGATCAAATTTCTTATATCCCTTGGAGAGTAGCTTCACCTCAAACGTCACGTGGTGGTAAAAGGGCATCGTTAATAAGTTTGACAGTCCCATCTAACAAATTGTAAATGCTTATTCATAAGACTTAACATATTTGATTCTCTATTAGTTTTTTCCCAGGCGTTATGGAGTTTCAAACTATCACCAAACAGTTTTGAATAACAGATTAATATCATTAATAGAAAAACTTTCATCATTTATGAATACTTATTAACGTTTAAATTCAATTGTCAATGAAAAATGTTACTTAATATTTTTAAACTTATGAATCTTTAACAAAATTCAAAGAAATAAAGAAAATCAATTAATATGGAATCAAGAAATGCTTTTAACTCGAAATATGTCTATTTAAACAATAACATCAAACTTTTGTACATTATTCTGGATAGTTTAAAAACAAAAAAAAACTTCACAATGTTATGTTATCTGATAAATGATAGCAATAAAGTCACTTTCAAATTAATTGCAGGATTTATGAACCTCACGAAATCACAGAGGCTGACTAAAATATTGTCTTACAAAACAAAACACTTTAAGTATTTTAATTATAATCAATAACAAGAGTTTGCCTTTTACAAGGCCAGGGAAGATTTCATATATCACGAAATATATTTATTTCCATGCCATTAATTCAACTCTAATCAATTTTGTAATAATCGTGCTTTTGGTGTAAATTTTTCCTTGTTACCTGATGTATTTCCGCACGAATTCAAACTCTATATAAATGAAAGAATAATGTCGAAGAACTTGAAATCGTTTAGATTTGTTTGTACGTTAAGGATAACAGGGAAAGAGTAGGATAGCCAAAGAAGCATTGGAAGTTTCCTACAATGAGATTTAGTTTCCTGCTAGCATTTTTGCTTATCGTTTTGATGGGTAAATCTTTGAAAAATATTTAAAAGGGAAATGAGATTAAATTGTTATTTGTGTATAAAGTTGCATCAATCGATGGAGCAGGCTACAGAAGGAGAAGAAGATACTCAAGACGTCCTAGATACAGAACAACAACGAGAAACCCCTATGGAGCAACTAGGCCAACTAGACCTCCATATTCGATAGGTAACATATGAAACAATGATTGGAGATTGATAAATTTATATCTATACGTCAACAATAATTTAGGGAGCTCGATGTCGTCTTCTGAGGATGAATCTAGTTCTGTAGTCACTAGCTTTTCGAGCGATGAATCAGAAGGTAAGATTAATTTCTCATACATTAATTTAGTAGAAAGAATCTCGAGTGATATTTTAAACTAATAGTTTAACAATTATTTAGTTAAAACTTTCACATTTTTCTACGCGATGATTAAAAGTTCAAATATCCAAGAAATTTCTGTACAAATTCACATTAAATAAACAAAAAGCTTCTCTAAAAGTAAACTCTTTCAACATTTCAAAATACATATTTAAAAAATGGTGTAAAAATTATATCTACATAACAAATATTATCTTGTCAATTAATTAGGATCAAGCAGCGGCGTATCGAGTGGTCCATCCTCAAGCGACGAATCATCGTCAGGTGAAGAATCAGACTCAAGTGACGCGTCAAGTCATGGATCATCTTCATTAAGTGAAGGTTCGTCATCTGCTGAAGAATCAGATTCAAGCGAAGGATCAGATTCAGATGTGGAATCATCTTCAGACGTTGTGTCATCAGCAAGCGAAGAATCGTCTTCTAGTGAAGAATCCGATTCAAGTGATGGATCATCTTCAGACGTTGTGTCATCAGCAAGCGAAGAATCGTCTTTAAGTGAAGAATCAGATTCAAGTGATGCGTCAAGTGATGGATCATCTTCATTAAGTGAAGGTTCGTCCTCAGCCGAAGAGTCAGATTCCAGCGAAGGTTCAGATTCAAGTGATGGATCATCTTCAGACGTTGTGTCATCAGCAAGCGAAGAATCGTCTTTAAGTGAAGAATCAGATTCAAGTGATGCGTCAAGTGATGGATCATCTTCAGTAAGTGAAGGTTCGTCCTCAGCCGAAGAATCAGATTCCAGCGAAGGTTCAGATTCAAGTGATGAATCATCTTCAGACGTTGTGTCGTCTTCAAGTGAAGAATCAGATTCAAGCGAAGGTTCTGATTCAAATGTGGAATCATCTTCAGACGTTGTGTCATCAGCAAGCGAAGAATCGGATTCCAGCGAAGGTTCTGATTCAAATGTGGAATCATCATCAGGTGTAGAATCATCAAGTCAAGATTCCGACTCAAGTGGCATGTCAAGTGATGGATCATCTTCAGTTAGTGAAGGTTCATCATCTAGCGAAGAATCATCATCGAGTGGTGAAGAATCAGATTCAAGCCAAGGTTCTGATTCCAATGTGGAATCGTCTTCAGACGTTGTGTCATCAGCAAGTGACGAATCGGATTCCAGCAGAGGTTCTGATTCCAATGTGGAATCGTCTTCAGACGTTGTGTCATCAGCTAGCGAGGAATCGGATTCCAGCGAAGGTTCTGATTCAAATATGGAATCATCATCAGGTGTAGAATCATCAAGTCAAGATTCCGACTCAAGTGGCATGTCAAGTGATGGATCATCTTCAGTTAGTGAAGGTTCATCATCTAGCGAAGAATCATCATCGAGTGGTGAAGAATCAGATTCAAGCCAAGGTTCTGATTCAAACGTGGAATCATCTTCAGACGTTGTGTCATCAGCAAGCGAAGGTTCTGATTCAAATGTGGAATCATCTTCAGACGTTGTGTCATCAGCAAGCGAAGAATCGTCTTCTAGTGAAGAATCCGATTCAAGTGATGGATCATCTTCAGACGTTGTGTCATCAGCAAGCGAAGAATCGTCTTTAAGTGAAGAATCAGATTCAAGTGATGCGTCAAGTGATGGATCATCTTCATTAAGTGAAGGTTCGTCCTCAGCCGAAGAGTCAGATTCCAGCGAAGGTTCAGATTCAAGTGATGGATCATCTTCAGACGTTGTGTCATCAGCAAGCGAAGAATCGTCTTTAAGTGAAGAATCAGATTCAAGTGATGCGTCAAGCGATGGATCATCTTCAGTAAGTGAAGGTTCGTCATCTGGCGAAGAATCAGATTCAAGCGAAGGTTCAGATTCAGATGTGGAATCATCTTCAGACGTTGTGTCATCAGCAAGCGAAGAATCGTCTTCAAGTGAAGAATCAGACTCAAGTGACGCGTCAAGTGATGGATCATCTTCAGTAAGTGAAGGTTCGTCCTCTGGCGAAGAATCAGATTCAAGCGAAAGTTCTGATTCAGATGTGGAATCATCTTCAGACGTTGTGTCATCAGCAAGCGAAGAATCGTCTTCAAGTGAAGAATCAGACTCAAGTGACGCGTCAAGTGATGGATCATCTTCAGTAAGTGAAGGTTCGTCATCTGGCGAAGAATCAGATTCAAGCGAAGGTTCAGATTCAGATGTGGAATCATCTTCAGACGTTGTGTCATCAGCAAGCGAAGAATCAGACTCAAGTGGCATGTCAAGTGACGGATCATCTTCAGTAAGTGAAGGTTCGTCATCAAGCGAGGAATCATCTGTTGAAGAATCTGATTCAAGCCAAGGTTCAGATTCAAATGTGGAATCATCCTCAGGGGAAGAATCATCAGGTCAAGATTCCGCCTCAAGTGGCATGTCAAGTGATGGATCATCTTCAGTCAAGATTCCGACTCAAGTGGCATGTCAAGTGATGGATCATCTTCAGTTAGTGAAGGTTCATCATCTGGCAAAGAATCATCATCGAGTGGTGAAGAATCAGATTCCAGCGAAGGTTCTGATTCAAGTGAAGGTTCAACCTCAGGTGGAGAATCGTCGTCAGGTCAAGAATCTTCATCTGGAGAAGAATCAGATTCAAGCACTGTTGGGTCAAGCGATTCGTCAGCAGGCGACTCTACTTCGGGTCAGTCATTTCATTTTTTATTATATGTTGCTTATGTGAGAAGTTGAACAAACTTATGTGTTTTTTGAATATACATAGGATCTGGAGTGTCTGGTGGATCCTCAGGTTCTGATGCATCATCTGAATCAACGGCTGCAAGTGAAGAAGCTTCATGTATGAAATTTGCTTTTAAACTATGATTTGTCGCATATAAAATAGAATGTCAATTTTTCTTCTGAATTTCTACAGTACCAAGTGATTCCTCTTCGGACGCAAGCAGTGAATCATCAGATTTTACAGGTAAGATATAACACATATTATGTAATTGTATTTTTTTTAAATAAGTGTTTATTTCAAAATTTCCAGCTTCTAGCGAATCTTCGACAAATCCTTCAAGCGAAATATCTGGTAAGTGAAACATATATTTATGCAGATGAATATTTAATTATGATACAATCTGTATAAAATGTTTTCTTTGATTTATCTGCGCACTTATATATTTTTACAAAGGACATTCCTATTATGCTTTACCTCATTTCTCGTGTTGCTTATATTCTAGTTATTAAAAATTATATCATCAACTTTCAGGATCTTCTGGAACTGAGTCTTCGAGCGCTTCGAGCTCTTCAAACTCCGAAAATTCTGAAGGCTCCTCTTCAATTCCTAGTTCAGGTTTGTAAAATAAAGATTAAACTTTATGTACTTTTAAATAAATAATTTCTATCATTTCTTAGACTCTTCAAGCGTGTCAGGTAACTAATTTATTTTCCTAAATCACCAATATTAATAGTAATGACATTTATTAAAAACAATTTATTCTTCAGATTCTTCAGACTCTAGCTTCAGTTCCACAGAAATATCTGGTAAGAAAAATCGCATACATGATAATAATATTATTCATTAACATACATGTCTGAACAGCGTCGAGTGAATTTTCATCAGGCCCAAGTGATTCAAGTGAAGGTTCTTCGTCGACCGAAGAATCATCATCGAGTGGTGAGGAATCAGATTCAAGCAAAAGTTCTGATTCCAATGTGGATTCATCTTCAGACGTTGTGTCATCAGCTAGCGAAGAATCAGATTCAAGCGTAAGTTCTGATTCAAATGTGGAATCATCTTCAGACGTTGTGTCATCAGCAAGTGAAGAATCAGATTCAAGCGAAGGTTCTGATTCCAATGTGGAATCATCTTCAGGTGTAGAATCATCAGGTCAAGATTCCGACTCAAGTGGCATGTCAAGTGATGGATCATCTTCAGTTAGTGAAGGTTCATCATCTAGCGAAGAATCATCATCGAGTGGTGAAGAATCAGATTCAAGCCAAGGTTCTGATTCCAATGTGGAATCATCTTCAGACGTTGTGTCATCAGCAAGCGAAGAATCAGATTCAAGCGAAGGTTCTGATTCCAATGTGGAATCATCTTCAGGTGAAGAATCGTCTTCAGGTGAAGAATCATCAGGTCAAGATTCCGACTCAAGTGGCATGTCAAGTGATGGATCATCTTCAGTTAGTGAAGGTTCATCATCTAGCGAAGTATCATCATCAAGTGGGGAAGAATCAGATTCAAGCCAAGGTTCTGATTCAAATGTGGAATCATCTTCAGACGTTGTGTCATCAGCAAGCGAAGAATCGTCTTCTAGTGAAGAATCCGATTCAAGTGATGCGTCAAGTGATGGATCATCTTCATTAAGTGAAGGTTCGTCCTCAGCCGAAGAGTCAGATTCCAGCGAAGGTTCAGATTCAAGTGATGGATCATCTTCAGACGTTGTGTCATCAGCAAGCGAAGAATCGTCTTTAAGTGAAGAATCAGATTCAAGTGATGCGTCAAGTGATGGATCATCTTCAGTAAGTGAAGGTTCGACCTCAGCCGAAGAATCAGATTCCAGCGAAGGTTCAGATTCAAGTGATGAATCATCTTCAGACGTTGTGTCGTCTTCAAGTGAAGAATCAGATTCAAGCGAAGGTTCTGATTCAAATGTGGAATCATCTTCAGACGTTGTGTCATCAGCAAGCGAAGAATCGTCTTCTAGTGAAGAATCCGATTCAAGTGATGGATCATCTTCAGACGTTGTGTCATCAGCAAGCGAAGAATCGTCTTCAAGTGAAGAATCAGATTCAAGCGAAGGTTCTGATTCAAATGTGGAATCATCTTCAGACGTTGTGTCATCAGCAAGCGAAGAATCGGATTCCAGCGAGGGTTCTGATTCAAATGTGGAATCATCTTCAGACGTTGTGTCATCAGCAAGTGAAGAATCAGATTCAAGCCAAGGTTCCGATTCAAATGTGGAATCATCTTCAGACGTTGTGTCATCAGCAAGCGAAGAGTCAGATT